TATCTGGTAGATGTGACGTGGAGTATGGTCTTCGCACTTGGGTTCAGTTCGAGACAATGCGACAGCACTTCGTGGAACCAGTACTTGAAGATAGAAGCACCAGTATTGCATGCGTCGAGCATTCCACTCTGAATCTCTCTGACAGTACCTTTTCATCACGGCAGGAAGCCCAACAAACCTCATCTGTATATGATAAAGTTAACTTCACACAAGACAAGTCTTCCGTAGCAGACCACATACCAGGTTATTATGAGACAAGACGCAGGCGACTGACTTCAAACGCCAAGAACACTCGTATATAGTCAACATAGAATACCGGGGGCTCTTCAACCTAGCTGAGGATGCATCGCGTACTGGGTTTGATGAGGCGGGTAGTGCCTATTCGTTGATCGAATCATAAACATAACGACAAGCCTGAGCTCAGGATAGTCGTCCTTTGCATTCTAACTTCCACGGACGGACCGTGGTAGACGATCTGAATCTAGGGGGTACTTATAGCAACGATTGGATTGCAGTACGGCAAGGCATATAGCAAATATGTATATAACGTTTCGTGGGAGCGAAGGCATGAATGAAATCCTTGCGCAGGCCATTGTGAGACTCAGTACAGTAGAATAAATACAACTGAAGGCTGTCGATGAAGAAATCGCAAATAATAGTGTACAAGTTCTGCGGAGACTGTAGATCTGTGTTGTACTTCTATTAGTCATGACACGCACATATGTTGTCGCTACCTACCGGAGATGATCACGAAGACAGGGAATCCTTCTGTTCCCGACACTTGTGCCATGACGTGCCGTGGGCGAAACAACTTAAATCGAGCTGGGAGGCTTGATTGTGTATCACCAGTGTGTTGCCTGGAAATTGTATAGCTGGGTATACGTGGATCGGGATCCAAAAGAGGAGCCGTCCGTCGGGCCCTACAACCCATCCGTCCTCGGTGAGGGCGAGAGAGGCTGGAGTGTAAGAATGTTGGAGAAAGGAGGACGGGGAACTAAGAGCGTGGGTCTGGTTGGACGAAAAACATATTGCAGGTGCTTCGGAGGGTTGGTGGCGGTTGAGAATGTCTAGATCCCATACCCGGATGGTGTTATCGGATGAACCAGACACAATGTGTTTGCCGTTGGGTGAGATTGCAACAGACCGAATGGGTCCAGTGTGCCCTCGGAGAGGGGCGCCCACTGCCTCCCCAGTCTCCATATCCCACACTCGGATGGTCCTGTCATCTGAACCGGATACAATGCATTTTCCATCTGGCGAGATTACAACAGAGTTAATAGGCTCTGTGTGGCCTCGGAGAGCCACACCCAATGCCTTGCTAGTTCCCATATCCCACACGCGGATGGTCTCATCAGCCGAGCCAGACACGATGCGACGCCCATCCGATGATATTGCGAGAGAGCGGACGGTGTTGGTGTGACCTCGGAGAGGGGCACCCAATGCCTTGCCTGACCCCATTTCCCACACCCGAATTGTGTCGTCCCTTGAACCGGACACTATGCGGTTGCCGTCCAGTGAGATTGTGAGAGATAAAACCCAGTCAGAGTGGCCTTCGAGAGGGACGCCCGATGCCGCTCCAGTCTGCACCTCCCACACCCGGACTGTGCGGTCATCTGAACTAGACACAATATGTCTCCCATCCTGTGAGATTGCAACAGACCAAACCCGGTCAGTGTGCCCTTGGAGGGGGGAACCCAATTCCTCGCCAGTCTCCATATCCCACATCCGGATGGTCTTGTCAAATGAGCCAGACACGATGCGGTCTCCATCCGGCGAGATTGCGACCGACGAAACAGAGTCAGTGTGCCCTTGGAGAGGGCCACCCGATGCCTCACCAGTCTCCATATCCCACACACAGATGGTCTTGTCGTTTGAACCGGATATGATGTGTTGTCCATCAGGCGAGATCACAAGAGAGTTGATGGTGTCAGTGTGACCCCGGAGAGCGGCACCCAATGCCTCGCTAGTGCTGGTGTTGGCATCCCACACCCGAATTGTCTTGTCGTATGAGCCAGAAACTAAGTGATTTCCATCCGGCGAGATGACGACAGACGTAACAGTTTGAGTGTGGCCTCGGAGAGGGGATCCTAATGCCTTTCTAGTCTCCATATCCCACACCCGGATGGTCATGTCCGCTGAACTGGACACGATGCGGTTTCCATCCGACGAGATTGCGACGGATAAAATGTCGGCAGTGTGGCCTTGGAGTGGGGCACCAAATGCCTCGCCAGTCTCCAAATCCCATACCCGGATCATTTTGTCGTCTGAACCAGACACAATGTGATGTCCGTTCGACGAGATTGCGATGGACCAAACAGCGCCAGTGTGGCCTTGGAGTGGGGCACCAAATGCTTCGCCAGTCTCTAAATCCCATACCCGGATCATTTTATCATAGGACCCGGATACAATGCGCTTTCCGTCCGGCGAAATTGCGACGGACAAAACTGCATCAGTGTGTCCTTTGAGACGGGGACCCAATGCCTTGCCGGTCTCTGCATCCCACACCCCAATTGTCATGTCCAATGAACCAGATACAATGTGCTTTCCATCTGACGAGATTGCGACAGACCGAACAGCCCTAGTGTGCCCTTGAAGAGGGACACCCAATGCTTTGCCAGTCGCCGCATCCCACACCCGGATTGTCTTGTCCGCTGAACCTGACACGATACGCTTTCCATCCGGCGAGAATGCGATAGACCTAACACGGGCAGTGTGGCCTTGGAGAGGGGCACCCAATGCCTCGCCTGTCTCCAAATCCCACATCTCGATCATCCCGTCTTCTGAACCACATGCAATGCGTTTTCCGTCTGGTGATATCGCAACAGAGAGAACCCTGGAATGCCCGTGGAGTATCTTTTGCATGAGAGGCCAATTTGCAGCATGACCAGCGGCAATCCGGGGAGTGCAAGGGAACTTTGCAGCGAACTTTTGAGATATCTTCGACTGAATTGGAGCGAACGGCAGAGCGGATAAGTATAAATGTGGAGTGCAATGTAAAATGGTGGTCGCGAAAGTTCGAACGAAGCGCTGGGTGTCCCTGGCAGTGTCGTCGACGTGAGCATATTCGGCATGATCCTACGACCATTCCACTTCTTGTAAGAATCTATCGGTCCTAAGAACGAGCTCGAGCTACGGACCTTAAACCAATGTGTGATAGACGAGAGGCACCCTACCGTGCCGCCCAGGCTTTTCATAAGGCATAGTGCTTCCAACCACCAAAGGAGGCGCTCCCCGTCGAAGAAAGCTGCGATTTCCTTAGCGAGCGATGGCTCGAAGGACGTAGCTCCCAAATGAGTCCCCCAAAATCGACATGAATATGATAGTACAATCGGAATGGACTCTTTCACTCGTTTCTCCAAGTCAGGGACAGCAGAATTGGGTAGGTAAGAACTCTCTAGAGAGCAGATGTTGAAGCGAAGTCCGCGCTCCATGATGCGAAGCGAGGCAAAGGCAAGGTCTCTTTGTACCGATGACATATCGATGAAGAAGTCGTGGCTGCGTGATCTATCTGTGAGGAAGTCGTAGAAAGACGCGTGGAGGGGACGTATGGGAGTTTGAGAGTCTATAGTTCCAGCCAAAAGCGACCCCAGCGATCCAATGACCTCATCCACACCGTAATGGTCATCTGTGCGTGGAAAACGCAGTCGCATTGCGGTTAACGCAGCCATGGGAAGCGGTTCAGATGATGCAAGGATTTGGCCCATCACAGAGGAAAACATGGATATCGTTTCCTCGCGCTCGTCCTCTGGCATGCTGTCGCCCAAGATACGTATATACATATCATCCAACAAACGCGTTCCTTTTGCGGATGTTCCAGCAACAAGGGCGTCGAAACGGATCATCGGATTGCGCCGCACTTTGTTCGTACCCTTGATATACTCGCATACAAGACGAGCCCATTCAAACATGCCGTCAGATTTTAGAGCGAGTCTCTTGAAGTGCTCATCATCGAACACATTGCGTAGACCTCCCAGTCTGTTGGCGATATAAAGCTGGATGTCGTGTTCTGTGGACGCGGACGAAATATCATCCAAGGAGACATGGCGAACATGTGGTGCGGTGTGCAGAGCGTTTTTAATGTCTTCCAATGGACGGGAAGTGACAAGAATACGAATGTTGGGTGGGATGCCGGATGGTGCGGAGGAAGAACTGTTCTCGCCAGCGAGCAAACGAAGAATCTGTTCCCGAGAACTCGCATCGCCACTCTCGTCCAACGCCTCGATGATGATCAGCACTGGTGCGGCGACGGCTTTCGAGACTTTGCTTGTTGGTCCCACGATTAATTCCTGCCATTGTCTCATAAGGTCTGAAGTGCGCTTGAGTCCATTGCTATCATGAACCGCTTGCACCAAGGCTCGCCGCATGATAGGATTGCAGTCCGCTAAGTCGTTTGCGATGGTAGTCAAAACTTTGTTCTCGCCACGATCTGCTTGTTGCGTGCGGTCGAAGCAGAAGCATGACCCAAGACCACCTTGCTCAGTGTACCAGTTGGCAATGGTATGTGCGATGGCAGATTTACCCTTGCCTGCTGTGCCGGAGAGCCACAAGACGCGTGAAGCACCCTCATCGGTGCTGCTGACCCAACTCTTGATATCTGTCAGAAGTTCTCGCCGAGTATTTGGCAGACAACATTTAGACGTATTGACTCCGGCACCCGCTGCACAATCCAATAAGTCGACGAGGTCCAGAGTCTCGGCTATGTCACAGGTAGTAGAATGTCAGCTACGGCTCAACGAGACCTGAAGGCCGACTCTTACCCATATGGTGGACAATCACAAGTGTGTCGCGAGCGGCTCTGTCTCGGAATTGCTGCATGAGACTGTCGAGAACCTCGTTGTAACTTTGGATCGCGGCCTGTGTTTCTTTGAACGCATGTTTTCCAAGTCTTTTCCCTGTGCAAAGATTCAACAGTGAGTCATAGTTGCGCAGTGGTGAGTTCGACTCACAGGCGCTCGTCGTCTCAGAGTAATGAGCGATGAAATCCGCGCACTCCAGCGTCTGTCGCGCTATCTTCCCATAAATTGCTGGCATGGATGGAACACTGGCCAACGCCTCCTCTTCCGTGATGAAAGTATAGACCTCAGAGATCTTCGAGAGCAAACCAGAGACAGCAGCATCGCGGTCTGCCTGATCGAGAATCATCTGCCACCAGACGTTCTTAATAACTTGCAAGCTTGAACATACAAAACAAATGTACCTGGGATGCGTAAGTGAAGATGCTCAATGCCACCTTTGCATAGGGATGGGCCTATGCATGAAGATCAGTGATGTAAAAGATAGAGATAGAGGCCCGTACGTCTGCAAGCACATTAGCGATTGAGTTGAATGCCTTCAGGGGTTTAAGTATTGCGGAGAACGTGTCGATCGTATCGGGAATGGATTGCAAGTTGTTCGTTTGCGAAGCAGTATTTTGGGCCATTACAGGCACGTTTTTCATCCCTGCAACGCCTTTTGTGGCATCGGCGATTCGCTCATTCACAAACTTCGGGTCAGGTTGCTCGACCTGATCACGAATGTGAGTACATTATCGAAAGAGACGGATGACAATGATCCAAATTGCGAATTCACCTTCAGAATGCCTGAATTGGAAGGCTGGTCAGCATTTGGTCCGGGAGTGGGAGTGGGAGCAGTGAGTGGTGAAGGATCCTGCGGAAGTTGGTAGCAATCAGCGCACGTGGAACGTGCCAAGCGTTGCATATACCTGAGTGGTCTGAGCGGGTAGGAGATCCGGTGCGCTGGAACTTGCAACCGCGGGTTCAGGGTTTGATGACTGTCGAGCGCTTTGAGCTGAACGCTTGGTTGCCTTGCCCCACAACTTTCGAAACAGCCCTGGAGGTTTTCTGGGAGATTCATCCCGTGAAGGCGGGAAAGAGGACGTCTAGAACGAGATCGTCAAACACAACCAGTACTTATATATAAGTGGAATGTTTGATACCTCAATTTCACTGGCTCCGATCTCCACTGGGAAATCAGGATTTGAGCGGCTTCGTATTGGTGACCACCCAAAGGGCTTCTTCCGAGGAGGATTCATCGAGCAAGCTTGAAAGCACAGCTGAGTCTCTGAGTCTAAAGAGGTCACTATGTGTAAACTTGGTGGTGGATGGCACACAGGGAAACAGGCCCATACCTATATGGAAGCGAACATGCGTTTGGAAGCACCCATCACTGGCAACTGCCGCTATGACTATTTGGCATGTACCACTGGATTGGATGATCGATTGGGAAGGTGAAATCTTATCCAAGACCGTCACAGAGCTGCTCACGCCAGTGAAGGACAGTTTATTTAAGCTGGTAGCTACCAGCACACAACCGATTGCAGGTCAGAACATCATGATATGAGTAGATAACATTTGGCTGGTGCGCCGTGCCTGCGCCTTTATTTGTAAATGCTTGCCAGTTCCTTGTGACGCGCCCGCCGACGTCGAACACGATGATCTAGTACTAGTAGTAACTTTGCAGCGCCCGCGATTGCGGCGCCCCTTTGCTGCAAATATGCACTGGGACTGGCGTTCTGGACCGCGTTCTCCTCCATGGGCCTCGACACCACAAGCAAAGAGTTTCGAGAGAAGTGGACCGAGTATACCAAAATGACTTGCGATCATGAGCAAGGAGAGACAACGAACGTGACTGAGGAAGCGATTGATTAGTACGTACGAAGGACGCAAATATTTAGGACTGTATTCTATGTAGCAGACAAGAAAAATATATCAGACTACGAAGAAAGACGGCAAAAGTTGTCAATTGTCAGTCTTTTTCAACGTTCAACGTTGGAAGTTCACCGAACGTCAGCCTGGGTGCGCGTTTTCTCGTACAAAAATGAGCAATTTTGCAGCTTGCAGAGTAGCAACGCACGCGGCAGAGCAGACATTCAGTGTGTGACAAGATGCGCGACATGTCACATGTCATTAAACGCGTGACAGATTCACTGATCTAGATTGTCAATAAGTTGCGGCGTGCACTGAGGTCACTGGGTTGTAGGTATAGTCTTATGCTGAATCCTTTTTCGCAAGCTATAGTGTATGCTAATTTGTTCAGTCCAACCTCCAGCAAGTTTACAGCATTTTCACGATGCCCGTTTGGTCTCCCATTAGCACTGGCCATTTTCAAAACAACGGTAGCCTAATCAAAACAACGGGAACTCCAGGTCACGTCTGCCTCGTCGGTGTCGTTTTCTCTCTCCATTCTGTCTTGATGCTCTCGAGGACATCGAAGCTAGCAGTTCTGCAATTGGATTCGAGTCCTCTCTCATAACTCTCATCGACATGACCGACCTACAAGTGCCGTTTCTAATTTCGCTTTTCGACGACTTTCCATATACATCACCATCTAATCGAGTCACCATAAATCCCAGTGGAACGGCTCAGTGCACACCAAAAACGCATCCATGAGACCTAGTAAACAGCGCCTATGGCGGGAGCAATCGTGGTGTCATCGAGGACTTCTATGTTCAAGCTTGCAACGAGACTATAAAACCGCGTCGTAAGTATGTATCCAACTCTTTGACATTCCCTTTATTCCAAGATCTCCATTGCTCGAGCGACAATGAAATTCGTTCAGAAGCATGCACATTGATCAACTCAGCAACAATGCACTAGTAACTCGCGCGTCGTGCTATCAACCATACTGCACCAATGCGAAAGCAGAAATACGACTCACTGTAGTTCACTGTCACGACATGCCGCTCAGACATCCACACATATGGAGACAAGCTACCATGTCGGTGAGTCATGTGGTTAAATCTAGGACGCAAACTACTCATACTCACAACCACAGTTGCACCTTCAAACTGCCATGACTTTTGGCACTTCTGGCCAGCGCAGCACTTTAATATGGAGCAAACTTCGGGACAATAACGAATGCTGGTATCAGCGTCGCTGGCAGATATTGACGCTGTCAAAGCAGCGACGACGGCGAGGACGAAGGAGAAACGCATTGTTTCTAAGGATATGATATGGGATCAAATAAATTCGACGAGGACGGTAGGAAGACGGCTTGCTTTTATGTCCTGAATACTGTTCTGGCAGAACTTCGTGGCGATGTAGAACCTATGTTACGGGCAACATAATTGATCCTTCCTCACATGTTCCTAACATTTTGAGAACTTAGTTCACGCACGGTTATACAGACCGTCACTCCGTTCATGACGGGACAACTTTGAGTGACTCCGACTAGTACTACCAAACTGAGTCCTGACAGACATAGATGTCATCCTATCCTCCTTCGTCCCTGCGTTAAGACCACACAAGCTGCGATTATCGGGTGCGGTTGCGGCATGCTGCAGACCATACAAGTACCAACCCCCCCCGAGACAACTGGAGGCAGCATGTATCTGCTATACAATGTATCAAACGATGTCTTATTGACGCCATGATGCTGTCTGGGGCATTTTCCAATCAGAAATTGCAAGAATACTTCGTGGATACGATTGGTTTTTTATGATTCAGTAGTACACACACAAAAAACTCATAGTGCATTGTCACATCTGTTGAGAAGCAAAGTTCGATGATCTATCAGTACCAGCGTGCTTACCATCAGTCTGAGCTACAATCCCACCCTGAATCCAGTGGACCTCAACCCCAAACGCAGTTTTAAAAAAACTCACATAAGAAATACACTGCGTCTTACTCCGAATATCAACGATCCCAGCTTCTGTCTTCTCGATGGTAAGATTGGCTGACGCGTCTTCGCCTGTGTCCTCGCAGTTAAGGCCGTCGTCGACGCTACGATATGGAAAGACAACGCACCGAATAGACTTCGAGCATGCATGTTTGCATTTAGGGAATCGCAGTTACCCGACATGGCTCCTGGTGGTGTTCGACAGGACACGTTGGTGGACCTCAGTGTTTCAGGTAGTCGAGAGGGTCACTACGTATGAGTTAGCGAGAAAGTCGGAAAGTCGGTATAACAGCCAGGAGACATATGACATGTTCGTCGATACATTCACCCTGTTCTCCCACTCAAACTCTGTCCACATGCTTCGGACCTTGAGAGTAATTAAATGTCTAGATAGCCAAAGCAGGAAAGACGTACCTATATTTCACTACAATACGTAGGCTTAATATGATATCGCTATGGACGTCGTTCGAGATGACGCAGCAGTCACCGAGGGCAGGGCCTTCCCATAAAATGCTGCAGAATATGACTGCCGTCTCTGTTGATGAGACCTACAAAACATCAACATTTGAGCAGGGGAGTATTGTGGGCTGTCACCTTGACTGTAGCTTTGCTACTCTGGAAACCAAGAAGCACTATGAGATATACAACAGGTCGTTCAACCAGCTTGAGGTCCCCGAGCGCTGCAAAGTCAAGACAGAGATTCTGCGGCGTATTAGGCGTATGGTTGACCGGAAGCACATCTGGGTAGCTGTCATCGATAACATAGCCCATTCAGGGAAGTATGTGCACCAAGTAAAATGTTAAATTCGTGCATCATCGTGATGCTTCCGCACATAGAGCACTGGAAGCCGAGATGCTGTGGATTTCGAACACGATGGACGCACACGTCACACACCTCTCAATGGTTGACAGCCTCCAATCTCGCTGAGCCAGCGCCGTCTCCGTTGCGCATGTCCCGTTGGCAAGCACCTTTGGCCGCCCATTCCCTTCGACTTTGTTACCCTCCATTTTATCCTCCTCGCCGCCAGCCTCGTCAAGTAACCGCTGCTCGCTTGCAAGAATGGGGATCTCGCCAAGCACTGAGTTTCGGGTCTCTTGGAATGTGGTTTCGATGTCTGACAAGCATCCAGGATACAGAGGACGCCGTGGAAGGCTTTGCCGGATTTGATCTGAGGATTTAGGTGAGTTTGTCGCATATAGATGGCCGAAGGGGTGAGAAATTCTCGATCACTTCGCTGTGGGTGCCTTAGTCGAATAAGATATAGAGAACTAGGAAGGGAGAAGAACATACCAAACGAAAACGACAGCGTCAAATGCAGAGGGGCTATCCGAGTCTCCGAGGAAATCCATGAGTGCATGAACAACACTTGCAGCCACTTCGAAAAACTTGACTGCCAAGACGCGGATAGATTGGATCAGGGGCTGTCTATACTCTGGGGTCTGTCACAGAATTAGTCCACCATAATGTGCGGGACTGTCAGATCGACCTTTTCGAACTCCCGCTGTTGTGTCCATTGCAGCTGTTTCTTGAGGAAGAGCACGGTTCCTTCCACATTCTAAGTCGAAGGCATGCTAAGCACGATATTCGTGGTTTTGCTTCGGACCTCCTTATCAGCGTTGATACGATAGGACTCAGTAAGTGTCACAGAAAGTATTGAATCACAGTTCGCACCTCGACAGGGCCTGTGAGATGTCCGTGATCAGTTCACCCAGGATGTGCCCATGCTTTGAGCGCATAGTTTCTGGGCGATCCAGGACGATCAGCTTAATGTTGTTGTTTGATGACAAGATCAACGAAGCACGAGGCGGCAGCTAAGAATCAAGCTCAGCAGATATGTGCAAGATACCTAATCCTAAACGTACGCTTCACAGTAGCAGGGTTCTGCATGAGGTGGTAAGCGTTGTTCACACATCACTGTATGCGACGGGGAGTTCAACAATTCAAACACGCATCTGATATATCGTGGCTGCAGGGCAAGAGGAGTAATGAGCACTCACCCGATGGGTTGTATCATTCTTACGATCCAACCTGATAACCACTATAATGCGCATCTGCGACAGCTCATCAAGACTTGTCTACTGATCTGAAACGCTAATAAACCACTTCACGGCCTTAGGGATCGCAGATTGAGGAAGGAATATAAATGTGTTACGTTTGCACGTCGCGCCAGACTCTGCAGCGGTGAAAGCCTCTATGAGCTCAGGTATTCATATTCGCGGTAGATAGTGTACACGATAAACACGTCGTTCATAAGGACATAGGAATGACGGTGCGTGAGATAGCTTCGGCAGGTGGGGATGACGGGTTCGAAGAATCCGGCGTCTTTGAATATTTTTTGGAGGAAATGGAGGGTATCGCTGCGGATGTATTCATCGGAGTGCTGGAGGGATATCAGGAACAGTACGTGGGGCATTGCTGGGGAAGGTGAGTTATATTCGCAGTAGGAGAAGAATGAATACGTACATGCACTGAAACTGGTGTTCTGGAACACTTTCTACTCTATGGGCCTCGACACCACTAGCAAAGAATTTCGAGAGAAGTGGACCAAGTATACTAAAATGACTTGCGATCATGAGCAAGGAAAGATGACGAACGTGACTGAGGAAGCGATTGATTAGTACGGAGGACGCAAATCAGGACTGTATTCTATGTAGCAGACAAGAAAAATATATCAGACTACGAGGAAATTCGAAGAAAGACGGCAAGACTTAAGAGTAAAAACACGACTTACCTCACGCTCCTACCCAGCGGACGTTTCGCAGGGGGTCCCATCCTACTACTGAGACTACACCGTCGCTCGCTGAAAACCTATCCCACACATCCAAAAGTAGTAATGTGTGGCAAACCTGTCCGAAATGTCGTTGATATGGTTTTCTCACTATGTATTGCCGACCAATTTAATATTTACTTATTTGATCTACCACACTGAGGTGTGTGACACGCCTGTATACAAAACTCCCTGTGCATTATAGAGATACCAGTAGGTACATTAGCAACCGGAGCTACTATGAATATCAAGTTGATTTGTTTTGAATATATTGCATGCCACACCTCACACAGATATTTTGTCCCATACCTGTGTATAAATATCGAGCCCAGGTAGGTTGTATGTACCTCTGGTCAAGATTGGCCAGACATCGACACATATATTCAGGATAGCTATTAGTCGGCAGATGAGTGCTGAGCATCATACCAATCTCGCATGCAGTCACATTGAATGGCATTAAACATACGAAAAACGGTCAAAAAACATTGCATTACTGGTGAGCTACTAGATACAAGTGTTATTATGGTGTCAAAACGAGTGATATGTATAGAATATGCAAATGATATTGAGTAGGGAACGAGCAGGCGAGATATTCACCAAAGCAAATTGGTCTGACTTGTTGTTTGCCACTGGGGACTGGTGGTGGAAAGAAGTTTCGGAACGGTCCTCTTCCCGGGGAATTCAGCGAGGTCTTGCTGGAAATACTCGACCAGGACACTTCGTAATAATGAGTAACCATGCGAAGAGTGAAATAGCGAGGAACTTACTTTCGGATGATGTTCTCGACCGTTGTTCCGTCGTCGAGTTCCTCTGCCTGCACCTTTGCCATTTTGCGAATGCCCTCAAGCGAGGCATCCACAAACCTCCAAAACTTGGTAGAGGTGAAAACAGCGCACTTCCCGTTGCCCCCAAATCCCAAGTCATCAGGGTGAAGTTCATTCGTCTCTGCCATGCCAGTCTCAGTGTCGTCAGGCCGATTCTCGTTATCATCTCCATCATGGTTGATATTGAGACCGGTTCCATTGTCTCCAGCCTCTGTGTCATTCGTGTTGCCTTCAACATCTCCCAGACTGTCTGTGCTGTTCTCATGGACTTGATTAGCATGAACGCGCACCATGGGCCCTGGGTCAAAGTCGTCCAATTCAACATCAATGCCCAGTGTATCACCAACTTTGATGCGAAGGTCTCGGTGGAGAGACGGAAGGAGAGACGGAGAATAAATATCCTTCAGAGGTATGGTCTTGTAGTTACCGATGCCAATAAGAAATATGTGCAAGCAGCGCCGCTGCGGTCCCGTTAAAAACCTTGGGCAGTCAAGAGAGTGAGGCCATACCAAAAATGCGTATCTATTCCAATGGGATGCATCAACCTCTATGCAACCATGGGCTAGCAATCTTGCGGTGTCCATAATGCTCGAGCATTTGAAGATCGATGACACCAGCTGAATCAGTCTAAGCTTATTTCTGTGAGATACTGTAGAGATACGACACTAGCTTCGTCACGTGCAGCACGTGACACAGTCACACTTGGTGTCACAGCTTCGAATGACCCTGTGACCTGTGACCACATAAAAAATAGCTTCGCAAATTGTGATTGCTGCACCTTGGCTTCTTGTCTGATTCATATATTATTGTAAAGCTGAGAAACAACAGGTAGAATCTAGCTCGGCATTGTTGTTTTTATATGTTTTCTGTATGTTTTTCTGTATGTTTTTACCATATGTCACAAATTAGCTTCGGTCCCCAAAAAATTGGTGTGACAGTCACACCAAATAGGTTTGATTCGTCGATGGCTGTGACCCGTGACGAACCTAGTGTCGTATCTCTACAGTATTTGTGCAACACTAACCTTCGTCTTGACATTGCTGCGGATGCAAGAAAGTGCTTCGCTGACTAGCTTCGAGAGTTGTGCGGTGAGCTCCACATCTTCAAACAGGAACTTCGGGACCTTGAATATCTTGTTGTTGTTCTTGATAAAATCCTGTCATAGTTTTCAGCCGCTACTTTTGTACATAAAGGATATTGAAGGTACCATGACGTGTTCATGCGTGTCATTGACATATGCGGTGAGATTCGGTGATAATACACATGCTGTGAGGCGGTTAAGAAGACCCGTCTGTGTCATGCTCGATCAGCTTTGAGTCAGTGAGAGATTACAAGACAGTTAGACATGAGTACCTTGAAATCTTTGGATTCAATTAGTTCTTTGATTTCCACGAGGAGAGACTTTCTGTTAGCCTCATTCAACAGCATCAAGGTGGCCTTGATATCAATGAGCATATAGGCAACTCCTCCAGTCTAAAGATGCGTCAAAGATAAGTCATGATAGGATTGGGGAAAACTCGCATCGATGAATTCAAAGAGGTGCTCCTCTGAGACACCTTTCTCTTCAGCAACTTTCTTTGCATACAACTTGAGTTGCTTTGTGAGTCAAGGTGTAAATATCAATGGGTTGTTACGATCAGTGCTAGAAGATCTCCGGCGACGCAAACCAGCACTGATGGGCTCATCCAGTGATCCGTCCGGTGAAGCGCACCGAGACTCGGAGGTGGGGCTAACACCAGTTTGACCTTGAGAAGCTTGATTAACGCTCATGGTCTGGGCCAGTGGTGAGCATGCACGACTGATATTTCCTCCAGATCCGTATACTGAAGGAGGTCGAGATGCATTCTGGATGGAAGTTGAGGGACTCCTGCCTCAAGGAACAGTGGCATGTGGTGTCAATAGACCTCCCGATGAATGTGGGATGCCTGTGCTTCTCAAACCTGAACTGGTCCATACAAAATAGTGCTGGAGCATCATGATCTTGGGGCATGAACACAGGAGCAGTTCACTGTTCTGCTCAAGGTTGACCGACGGAAAGATGCGGGTTGGCTCGGTGGCTGATTCAATGTTCGCTTCTTCGCTTGCATCAATTCAGTTGCGATATGAAACCTTTTTCACAAGATGCTCCTGCAGTGCGCTCAAGCCTGGTGAAAGCAGCGGAGATAGAGTATGAAGCGATACAAATGACACAATCTCAGAATAAGGGCAGGACTGATGTAGTATGGAGAAAGGGGCTGGGGGGGGGGTGACGAGAAGGAAGAGATAATCACTGAAAGACGCGCAAGTTGTATACTAATAGTACATGAAGTCGCGCATATTGTACATGGAAATGCAAAGATTGAAATCCTCGGGTGAGGGGTGAACATGGGACATTTCGCCGCCATCAATGTGGTCTCGATAAGCAGCAAATGACCAAGGGTGAGCAGACGACGTAAATTAGCAGTCGATAGTATATATCTGAGCGGTACTTTTTCTCAGTGCAGTAAGAATGGGCAGGAGAAGAAAAAACTTGCCAGAATGTTAACTTTGGAGTTCATGTTCCTCAACGCGGCTGAGTTGTTTCCCTTGTAGAATGAAGGACTGACCTCAAGTGTAATGGGATTGATGCGGATGGCTACAAGTAAAAATCATGAACTGCGGGGCTGCCAGACAACCAACTTGAGAATGGCTTGAAGGCCTCCACCCGACCACATGTCTTTGCTTCGCTCTGTCTCCTCTCATTCTGCCTCCCCTCATAAAGAGCTATTACTGGTGAAGGGACAGGAAGGCATCAATGAGTTCCTCGGGGATACTCCATACCAAACTGTGGGTGGTGATGCTGACTCTGCGGGTATTGAACCTGAGAAGGATAGTGAGGCTGTGGGAAGCGGCCTACAACGCTATGTGACATCAGAGGTTGAAATTGGTGCGATGGTGGGGCTTCTTGCATGCTTCGTGTTTGCTAATAAGTCGGGTGAATATATGGGGCTGGCATAGGCAGAGGGGCGTATGGTTGAGATGGAGGGGCATATGGTTGAGACGGAAAATGTGATTGTGGGGGAGGGTGGTACAACCGGGGTGGTGAACGGTGAAGTGGAGGTGAGGAGTGTAAGGGGGGAATCGAAGGAATCGACAGGGGCGGAGGGAGAAACTGGTGTGGGGGATAGTATGGTTGGGGTGCAGGTGAGTAAAAACGTTGCGGAGGACCTCCCATTGGTGTCACAAAGGAAATTTGATGGTGCTGCGATGCTGTTGAATTCTGCTCACTTGGAGTAGGTGCCGTCTGCATAGAAGGCCCCGCAATAGCATCTGAGGTCATTGGCTTCTTTCTTCCTCGCGTGCTCAGACCACCTGTGCTTGCTCTTGTCTTTGCTTTGGGTGCAGACTTTCGCGGTTTCGGTGCAGCGTGATCAAAGGCAGAAGGTGGCGCTAAAGATGGTTCAGCATCCGCACCCTCGCCACTGCCTGTTAGCTGGGCATCTCTGCCTTTCTTCACTGCTCTCTTGTCCCGTAGTTGGTGTATGGCTATGGCCCGGACTTCAGCTACGTTGGTAACCTGAAGCGGCGTCTCGCGAAGTGTATCAGGGACGACACGTTGGATGTGATCGTAGTTGTGGATGGAATAGATGTTGAGAAAGAAGTTTGGAGTTGACTGGTGCTTGACAGTGGCCTTCATTTGAGAGGTGGCTATCCGTTCTTGACGTACAGGCGTTTGATGGATGTCCATGCACTGCGAATCAAGGCAATTATGTTGCAGATTGACAACACAAATGATGTCCTGTGAGGTGATCCAAGTCTTAAATAATTAGCTTGCATATAAAACACATGACATACTACACTGGTTGAAACCAGCTCGTTATCAGTAAGATTGATAGACGGCAAGTGGAGAGTTGGGTGCAAAGCAGTCGCAAACATGAAGAGCTGAAGTGCGACGTGATCTGCTGTTTGGCTGTCGTGGGATGATATGAGAATCTCTCGAATACATCCAATATATGTCTGGAAGCAGTATCACAGTCGTATCGATGAGCAAATCATGATGAAAGGAATATATATATACTGGCTCACCTTCCCATCCGCTGGTTGTCGGAAGATAACATGACTATTCAAGCGTGCGTGTTCTCCTTCACGCGTCACAACTGATTTGCCCTGGTAATGGACGGCCCCAGGCTGAGCATTCCCAAGAATCTTCACGCAACGAGTGGTTTTCCAAGGGACCGCATTTTTTCGCACTGACTTTGATGTTGCAGTGGGGGTAGTGGTCTTGATTTTTCCTGAACCTGTAAATCATTAGCGGCGATATAGTGACAGCGCGCGCCATTGAACTGACCAGGTATTGGAGGACTATGACCGGAGTTTGGTATACCTAGAAGCCTCACTTGTTCTGGATGTTCGTCAAGATAACATAGAACCTTTTCTCCTGCACGAACCCATTTCTTTACGGTAGAATCATACCAATATCCCCAAGTAGCAATGTGCTTGATCGTGTCCTGGTGAGAAAAGATTTTGCATGTATCTCTACTTGGTGCCTGTTGGTTGCTGTAGATACACAATAAACAGAATATGTGATTGAACGATTCATATCGCTCGGTTGAAAAAACAATTGCAGGGCTGAAATGACGAATGTAAGCCGGAAGATGAATGAGGAAATGGAACTTTGGCTTGCTTATCAAAATACTCGGTGCGCATTGTGTCGTAACATTCAAGAAATCTTCAATGGTTCGAGATAGTGTTGCCTGTCTCGCAAAGGTATGAGACAAGCCTTGTAGATAGAACACGAGTTGAACTTACAAGATATGTTTCCGTGTCCGTGATTCTCATATGCCAGACCAGTATGACGAGTTCACCAATCACTGTCCAGGCATTAAGAACCGTCGGAGGAACAAGGTCGTGGATGATAAATGGCATAACTTGCGCCAAACTTTTGAAGTGCTTCCCGATCAAACTTCCTTTATAGTGACATATGTAGTCTGCATTTAAGCAGGGAGCATTCAGTCTGTCCTTGTCAATGGACTCGAGCCGGTACTGAAAGATGGGGAGAAACTTTGCTTTCTCGAGAAGAAAGACTGTCTGCCCCCAGAAGTACTTGACAACACCCAGGAGTATTGTATGAAGTATCTCCGTGGGGGTGTCCATATGAATGTCTAACCCTGTAGGAAGCTAAGCAAGAGATCCACAACAACTAAAAAACGACTAACCTTCTATTCCCAGTAGCGGGTTGATGGTGTCGTCGAGTTGTCCACCTTTCAAGAGTTCTTCAAATTCTTTTGGAAGGGTGGCCTCGATCTCATTTTCAGGCAGTGCTTGAGATCCCGTGGTACGTTTCCGAAGCTTCTTGCTGAGTTCAACCAAGGTGTTGAGAATCGAACTTGAAGCTGAATCTCGGACACCCATTGATGCCACAGAATTCTGGATTTTCGTTGTGGCACCTGATTTGAAGGCAGTTTCAAACTGTTGTTGAATTTCTTGACTCGTCTTCTTGGGGGTTCATAGATTGCCTGACTGCAAGTACCAGTAAGTCATATGGAAGATACTGAAGTGATCTTCGTACCATAAAAATACTATTGTAGCCAGCTTCGGATTCCTTGTATGCCTTCGTTCCGCCAACATCACATGTCCTGCAAAAGTAATTGCAGCTGAGCCCTGCATGACTACACTCTTTGGCTTGCATCGGATTATCTCCAGCAAGAAATAGCCCATATGGAATGAGCATGACTTCCTCGTTGTACTTGCAATCCCATGCCGAGACACCAGATTGTGCTGCATCACTATGTACATTCAATGATACTAGAAAACAACAAAAAAGTCGAAAACCGTACGAGATAGACTCTTTCATTGCTTGCATCAATTCCATGGGTGGAGCGTGAGGAGAGGACGAAACAAATCGCATGAAAAATTCTTTTTTGAGCATCTCTCTCGGTAAGTTTGCATTGGACATGTATATGGCATGGTGTTTATTCCACTGCTTTGAGATATTGCCGGACACATCATCCATGAAGATGATTAAGGGAATGGTATACACCATTCGACCTTTCGACTTTTCTTGCAGTGAACTGGGTGACAGCGATGCATATTTAATGGAAGAGGCTGTGGCATACTTGAGTCCCATAGGCGCCAATGAAATCAGAGCGGAACATACACGTCAGTCCACAATCAAGCTCGCCGCAGGTTGTGGCAATGTCTCCAAACGATCGTACAAACATAGATGTTGGGATTATCTCCTCCTCGTCGCTTACAATGAACCCAGCCTGATAAACGTTTGAGCACCAGCACACTTTACATAGAGGCAAACAACGTACTTCCGTCCATTCGGCAGCTCGACCTAATGCATACAGGACTTTATCCGATTGCTCAGAGGATTCGGTGGTGTCTGCGCCAGCTAGAAAGAATAATTGTGGGATGAAATAGCCTCCCAATGACTCCTGCAACAGTTCATCTGTAAGTACATGGTCCCGTCCACCTGAACCGCTGGTGGCAATGGGAGATTGAGCAACATTTTCTTCCTGTGGAACACTTGCGACATCCCCTTTCCGCCATCCTCTGGATAGTCCTGCATTGCAAGGTGAGTGATGGGATTAGCGTAGTCCTATAAATAATGTTAGCATCACATCAACACGGAGATCCATCTCACAAACCTTCACAATTGCTTTTGTGACACTATTGATGTAGAATATGTCTCCAGAGTGAGACACAACCTTCTCAGTCGGATCACCTATGAGATCCTGCAGGTGACTCTGGCACTTCTTCATTGCGCCAAGTGAGGGAAGGTTTTGGGCACCAAGTTCTTTGGCCCAATTCAGGACCGCCTTCTTTTGGGCTTCGGAAAATGGAAGCCGTGGGGAGCTGAACAGAAGGGAAGTAATAAAATGCTTGATGTAGTTGTAAGTATATCATATATGTGTGCACCACAAAAGACTTACCACTTTTGATGGCCAGGGATACAATGTATGATCTGGAGAGACGGTGTGGTTAGTGCTCGCCGGTTCAAGAAGCGGGTCATCTGTAGATACCGCTGAGTACGGGATTGCAGACTGCAGGAAAGATAGCCGACTTACCAGGAATTTCAATCCCGAAGTCAGGTGCACTGTCGTCAACAAGCTCACGCTCCTTGTTGGTGGGAATGACAGGCGTTGAGAAAGAAATTTGTCCTGAAGCAAGAGATGCCTGTAGTTCAGCAAATAGGTCCGGAAATTCATTATCGAACTGGAGCATTCGGCTGCTGATGATCTTGTTCCAGAGATTGGCCAATGGATACTCAGAATCTGCATCATGTGGCGCCATTTCGGGTACCATGGACGGTCCATCAGTTTGCGTGTCAATTGGTACATCATCCACATGATCAAAATCCATGTTGAAGTCATTGTGACCAGCAGGGGAAAGCGAAGGATCAGGATCGCCGACAGGCGTTGCAGCCGAGATATTTGGCTGTATGGCTCGGCCAGAAAGCGTCTGGTCATCCTTAAGAGATTTGGCACGACGGATGTGAATGTCCTGGTTCGCATGCTTTGTAGCATGACGTCGTTTTTTTTTTTTTCCATCATACGATAGGCCCCATCTTTTTTAGGGCACACAGTGCATAGAACACGATTGAGGTGTCATTGTAGTATCGAAAAACTGTAGACACCGTGTAGCATCAATAAATAAGCAACAAGAGGAAGATACGTACTATGGCCATTGATGATGTCATCCTTCATGCTGGGCAATTCCACTATAAGTTATCGAGGACTGGTGTGCAGACTCCAGAAAACAATCAATGCGATATGCCAATCACGTGACTGTGCACATTCAAAATGACCAAGTCCAAACTCTCACGTCTCGCACCTGTTGATCATTGTTCTCTTGACGTTAATATGGATTCGGTGTTATCACTCACCAAAATTTCGACTATCTATCCTGGTGTTCATTATCAGGACAATCATGCTTCACTCCAACTGATGTCCCTCACCGTTTTCTTTCCTGGTACATTTCCACGACAGACTTTAGAAAGGAACATTGTACGAATCCACCATCTTCAATTTTCCTTGAGGCTTGCTCACAACTAGATGCTAGCCTATCCACATATCAGTATCCATCGATGAGGAGTATAGATCGTTCATCACACCGGTCATAGAGGTCGCATAGAAAGCTCTACACTGCCAGTGGTAGTTCACTACACTCAGATGATGTGAGTGCACATATCATATGTCCAAATGTCAGCCTACTTATATCGCACTGAAGTCGCATTTGTCCCAAGCTATGTTCTGTGACGACAAGACCATTATACCATTCCTCCCACTCCCGCCTTCATTCGACTCTGTTGATCGAGCCCATTGGGAATCAGTATTGCAGCAAATCCAGGAATGGCTCACCACCAAAGTTGACACAGAATCATCGCTGTGGACGTGGGGACGCGACACTTTCTGGCTGATGTTGGTTGCCGCCCATCCGTCCTTCCTGATGGGCAAATGGCCGATGTGGGACCCTCTTATTCCACTGGAGGGATCATTCATCGAACAGTGGTTAGAGCGTTCGAGTGATGGTGGTGCTGATGGCGCTGATGAGGAGGCTCTGACCCAGGTAGTGAATAATATATGGGATGAATTTTGCAGACACGCGGCGCTCTTCTATCCCCTTCCCCTCATTGCCTTGGATTGATGTCATTCCAGCATTTTTGTTGTTGAATTTCTTTTCAGCATGCTGTGGCGTCTATCATCGCATATGTTCAGGCCTAGGATACCATCAGTACATACTATTGCACCCTTTTTTGTATGTATGTATGTATACCAATGTCATAAACTTTGACTCGAACAATGCCTGTGTCGAAAAACGCTTGAAAAACTGAGGCTAGTATGGTGCACGACCTCCTAGATGTGGCGGTCAGAGGCAAAGATAGCGGGCATATCGAATGTGATATGCACAAGATATTTCAGCTCCCATTCTCTTACACATAACTTACCCCAAGCTATTCCATATGTAGCGCATGTGATATTTGGCAGGACTCTGTGTCGGATACGAGCAATATATGACTGATTTTTACCAAATGTCAGAAATATTTCCCTAGTACACACCAGATTTGCAACCTTTATGGCGTGAATTCACTATTTGTCTACAAAACCCTTATTATAGCCAGGGTTATAGGAACAAGCCGGGTCCTCTAAATAGTTTTCTCACAATATTGGTCATGGATAAACCAGGAACTAGTGGTGTAGATAAAATTGTAGTTGTTATTTATTCCCACAGCCAAAATTCAAAATTCAAACTCCCCACTTCTCCCTCCACCCTCTCTACGACCGCTGGCATAAAACATTAGTAAACAGTGCAGCCACAGGTTCATGGCCTGGTCAGGATTATGCGTTGCACTTCAATTTTGGAAACTGTCCAAAAATGCTATCAGCTGAACTGCTGACATATATTCAAATCCGCAACAAAACACAAGAGGCTTTTGGTTGTCAGCCTTGCCTCTGGCAAATCGAAGTTGTACACACAATCTTGAGAGGTGACAAGGATGTCATTTCGATTGCTGCAACTGGTTCTGGCAAGACACTAACTTTCTGGATGCCTTTGCTATTCAGACCACAGGACATGCAGATTGTCGTCGCTCCGTTAAACCTTCTCGGAACTCAGAATGTAAACAACCTTGCTAAATCAGGTATTGAAGGGCGCTGATGTCTTGAAATCAACATCGAAGTTGTCATATACGTATCCAACGAGCAACGTCTGGCTCATCGCCTGTATGTGTGTGATGCTCTCATGCGACAACGATCGGATTGCATTGAGAATTGTAGCGGGGCATGTTGAGATGCCCATTCGTGCGAGCATGTGAATGACTCGTTGTGGTGTGTTGCATGAATGCAAGAAAATCCCGTATATACTTTGCAGTGCATTGCATTTTTGATTCGAACTTTGCAGCATAATACTCATGAGGACAACTTTTTTCTAATGCATGGAGTTGAGTTACAGTTTTGAACATATGAACACGCATACAATTTTGACAATTGCTCCACGACGCTTGGCCTTAATGTTCTCCCGTGAGTGTGTGGTTCCTTCATTTTGCACTTCAACATTACTATCATCCTCCCTCCAGTATTCTTCATCATCTGCGTCATCACATATGACCTCTGTTGTCTGTCCACTAGCAGACAGAACATCACCCAGCATCCCCCACAACTCTGGTGCAAGACTTTGCATGTCTCTCGCCATATGTTCGAGCTTGAAATCCTCCAGCTGGTCGGATGAAGCATTCAGGGCACTGAATTTCCACCCGGTTTCTTGCTGTGCCATTTGGTTGATTGACTGTGCATATTGTTTCACAGTCATTGAATGTGCCCACTGATGAACGAGAGGTTCACAGGCTGGGTGTTGGAGCAAGGTATCACAAACCAAAGCTGGCTGGTGGGTAAGGCTCTTGATGCAGGAATGCTCCGAGAATGTAGAGTGGTTCACGATCAAACAAATGAAGTCGAGAGTAGTTGTCACGAATTCCAAATATGAACCATTTTTCATTCCTCAGTTTTCCTTCGGCTACTTCCAATACCCAAACCGGTCACTGTGACTCCTCACCCTGTCACACCTTCACCTCTTCACATATCACCCATGGTTTCTCTGATTGGCTCCCCTACTCCACGGGCTAGAACAATCTCACTTCCCAAAGAAGAACCGGTCGGAACTTGGGTTTCTATTTAGTTGCCATATTACTCATTCGCTTATATATCATGATGCCATACTTAGTCATCCGCAGTATCGTACAACTCTTTTCTCATTGGCTGATTTCTTTCAGACTCCTATTCAATGTTATGTATATAAGTAGGTTAGCATAGTACTCCTAGACTTAACCTCTTTGTTTCCTATGCTTGTAGGACTTAGACGTTCACGCTCAATACCATCTTGTTCATTATCCTCTTGACCGAGTCCTAGTGGTTGTGTGCTCGCCTTCATCATTATTGGTGAATGTTGGTCATAACAGTAGTGATGTTATGATATTTGAGGGCCTGTACAATACCCCAGAGTTGTGAGTCGCTCATAGTATCTGTACTTTGTCCGATTCGGAGATGCTTTCCTTTTCTGTGCTTATCATTGGGCCATAGACCTGTGGCTGCACTGTTTACTAATGTTTTATGCCAGCGGTCGTAGAGAGGGTGGAGGGAGAAGTGGGGAGTTTGAATTTTGAATTTTGGCTGTGGGAATAAATAACGACTACAATTTTATCTAGTCTCAGTAGTAGGATGGGACCCCCACCCTCAAACATGTCCGCTGGGTAGGAGTGTGGACTTACCTGCTAATAGAAGGGAGACAGTTATTGCCGGATTGAATTCTATAAGTCAATGTACAGAAAGTTGTCAATCATTATCAGTGAACCCGTGAGGAAAGTAGAAGGCCATAAATTACAATATATAGTACATAATCACAAGAACTAGCGTAATTCTGCTATGGACAATCACATTGTTATGTTTGGCTTTATAGAGGAAAGACGCTTCCCTGATTTTCCTATAAAATTTTATGATCGAGAGAAGCACCTGATTTTACTCAAACTCCAAAGCATCAAATAATTGACCCTGAAAATATAAAGGTTTACAATGCTTTGTCTAACCAGTCAAATTTATATGGTATATATCAGAATGATACTACTCGGAGTAAGTTAGACAGAACTACCAAAAGTGCCAGCATGACAGATTCCCCGCAACTACCTGCCATTTTATCACCAGCACCAAATAATTCTCAACCTCAAACACACATTTTGTGAAGAAAATCAAATTTATTTATATTCAAATACATATGTAGTTACAGGACAAAAAAAGAAACAGGGAATGATAGTGAAGAGGGAATATCATAACATGAATGACAGAGCGGCCACAAGGGAGGGACTAAGGCCAGTGAGGAACCATGAGAAACGGCCAATGAGGAACCACGAGAAAAGGCCAGCAAGGAACCATGAAGAAAGGCCAGGGAAAGACCACCACGAACGGCCAGCAAGGAACCACTGAGGAAAGGCCAGGGAGGGACCACCACGAATGGCCAGGGAGGAACCACAAGGAAAGGCCAGGGAGGGACCACCATGAACTGGCCAGGGAGGAACCACAAGGAAAAACCAGGGAGGGACCACCATGAACAGGAGGAACTCGAGAGGTGGTGGTAGTAGCGGTGAAACAAGATTGAAAGGAACTTAGCGTGAAATTTTCCTGTCCTGCACAAACAATGACAAACCAATTTCAACCACTTGCGCTGGTCACATGATTTGAGGTTATCCGATAATACTACAGTAAAATTTGAGGCTGAGGTGATGGTCATGTGCATGATCTTGGATGACATTGTAATTCACGCAATATTTGAATCGACTTATATAGATTTGTAAGTCAAATATAAATGAGGGAATATGATGTTGCTCAACAAACGGTACCTAATTACACAAATTCATGACCTTGTCGGAAATTCTCATAAGAATCTACATTAGGTTACAAGTGCTAATGGTCCTTTCCATGATAAAGTCTTATATCACTTGGTAGTTTAAAATATAAATGAAGGGATATGGTATGAGTCAACAAGTATGACTTAATGATGCTATTGCACATTGATTGCTGCAATGGCGCAATGTCAGTTATCTTGTCGCGAACTCCTCATGGTAAAATGAATTTTTAGACATCTATGGCTATGTACTGATCACTAATATTTCTTGCTGTATACATAGGTATATTCAGCAGTAGCAAAATTATTTCACACTGTATTTCTCACAGCTACCATATCATGGACTCATCAATTCACTGATGCGCCTGCCATTGTCGGTCGGTTTTCAACGTTTCAGTGTTCAACGTTAGAAGTTCACCGAACAGTCAGCCTGGGTGTGTGTTTTCTCATACAAAAATCAGCAATTTGGCAACTTGCAGTGCAGCAATGCATGGGGCAGAGCAGACATTGTGAACAGATCAGTGTGACAAGATGCGCGACATATCACATGTCATTAAACGCGTGACAGATTCACTGATCTAGAATATATGATACTGGTTTGCTCAGTCCAACCTCCAGTAAGTTTACAGCATTTTCACGATGCCCGTTTGGTTTCCCATCAACACTGTCTAGCTTCAAAACAAGACCTCCTCATAGTAAGTTACGGCATGTCGCATTTATGCAAAAACGTGCTTGTGGCTGAGGTTTCACTTTTTCAAGGGGCTATTGCACTCGATCATAATCAAGTTAGCCTTGACACCGTCTACAATACTAGCAACCGCACTTTGCTGGCAAATGGCTATACATTCTAGGCCTCGTGAACACGTGTCTTCTCTTCGAAAAATCGATTCTTTTGCACCAAGTTGAACCTTGAAAGAACACGCTTGCAGCTGGATGTGCATCAATTGACCAGAAGTTTCGATTGTTCCAGCAAGTTGGATATCTCCACTGTGAATGCCACGGTGGATCAGGACATCGATATTTGTCAATTTGTCATAGGAGTTGCATCTTATGACAACTGGCTGAGTGGTCCCAAAGCTGCACTAACCGTCAGTCCATCACTCAATAGGCTTGGTCTCCCATCAGCACTGGCCAGCGTCAAGCGCCTGTCAGCCTCATCTAACATAAAACTCAGCTGCTGCACCACGTGGTCAGTACCTTTCATTCCTCCTGTCCTCTCTTGTACTAAGTTTTACTGTATCTGCCCTTGTAGACTATCAGAGGATGTTCGACTTGACATTTGGGTTCAAGGCCCTAGGAGCATTAGTCGCTGTCGTTCTTGCAGGCAAGCTCCTCTGCGCTAAGATGTGCTCAAAGTCACGCCTGCCTCTTCCTCCTGGTCCTCCTGCACATTGGCTATTCGGAACTCCTCTGCCAAGAACCAAGTGAGTACATAAAATACGAAACTCTATGTGGACACTAATGGGAAACGCATCATAGTCAATCTCAGCAGCTTGCAGAATTGATCAATACCTATGGACCCATTCATCTCACTTCAGATCGGGCCTAAGATCATGGTCATCATCGGCAGACACCAGGTATGATGGTTCTAATACTGGTCACCGAGTACGTACTCACCTGCACAGGAATCTGTCGATATAATGGAGAAAGAAGGTGGTCTACTAGCCGACCATCCTCGTGCAGTTGCGGCAGGAGAGATCTTGTCATGCGGGCTGCGTTTGATCCTTGTACCCGCAGGAGAGCAGTTCCGCAGACTTCGCAGGTTGGGTTGACATCTCCTCTTAATGACCTGTTTTGCTGAAATTATGTGATTCAGAGTGGCTCATACTCACCTTCAAGCGAAAGCTGCAGAATCCTATGCGCCAATCCAGATGGATGCTGCCCATAATGTCATCCTCGATCCTTAATAACCCTGAAGGACACCAAGCAGCTGCAAATCGGTGTGTTGCACTCCATGTATTATTTTACGATGACTTATGCATTCAAGTCAAGCTATGCTGCCCTCCGTCATCTTGCGTGTCACATATGGCAAGTAGACCCCCACCATCACAGATGCCCCCAAGATTATTGTCATCCACAAAATGCTCGTGCGACCTGGTGTATTACTGGTAGAGCAGCTACCCCGATATTAAAATATGTTCCGGGATATGTAACCGAGTTGGAGCAGTGGAGAAGGGAAGAGAGTCAGCTCTTCCATGACCAGCTTGATCATGTTTCGAGAGATTTGGTTGGTTCGTTCCACTTCTTTCCTGATCAGTACCTGACTGTTCTTCATAGGTGACTGGTAAAGCTGGCCCCTCGTTTACTTGTTATCTTCTTGAGAACCAGTCTTCGCACAAGCTCTCGGACGAAGAAATGGCTTATCTCGCTGGATCTCTCTTTGGCGCCGGTTCGGACACGACTGCTGTTGCAATTATGGTTCTCGTCATGGCTTCTGCATGCTATTCCAAGGCGCAGGAGAAAGTACAAGAAGAACTGGGCGTCGTCATTGGTCGTGACAGAGGTAAGTCGAAATATCATTATTCATCTGAGTGAAATCTCAGCTTTGTTACAGCTCCCACATTCGACGACTACAACTCCCTCCCACAAATTGAAGCGTTCATGCAGGAGTGTCTTCGCTGGAGACCCGTGATGACTCTTGGATTCGCACACCGTGCACTGACTGATATCCCATACGTACATTTTCCAGGTGCTCTATCATGTTTTTTTTTTGTTCTAACTGCCTGAGCAGAAGAATATGTGTATCCCAGAATGGTGCTATCGTCTTTGGCAATCACTGGTACGACTAACATCCATTCTATGCGATATATGTACTGATCACCTTTTAACAGGGCAATCTCCTGTGACCCAAGCGTCTACCCCAACCCTGACCAGTTCGATCCTCAGAGGTGGCTCAACACTGACGGCAAAATCTGGGACAATCTCAAGATCCCCTCATTCAGGTTTGGACGCAGGTACATGTCCCTGATATTAAACACAATTGCCTACATATTAAAATGCGACATGCAACATGCAGAATCTGCCCAGGACAACATATAGCAAACCGCTCGATCTTCGTCAATGCTGCGCTCCGCTTGTGGTCTTTCAAGATCACGCAGGACCCTGAGAACCCTGATTGACGAGTCGGGTGTTGTGGATGGTGTTATTGCACATCCTAAGCCATTTGCTGCGCGCTTTGAACCTCGGTTTGGGGATGAGGTGTCATTGAGGGGGGTGATGGGGAGGTATGGTGAGGGATTATAGGTTCTTGATCTTGAGCGTAGTTTATTGTGAACTTGGGATGTAATACTGTCGTTGGTATTTTGGTACGAGTGGCCTCTTCGGCTTAATATTGAAATCATATTGTTCTGAGCTCAGGATAGTTGTCCTTTGCATTCTAATTGCCACAGACCTACCATGGCAGACAACCTGAATCTAGGAGTGCTTATAGTAACGATTGGATTGCAGTACAGCAAGGCATATGACAAATATATAATGTTTCATGGGAGTGAAGGCATGAATGAAATCCTTGTGCAGGCCCAAAATGATATTGTGAGACTCGGTGCAGAAGAGGAAATGCAAGTGAAAGCCAGTGGATCAAGAAATTGCAAATATATAGTGTACAAGTTCTTCGGAGACTGTAGATTTATGTTGTACTTCTATTAGTCATGACACGCACATATGTTGTTGCTACCTACCGGAGATGATCATGTAGACAGGGAATCCTTCTGCTCCCGGCACTTGTGCCATGATGTCCTGTGGGCAAAACAACTGAAATTCGAGCTGCGAGACTCAATTGTGTATCACCAGTGTGTTCCCTGGAAATTGTATAGCTGGGTATATGTGGATTGGGATCCAAAAGAGGAGCCGTCCGTCGGGCCCTACAACCCATCCGTCCTTCGGTGAGGGTGAGAGAGGCTGGAGTGTAAGAATGTTGGAGAAAGGAGGACAGGGGAACAAAGAGCTGTGGGTCTGGTTGGACGACAAACATATTGCAGGTGCTTTGGAGGGTTGGTGGCGGTTGAGAATATCTAGATCCCATACCCGGATGGTGTGATCAGGATGAACCAGACACAATGTGTTTGCCATTGGGTGAGATTGCAACAGACCGAATGCGTCCAGTGTGCCCTCAGAGAGGGGCACCCACTGCCTCCCCAGTCTCCATATCCCACACTTGGATGGTCCTGTCATATGAACCGGATACAATGCAATTTCCATCTGGCGAGATTACAACAGAGCTCACAGGCTCAGTGTGGCCTTGGAGAGCCACACCTAATGCCTCGCTAGTTCTCATATCCCACACCTGGATGGTGCTATCAGCCGAGCCAGACACGATGCGATGCCCATCCGACGATATTGCGACAGAGCAGACGACATTGGTATGACCTCAGAGAGGGGTGCTCAATGCCTTGCCTGATCCCATTTCCCATATCCGAATTGTGTTGTCCGTTGAACCAGAAACTATGCAGTTTCCGTCTGGCAAGATTGTGACAGACAAAACATTGTCAGAGTGGCCTTCGAGAGAGACACCCGATGTCACTCCAGTCTGTGCCTCCCACACCCGGACTGTGCAGTCATCTGAACTAGACACAATGTGTCTCCCATCCTGTGAGATTGCGACAGACCGAACCCTGTCAGTGTGCCCTTGGAAAGGGGAACTCAATTCCTCGCCAGTCTCCATATCCCACGCCCCAGATGGTTTTGTCGCCTGAACCGGATATGATGTGATGTCCATCAGGTGAGATCACGAGAGAGTTGATGGGGTCAGTGTGACCATGGAGAGCGGTGCCCAATGCCTCGCTAGTCCTTGTGTCGGCATCCCACACCTGAATTGTCTTGTCGTATGAACCAGAAACTAAGTGATTTCCATCCGGTGAGATGACGACAGACGTAACAAAATCAGTACACCTGGATGGTCATGTCCCCTGAACTAGACACAATGTGATTTCCATCCGACGAGATTGTGACGGACTGAACAGCGCTAGTGTGGCCTTCGAGTGGGGCACCAAATGCCTCGCCAGTCTCCAAATCCCATACTCGGATCATTTTGTCCTCTGAACCAGACACGATGTGATGTCCATTCAACGAGATTGTGATGGACCAAACAGCGCCAGTGTGGCCTTGGAGTGGGGCACCAAATGCTTTGCCAGTCTCTAAACACCATACCCGGATCATTTTATCACAGGAACCGGATACAATGCGCTTTCCATCCGGTGAAATTGCGACAGACAAAAACTCATCAGTGTGTCCTTTGAGATGGGGACCCAATGCCTTGCCGGTCTCTGCATCCCATACCCCGATTGTCATGTCCAATGAACCAGATACAATGTACTTTCCATCTGACGAGATTGCGATAGACTGAACAGCGCCAGTGTGCCCTTGAAGAGGGACACCCAATACTTTGCCAGTCGCCGCATCCCACACCTGGATTGTCTTGTCCGATGAACCTGACACGATACACTTTCCATCCAGCGAGAATGCGATAGACCTAACACGGGTAGTGTGGCCTTGGAGAGGGGCACCCAATGCCTCGCCTGTCTCTAAGTCCCACATCTGGATCATTCCGTCACTTGAACCACATACAATGAGTTTTCTGTCTGGTGACATTGCAACAGAGAAAACCCTGGAATGCCTGTGGAGTATCTTTTCCATGAGAGGCCAATTTGCAGCATGACCAGTGGCAATCTGGGGGGTGCATGAGAACTTTGCAGTGAACTTTTGAGATATCTTTGACTGAATTGGAGCAAATGGCAGAGTGGATAAGTATAAATGTGGAGTGGAATGTAAAATGGTGGTCGCGAAAGTTCAAACGAAGTGCTGGGTGTCCCTGGCAGTGTCGTCGATGTGGACATATTCAGCATGATCCTACGACCATTCCACTTCTGGTAAGAATCTATCAGTCCTAAGAATGAGCTTGAGCTACGGACCTTAAACCAATGTGTGATAGACAAGAGGAACCCCACCGAGCCGCCCAGGCTTTTCATCAGGCACAGTGCTTCCAACCACCAAAGGAGGTGCTCCCCGTCGAAGAAAGCTTCAATTTCTTCAGCGAGTAATGGTTCAAAGGACGTAGCTCCCAAATGAGTCCCCCCAAAATCGATATGAATATGATAGTTCAGTCAGAATGGACTCTTTCACTCGTTTCTCCAAGTCAGGGACAGCAGAATTGGGCATGTAAGAACTTTCTAAAGTGCAGATGTTGAAGCGAAGTTTGCGCTCCATGATCCAAAGCGACGCAAAGGCAAGGTCTCATTGTACCGATGACACATCAATGAAGAAGTCGTGGCTGCGTGATCTGTCTGTGAGGAAGTCGTAGAAAGACGCGTGGAGGGGACATATGGGAGTTTGAGAGTCTACAGTTCCAGCCAAGAGTGACCCCAGCGATCCAATGACCTCATCCACACCGTAATGGGCATCCATGCGTGGAAAACGCAGTCACATTGCGGTTAACACAGCTATGGGAAGCGGTTCAGATGATGCAAGGATTTGGCCCATCACAGAGGAAAACATGGAGATCATTTCCTCGCACTCGTCCTGTGGCATGCTGTCACCCAAGATATGTATACACATATCATCCAACAAACGTGTTCCTTTTGCGGATGTTCCAGCAACCAGGGCATCAAAACGGCTCATCGGATTGCACCGCACTTTGTTCGTACCCTTGATATACTCCCATACAAGACGAGCCCATTCAAACATGCCGTCGGATTTCAGAGCGAGTCTCTGGAAGTGCTCATCATCAAACACGTTGCATAGATCTTTCAGTCTATTGGCGATATAAAGCTGGATGTCATGTTCTGTGGACGTGGACGAAATATCATCTAAGGAGACATGGCGAACATGTGGCGCGGTGTGCAGAGCGTTGTGAATGTCTTCCAATGGACAGGAAGTGACAAGAATATGGATGTTTGGTGGGATGTCGGATGGTGTGGAGGAAGAACTGTTCTCACCGGTGAGCAGATGAAGAATCTGTTCCCGGGAACTCGCATCGCCACTCTCGTCCAATGCCTCGATGACGATCAGGACTGGTGTGGCGATGGCTTCTGAGGCTTTGCTTGATGGTCCTATGATTAATTCCCGCCATTGTTTTGTGAGGTCTGAAGTGCGCTTCAGTCCATTGTTATCATGAACCGCTTGCACAAAGGCTCGCCGCACAATAGGGTTGCAATCCGCCAAATCATTTGCGATAGTCGTCAAAATTTTGGCCTGTTGATCTGCTTGCTAGTGTGCGATAGAAGCAGAAGCATGAGCCAAGGCCACCACTCTCGGTGTACCAGTCAGCTATAGTGTGTGCGATAGCAGATTTGCCCTTGCCTGCTGTGCCAGAGAGCCACAATATGCGTGGAGCACCCTCATTGGTGGTACTGATCCAAGTCTTGATCTCTGACAGAAGATCCTGCCATGTATTTGGCAGACAACATTTGGACGTATTGATTCCGGCACCCTCTGCACAATTCATGCTGATGAGGTCCAGAGTCTCGGCTATGTCATGGATCACAGGAATGTCAGATGAGGCTCAACTGAGACCTGAAAGCTGACTCTTACCCATACGGTGGAGAATTACAACTGTGTCACGAGCCGCTCTGTCCATGGAATTGTTGCATGAGACTATCGAGGACATCAGTGGTAACTTTGGATCGTAGGCCTGTGTTTCTTTGAAGGCGTGCTTTCCAAGTCTTTTCCCTGTGCAAAGATTCAACAGTGAGTCATAGGTTGCGCAGTGGTGAGTTCAACTCACAGGCGCTCGTCGTCTCAGAGTAATGAGCAATGAAATCTGCGCACTCCAGCGTCTGTCACGCTATCTTCCCATAAATTGCTGGCATGGATGGAACATTGGCCAACGCCTCCTCTCCCATGATGAAAGTATAGACCTCAGAGATCTTCGAGAGCAAACCAGAGACAGCAGCATCGCAGTCTGCCTGATCGAGAATCATCTGCCACCAGACGTTCTTAATAACTTGCAAGCTTGAACATATGAAACAACATGTACCTGGGATGCGTAAGTGAAGATGCTCAATGCCACCTTTGCATAGGGATGGGCCTATGCACGAAGATCAGTGATGTAAGAGATACAGATAGAGGCCCATACATCTGCAAGGACATTAGCAATTGAGTTGAACACCTTCAAGGGTTTAAGTATTGCGGAGAACGTGTCGATCATGTCGGGAATGGATTGCAAGTTGTTCATTTGCGAAGCAGCATTTTGGGCAATTACAGGGACATTTTTCATGCCTGTAATGCCTTTTGTGGCATCGGCAATTCGCTCATTCACAAACTTCAGGTCAGGGTTGCTTGGCCTGATTATGAATGTTAGTACATTATCGAAAGTGACGGATAATAATGATTGAGTTCACCTTCGGAATGCCTCAATTGGAAGGCTGGTCAAGATTTGGTTCGGGAGTGGAAGTGAGAGCAGTGAGTGGTGAAGGATCCTGCGGAAGTTGGTAGCAATCAGTGCACATGAACATGCCAAGTGTTGCACATACCTGAGTGGTCTGAGTGGGTAGGAGATCCGGTGCGCTGGAACTTGCAGCTGCAGGGTTCAGGATTCGGAGACTGTCGAGCACTCCAAGAGGAACGCTTGCCCCAGAACTTGGGAACCCATAATACTGAGAAGTCCTCTCTGACTCAGAGATCCATCCCTTGAAGGCGGGAGAGAGGATGCCTGGAACGACATCATTTTACACAACCAGAATATCTAAGTGCAATGTTCATTACCTCAATCTCACTGGTTCCGCTGTCCACTGGCAAATTTGAACGGCTTCACTGCAGCAACCCAAAAAACTTCTTCCGAGGAGGATTCATCGAGCAAGTGTGAAAGCATGGCTGAGTCTCTGAGTCTAAAGAGGTCACTATGTGCAAACTTAGGGACAAGGAGGGTGGTGGATGGGAAGCAGGATCGACAAGTGCCTGACGTGGAGGACAGCCAGTGTGTGTGAAGTCTGTGGGATAACTGGTCGGAAAGTTCCAAGCTGTCAACTTTGATTTGTCACATGTCAATCCGGGATACAACTGTGAAAGCAGGTTTAGAAGTAAAGATCATGATGTCAGTGATGGCTGTATGTGCAGCAGGTGAGAGGCTGACGGTGGGCAGGATTATGGTCGAAGTTTGAACATTTGACAGACTTGCTGGCACTTTCAGAACATCCATTGGCAGACGTTGACCTGGAGCAGACCTGTCCCCATGTCTGCATCCAGTCGGGCCGCTGTGTAGACTTCATGCAGACCGGCCACTGCCAAATCCCACACCTTCTGCTAACGTGTATCTGCACAGAACTTCGAACTGTGCGATTGGAAGCGCCCATTATCACAATTGACCAGACTGAATCATTGATTGGCGCATCACGAATAGTCCTGGTAGTACGTTTTACCAGTGACCTGACCGCGCCTTCATTTGTTCATGCTTAATCCTAAATGTACACTCCACAGTAGCGAGGTTCTGCATGAGGTGGTAAGCGTTGTTCACACATCACTGTATGCGACGGGGAGTTCAACAATTCAAGCACACATCTGATATATCGCAGGTTGCAGGGCAAGAGAAGTGAGGAGCAACAACACAGCCCAAGTGAAGAGCACTCACCCGATGCATTGTATCATTCTGACAATCCAACCTGATAACCTCTGTAATGCGCATCTGCGACAGCTCGTCAACTGATCATAAAGACTATTCAACGACTTCGCAGCCTTAGGCATAGCACATTACGCAAGGAACACAAATGTGTTACATTTTCTCATCAGTGTCAGACTCTGCAGTGATAAAAGCTTCTATGAGCTCAGGTATTCATATTCGCGGTAGATATTGTACATGATAAACACACCCTTAATGAGGACATAGGAATGACGGTGCTTAAGATAGCTTCGGCAAGTGGGGATGACGGGTTCGAAGAGTTTGGCATCTTTGGATATTTTTTGGAGGAAGCAGAGGGTATCGCTGCAGATTCATTGGAGTGCTGGAGGCATATCAGGAACAAGTATGTGGGGAAAGCGGGGATTAGTCTTACCAAATCGTTTCGGGGTGGCATTGCTGGGGAAGGTGAGTTATATTCGTGGTAGGAGAAGAATGAATACGTACACAACGAACAAAAGATAACATAGATATGCACTGGGACTGGTGTTCTGGAACATGTTCTACTCCACGGGCCTTGACACCACTAGCAAAGAGTTTCGAGAGAAGTGGACCGAGTATACCAAAATGACTTGCGATCATGAGCAAGGAGAGACGATGAACGTGACTGAGGAAGCGATTGAATATTAGTACAGAGGACGCAAATTAGGACTGTATTCTATGTAGCAGACACGGTACTATCATTCAATGGGAAATGCACAATTTTCACTTATTGCTGAATAGCAACACAACAACAACACATATTCATATCGGAACTACTGTAGTGTATACCTTGGGTCTCTGCGCATTAGGCCCAACAAGATTTTTTTAATTTTGATGCGAGCTTGTCGCAGCAGCAGCACTGGAAGTTGAGATGTCGAAAACACAATAGAAATGCACAATTTCGTCACACTATGTCATGCACGGCACCTCGGCAAATACACAATGATATCCAAAGTCCGACAGCGCGCAAAGCGAATGAAAGTCTACACCGTCACTTGCCGAAATCCTATCCCACACATCCAAAAGTAGTAACATGTGGCAAACCTGTTCGAAATGTCGTTAATATGGTTTTCTCACCATGTATTGTCGACCAATTTAATATTTAACTATATAATCTATCACATGAGGTGTGTGACACACCCATATTTAAAAGCTCCAAGGTATTATAGAGAGATCGTAGGTACATTAGAAACCGGAGCTATTATGAGTATCAAATTGATTTATCTTGAATATATTGCATGCCACACCTCACACAGATATGTTGTCCCATCTTGTATAGATATCGAGCTCGGTAGGTTGTATGTACCTCTGGTCGAGACCGGCCAGACATAGACTCATATATTTAGGGTAGCTAGTCAGTAGCTTGCCAGCGCCATACCAATCTCATATGCAGTCACATTGAATATGCATTTTGTGAGGCAGTAAATGTATGAAAAGCAGGCAAAAAAAATTGCATTACTAGTGAGCTAGTTACAATCATGATTATGGCGTCAAAACGAGTGATATCTACTGAATGTGCAAATGATATCAAGCGGGAATGAGCAGCTGGCATATTCACCAAAGCAGATCGGTCTGAATCTTCATCTGCCACTGGGGATTGGTATTGGAAAGAAGTTTCGGAACAGTCCTCTTCCCTGGGAATTCAGCGAGGTCCTGCTGGAAAAATTCGACCAGGATGCTTCACAATAATGAGTAACCACATGCAGACTGAAGTAGCAAGGACCTTACTTCCTGACGACATTCTCAACCGGTGTTCCATCGTTGAGTTTCTCTGCCTCTGCCTTTCCCATTTTGCGAACACCCTCGAGCGAGGCATCCACGAACCTCCAAAACTTAGTTGACATGAAAATGGTGTGCTTTCCATTGCCCCCAAATCCCGAGTCATTGGGGTCAAGTTCATACTTCTCTGCCGTGCCAGACACATTTCCCTCAGGGTCATCCTCGTCATCCGCGTCATTGTCTCCATCGTGGTTGATATCAAAAGTTCCATCATCTCCGGCCTCTGCACCATTCATGCTGCCTTCAATGTCTCCCATACTGTCTGCACCATTCTCATGGACTTTATTAGTGGGACTTTCAGCTATGGGGTCTGGGTCGAAGTCGTCCAATCCAACATCGATGCCAAGTGTGTTACCAACTTTGACACGAAGGTCTCGGTGGAGCGATGGAAGGAGTGACAGAGAATAAATATCCTTTAGAGGTATGTTCTTGTGGTTACCAGTGCCGATAAGAAAAATGCGCAAGCAGTGCCACTGCCAGTATAATCTCATCGTTAAAACGGGCAGTTCAGGAGAGCAAGACCATACCAAAAACGCGTATCTATTCCAATGTGACACATCAATCTCTAGGCAACCATGGGCCAGTGATCTTGCGGTGTCTATGATACTCGAGCGTTTAGAGATTGACGTCATCAGCTGAATCAGTCTAAGTTTGGCATCATTCTGTGAAGTATTTGTGCGACACTTACCTTAGACTTTATATTGCCGTGGATGCAAGCAAGTGCTTCACTGACAAGTTTTGATAATTGTGCAGTGAGCTCGATGTCTTCAAACAGGAACTTTGGGACCTTGAATATCTCACTATTCTTCTTGATAAATTCCTGTCATTATTTTCAGCCACTGCTTTCACACATAAGGATATTGAAGGCACCATGACATGTTCAAGCGTGTCATTGACATTTGCGGTGAGATTAGGCGATAACACACATGCTGTGAGGCAGTTGTGAAGACCTGACTGTGTCATGCTTGATAAGTCTGAAGTCGGCGACAGATTAATACCGTTAGACACAAGTACCTTGAAATCTTTGGATTCTATTAGGTCTTTGGATTCTGTGAGGAGAGACCTTCTGTTCACCGCACTCAACACCATCAAGGTGGCCTTAATATCGATGAGCATATAGGCAATTCCTCCGGTCTAAAGACGCATCAGAGATGATTCATGATAGCATCGAGAGAAAACTTGCATCGACGAAATCCATGAGGTGCTGCTCGTCGACGTCTTTCTCTTCAGCAACTTTCATTACATACAACTTGAGTTGCTTTGTGAGTCCAGGTGTAAACATCAATGGGTCGTTACAGTCAGTGCTAGAAGATCTCCGGCGACGCCGCATGCCAGTGCTAATAGGCTTGTCCAGTGATTCATCTGGTGAAGCAGGACCGAGAAGCAACAACAGTTTGACCTTGAGAAGCTCGACTGATAGTTGTGGTCCTGGGAAAGCGGTGAGCATGCATGATTGATGTCTCCTGCAGGTCTGGACACTGGAGGAGAAGCATTCTGGACAGAAGTCGAATGGCTCCTGCCTCGAGGCACAGTGGTGGGTGGTGCCAACAGACCATTTGCTGAACGTGCAGTGCTTGTGCTTCTTGAATTTGAACCAGTCCGCACAGGATAGTGCTGGAGCATCATGATGTTGAGATGTGGACATGGACGCACTGCACAGGAGCAGTTCACCATTCTGCTCAAGGTTGAACATTGACCAACAGAGAGGTTTGGGGTGGCTCGGTGGCTGATTGAATTGAAACTTCGCTTCCTCACTTGTGTCAATTCAATTGTCATCAAATATCTTCACAAGATGTTCTCCCAGTGCACTCAAGCCCATGAAAGCAGCAGAAATAATAGAGTATCAAACAATAAAAAGGATGTATTCCTGGAATGAGGTTTGAACAGCTTGAGGGGGGCGTACTGTAATTTTGGCGAATATTCATATTCAATTGAAAAGTGAGTGCACGGTGTGGTGCAGGAGGAGAGAATAATGACGACAACAATATGCATACCTAGATGTAAATAACTCCGGTCTAGTTATGTGCACCACAATCTGTTTATTGCACCTGTGCCTTCTTTCCCTCCACATCCACCTTCGATGCAGCCTCTGCCTCTGCCTTCTTCCCTGCCATTGCATCCAAAACACCCCACAAACTTCCACTCATCTCCCGCACCATCGCCCACCTGTCCTTCTCCAATAGCCATCCAAACTCGTCCTTGTGGGTCACGATGTATGCCTGCTCCTCTTTATACTGCTGCTGTGCCTCAAGACGCTTCTGCTCGAGGTAAGTCAAGGGGATGGGCGAGTGCGAGGGCTGCAGAATATTAGAGTCAGCCATAACACAAGAAAAGAGAAGAACAACTGACTTCACTTGCGCCACTGAACATGCCATTCGGTGTGAACCCACCCTTGGATAATCCATGCGCCTTGCTCTTCCACTCCTCGATATGCTTCTGCTTTGCCTCGGCTTCCTTCTCCGTGTATTTGATTGGGATATCTTTCCCTGCATACGCTTGAAGGATGGGCTGCACGTCTGGAGTCTTGTAAATTGTGGTGGCTATGTGAGAAACCTGAGATTAAGGTTGGCTGAGGCGAGACAAAAGTGTGTACATACACTCCAAGAAGGGGATCATGGCAATCAAGCCCTTGTCCCCGGGTGTACCGGTCCATTTGGGGACGATAATGGCGTTGTCGGGATGTGAACTTACATGTTCAGGATGCGTATCAAGGAGGATGACTTTCGAGAGGTCACAATTGAGATACAATAAGTCCTGAGGAGGGGGAAGAATTTAACAAAAACAACACACAGCCGATGAGGGAGACAAAGTGGAAGTTTAACACTGGATGAGACTTACCTTGACAATTTTACCGTTCACTGATCGTGTGGCTTCACGGAAAAGCTTGTAAGTGATAAAGAAATTATATGGGTCAAGTTTCTCAATTATGGGCATGGCGGTCTGTTGGATTTGAGTTTCAACTCTCATCAAAACATTTTCAATATGCATTGTGTGCCTGTAGGTAGAAATCGTGCACTGCAGGAGTAGGTAGAAATAGCGCACTGCGGAAGTAGGTAGAAATTGTGCACTGTGGGAGTAGGTAGAAATTGCGTACTGTGGGATTAGCGACTCCCTGATCGATGACCAGATACCTTTAGAGTTCATATTCCTCTGGGATACACCATACCAAACTGAGGGTGGTGATGCTGACTCTGCAGATGTTGAACATGAGATTCTTGAGGAGGATAGTGAGGCTGTGGGAAGCGGCCTGCAACACTATGCGGTGAATAGTGTGCAGGAGACATCAGAGGTTGAAATTGGTGTGATGGTGGAGCATGAGAAAAGCTGGAGGGTCCAGGGATGGAGCTGGTATCATGAGATTGCTGGAGCTGTGGATGGTCAGAAGGGAAGCGAGGTGTCAAGGTCATGTAGTGATTAGAGGCCTGCGTTGCAGAAAGTGGATCCATTGGGGCCCCTTGCACGTTTTGTGTTTGCTGACAAGTTGGGTCAATATATTGGGCAGGCGGAGGCAGAGGAGCATATGATTGAGGCGGAAAGTATGACTGCAGGGGAGGGCGATACACCTGGGGTGGAGATTGGTGAAATGGAGGTGAGGAGCATAAGGGGGGAAGAGAAGGAATTGGTAGAGGCAGAGGGAAAGACTGATGTAGAGGATGGTATGGTTGGGGTGCAGGTGAGTAAAAGTGTTGCGGAGGATCTCCTATTGATGGTGCAAAGGCAATTTGATGTTGCTGCGATGCTCCTGAATTTTGCTGAGTAGGTGTCACCTTCTTTTTCCCTTGCATACTCAGACCACTTGTGCTCGCTTCTGCCATTTTTGCCTTGGCTTTGGGTGCAGACTTCTGTGGTTTGGTCGGAGCGTGATCAAACACAGAAGGTGGCGCTAAAGATGGTTGAGAATCCACACCCTCACCATTACCTGGTAGTTGGGACATATCTCCACCTTTCTTCACTGCTCTCTTGTCTCATAGTTGGTGTATGGCGATGGCCCGAACTTCAGCTACATTGGTGACCCGAAGCGGCATCTCACGAAGTGTATCGGGAACGACATGTTGGATGTGATTGTAGTTATGGATGGAATAGACATTGAGAAAAAAGTTCGGCGTTGACTTGTGCTTGACTGTGGCCTTTGTTCAAGAGGTGTCTATCCGTTCTTGACGTACAGGCTGTTGATTGATGTCTGTGCACTTCGAATCAAAGCAATTATGTTGGATATTGACAGCACAAATGATGTCCTGTGAGGTGATCCAGGTCTTGAACAACTAGTCCGCATATAAAATAAATGATGTACTATACCGGTTGAAGCCACCTCATTATCAGTAAGATTGATGCACGGCAGGTGGAGAGACGGGTGGAGAGCAGCTGCGAATGTAAAAAGCTGGAGTGCGACATGATCTGCTGTTTGACTATCCTGGGATGATATAAGAATCTCGCGAACACATCCAATATATAACTGGAAGCAGCATCTCAGCCGTCACAATGAAAGGAAAAGAAGATACTGACTCACCTTCCTGTCCATGGGTCGTCGGAAAATAACATGATTATTCAAGTGCATATATTCTCCTTCACTCGTCACAACTGATTTACCCTGATAATACACAATTCCAGGCTGAACAGTCCCAAGAATTTTCGCACAATGAGTGGTTTTCCATGGGACCGCATTTTTTCGCACTGACTTTGTTGTTGTTGTAGTGGGAGTAGTGGTTTCAGTTTTTCCCGAACCTGTACATCATTAGTGGCAATAGTGACAGTGTGTGCTATTGGACTTACCAGGTATCAGAGAATTATGACTCGAGTTTGGTATGCCTAGAAGCCTCGCTTGTTCAGGATGTTCGTCAAGATAGCATAGAACCTTTTCTCCCACACAAACCCATTTCTTGACTGTGGAATCATACCAGTATCCGCCGGTAGCGATATGTTTGACGGTGTCCTGGTGAGCGAAGATCTTGCAAGTATCTCTACTTGGCGCCTGTCGGTTGCTGTAGATACACGATAACCAGAATACATGGTTGAATGATTCATATCGCTCAGTTGAAAAGACAATCACAGGGCCAAAACGACGAATGTACACTGGAAGATGGACGAGGAAATGGAACTTTGGTTTGCTTATCAAAATACTCGGTGCACATTGTGTCGTGACATTCAAGAAATCTTCGATGGTTCAAGATAGCGTTGCCTATCTCACAAAGGTATTAGACAAGCCTTTTGGATAGAACATGAATTGAACTCACGAGATATGCTTCTGTGTCTGTGAATCTCGTGTGCCAGACTAGGACAATGAGTTCACCAATCACCGTCCAGGCATTAAGAACCGTCGGAGGAACGAGGTCGTGGATAATGAATGGCATGACTTGCGCCAAACTTTTGAAATGCTTGCCGATTAAACTGCCTTTATAGTGGCAGATATAGTCTGCGTTTAGACAGGGAGCATTCAGGCCGTCCTTGTCAATGGACTTGAGCCAGTACTGAAAGACGTGGAGGAACTTTGCTTTCTCAAGAAGAAACACTGTCTGCCCCCAGAAGTACTTGACGATGCCCAGGAGTATTGTATGAAGGATTTCGGTTGGCGTGTCCATATGTATATCTAACCCTGTAGGAAGCTAAGCGAGAGATCTACACCGACCAAAAAAGACTCACCGTCCATTCCCAGTAGGGGATTGATAGTATCATCAAGCTGTCCACTTTTCAAGAGTTCTTCAAACTCTTTCCAAAGGGTGGCTTCAACTTCATTTTTGGGCAGAGCTTGAGATCCCGCAGTACGTTTTCGCAGCTTCTTGCCAAGTTCAACCAATGCACTGAGAATCGGACCTGAAGCTGAATCTTGCACACCAGTCAGCGAAATGGAATGCTGGATTTTTGTTGTGGCACCCGATTTGAAGGCCGTTTCGAACTGTTGTTGAATCTCTTGACTCGTCTTCTCAGGGGTTCATAAATTACCGGACTGTAAGCACTAGTAAGTCATATGGAAGATACAGAAGGGATTGTCATACCATAAAAATGCTATTGTAGCCAGCTTCGGATTCCTTGTACTCTTTTGTTCCACCAACATCACATGTCCTGCAGAAATAGTTGCAGTTGAGCCCTGCGTGACTACACTCTTTGGCCTGCATCAGATTATCTTCAGCAAGAAATAGCGCATATGGAATGAGCATAACCTCCTTGTTGTACTTGCAATCCCATGCCATGACACCAGATTGTGCTGCGTCACTACATGCATTCAGCGATACTAGAATACAAACGACAAGTAGAACGTCATACGAGATGGATTCTTTCATTGCTCGCGTCAATTCCATGGGTGGAGCATGAGGAGAGGACAAAACAAATCGCACAAAAAATTCCTTTTCGAGCATCTCCCGAGGTAAATTTGCGTTAGACATATATATAGCGTGATGTTTGTTCCACTGCTTTGAGATATTGCCTGAAACATCGTCCATGAATATGATTAAGGGAATGGTATACACCATTTGACCTTTCGACTTTTCTCGCAGCAGATTGGGTGAAAGTGACGTGTATTTCATGGAAGATGCTGCGCCATGCTTTAGTCCCATAGTCACTCGTGAAAGCAGGACCAAACATACGTGTAAGCCCACAATCAAGCTCGCCGCAGGTTGCGGCAATATCTCCAAATGATCGTATAAACATAGACGTTGGGATAATCTCCTTGTCATCACTGACAATAAAACCAGCCTGATACACGTTTGAGCACCAGCACACATTACATAGATGACCACATACCTCTGTCCGTTCAGCAGCTCGACCCAATGCATATAGCACTTTATCTGATTGCTTGCAGGATTCAGTGGTATCAGTGGGGGCGTCAGCATCAGCGGCAGCTAGAAAGAATTGTTTTGGGATGAAATAGCCTCCCGAAGACTCCTGCAACAATTCGTCTGTAAAATACACGGTCCTGTCCTCCTGAACCACTGGTGGCGATGGGAGATCAAACAACATTTTCTTCCCGTTGAATACTTGTGACATCCCCTTTCCACCATCCTCTGGATAGTCTTGCATTGCGAGATGAGTGAGGGGATTAGCATAGTCCTATGAATTATATTAACATCACATCAGCACAGTGATCCATCCCACAAACCTTCGCAATTGCTTTCGCAACACTGTTGATGTAGAATGTGTTTCTGGAGTGAGATGTGACCTTCTCAGTCGGGTCGCCCACGAGATCCTGTAGGTGACTCTGACACTTCTTCATCGCGCCAAGTGAGGGAAGGTTCCGGATGCCAAGTTCTTTGGCCCAATTCAGGACCGCCTTCTTTTGGACTTCAGAGAACGGAAGCCATGGGGAGCTAAACAAAAGGGATGTAATGAAATGCTTGATGATATTAGATATATCATATATATGTGTGCAACAAAAGACTTACTGCTTTCGATGGCCAGGGATACAATGGATGATCCGGAGAGACAATGTAGTTAGTGCTCGCTGGTTCAAGAAGCGGGTCATCTGCAAACACCACTGAGTATTGGATTTCAGAGCGCAGGAAAGATAGTTCACTTACCAGGAATTTCAATCCCGAAGTCAGGTGCACTGTCGTCAACAAGCTCACACTCCTTGTTGGTGGGAACAATGGGCGTCGAGATGGCAATTTGTCCCGAGGCAACAGACACCTGCAGTTCAGCAAACAGGTCCGGAAAATCATTGTCGAGCTGGAGCATTTGACTGCCGATGATCTTGTTCCAGAGATCGGCTAACGGATATTCGGAATCTGTATCATGTGGCACTGTTTCGAGCACCATGGACGGTCCATCAGCTTGCATGTTGATAGGCATATCATCCATGTGATCAAAATTGATGCTGAAGTCGTCATGGCCAGCAGGGGAATGTGAAGAATCAGCATGGCCAACAGGCGTTGCAGCAGAGACACTTGGCTTTCTGGTCTCAGAAAGCTTCTTCTTAAGATTTCCGATGTGACGAATGTGAATATCTTGCTTTGCAACATGGTGGCGTGCCATGAAACAATAGGCACCACATTTTTTAGGGCATGCGGTGCAAAAGACACGATCTGAAGCATCATCGCAGAATCGAAAAACTGTAGATACTGTGTAGCATAAATAAGTAAGCAATGAGTTGATAAAAAATACACGTACTATGGCCATCGATGATATCGTCCTTCATGCTGGGCAATTTGTTGAGGATGTATGCAAGCACGCTCAGTGATATACCAAACACGTGACTGCACACATTCGAAATCTTCAAGTCCAATATCTCATGCCTTGCTGTTCATGGTGATCATTGCTCTGTCAACTTCAATATGAATTCGACACTATCACTCACCAAAGTTTCAACTATCTATCCTCGCATTCATTATGAAGACAACTATGCCTCACTCAAACCAATGATCCTCACCGTCTACTTTCCCGGGACATTTCCAAGACAGATTTTAGAAAGAAGTGATATTGTATGAATCTGCCATCTTCAACTTTCCTCGAAGCTCGCTCACAAGTAGACGCTAGCCTGTCCACATATCAGTATCTATTGATGAGGAGTATGGAACATTCACCACACCAGTCATAGAGGTTGCATCGCCAGACTTACGCCATGGCGGTAGCTTGCTACACTTTTCAGGAGACTCGGATGATGTAAGTACACATGTCCTTTGTTTAAACATCAGCCTACTCACATCACTCCACAGTTGAATTTGTCCCAAGCTATGTCCTGTGACGACGAAACCACTATATCATTCCTCCCACTTCCGCCTTCATTTGACCATATCAATCGAGCCGATTGGGAAACAGTCTCCCGGCAAATTCAGGAATGGCTCACCATGAAAGTTGACACAGAATCATCACTGTGGACATGGGGACGTGATGCTTTCTGGCTGGTGTTCATCGCCGCTTATCCGTCCTTCCCAATGGGCAAGTGGCTGATGTGGGATCCTTGTATTCCACTGGAGGGATCGTTCATCGAACAGTGGTTAGAGTGTTCGAACGATGGTGGCAATGATGAGGAGGAAGTTCTGGCCCAAGACAATGTAGTGAGCCTGAGTAATATTTGGAACGAATTTTGTCAACACACTGCGCTCTTCTATCCATTTCCCCTCGTTTTCTCAGCTTGATATTGTAGTGGGATTTTTGTTGTCCGATTTGTTTTGAGGCTGCCATGATGTCTATTGTTACATAGTATGTTTAGGCCTAGGATACCCATCAGTACATATCAGACTCTTTGTTGTATTGTACGTATGGATACCAATGTTATAAGCTTTGACTGGAACAGTTTGAACGCCGCCTGCATTGAAAACTGCTTGAAAGATCCATTTTTCGAAGCTAAGGTGCACAATCGCTAGATGTGGGGGCCAGAGGCAAAGATAGCAAGCATATTGATGGGATATGTACAAGATATCTCATCTCTAAACCTGTCACACATAACTCACCCCAAGCTACTCCATATGTAGCACATGTGATATTTGGATGAACTCTGTGTCGTATACGTGTAATATACGACTGACTTTTACCAGATATCGGAAATATTTCCCTACTGAACACCAGATTTACGACCTTTATGGTGTGAATTCATTATTTATCTACAAAACCCTTATTACAGCCAGGGTTCTAGGAATAAGTCGGGTCCTCTAAATAGTTTTCTCACAATATCGGTCATGGATAAACCAGCAACTGGTGGTGTAGTGTTGCCGAATGCAAACAAAGCGGAGACTCAACCAAGCCGAGAGTGTGATTTCCCAATCTAGCTTGACTGTCACGCTTTGCTCATGAATCATGAATAGCACGCTGTGGTGGTGTTCTATTGACATAGAAACACCTGGAGTAGATTAAGAATGGTGTATTTCATATATATTGAAGTTCCTATGTTTATAGGTTAATGGGATCTGGGTGGATCTTGGATTTAGTGTCCAAAAATCACTCATTTTGGGTACACTCGCACAATGTTTCATCTCAGGAAGGCTTCACAGCACTGATTTTAAATATTTGATTTGGTAGTCTTGTTGAACATATGCTAATACTTGTTCTCCAGCTGTTCCGAATGAAATATATGTAGAGTGGTGAGCTCTGGAGTGCATTGTGCATTACCCATTGATTGTGCATTCCGGATTAGGTGATAGTACATTGCGTTTATGGAAAAACACGATTGTGGCTGAGGTTTCGTTTTTTCAAGGGGCTATTGCACTCTGACAGACTTGCATACCGACCTCTTCGTCCTACCACTTGGCTTCACGCTGTGGGTACAACAAGTACAGCGGAGAGAAGTCAATCTACTACACAGTTGGGTCTTTGCTGCCTGCTGCCTCGCTTGGAAACAAGCACGTTCAACCCTAAAGGGGATTGCTACTGGGGAGTACTAGTCTCTGTCTAAACGACTCTAATCAACCCTCCCGCAGGTAGGATGAGGATCCGCAAAAATGCGGAACAAGCAGAACAAGCAGAACTCGCACGGAACAAGCGGAACCCGAGCGGAACTCAAGCGGAATGGAAAGGAATGAAATGGAACTCAAATGGATAAAGCGCAGAATGTACTGATTCATCGGAACTCGCAGGCGAAGTCGAAGGAAGTATATCACAAGGTTAGATCGATAGTGGGCATAAGTCAAAGTGATCCTCTAGTAAGGTGAAGGAAAAGTGGGAAGGTAAAAGATGGGATTCGATAAAATACCCCCAAGCCCTGAGTACCACTACTTAAAGGGAAGATTATTTTTAAGGAACACTGAGGTACAGGTAGTAAGTCTCTCAGGAAGCGGAAGTGAAGGCAGGCAGTGCACATGGGCGCAATACTCCGGAATAGGGGTCCGTGCCATAAGGGCATGTGTCAGTTTGATCCAGATAACGTTAGGAACAGTGGGAAGAGGGATACAGCATACCAATGGACCTGGAAGGATGGGGACAGGACATGCGAAGGTTGTCTGACAATGCATGGGAATATCGGATAGTGCGGGCGGGTTCCGAAGGATGCGTGGGAATGCAGAACCCATTGGACGATGCGCAGGAAATGCGGAATGTGCAGAATACGCGGAACTGATGTGAGACGATGCGGAAAGGACGGGGTTTTACACCTACAGTGGGGGAATTCCCCACAACGCATCATTTTTAACCATATAACCTTTGCGCACAACCGTACAAGAACAGATTTTTTATTACTGGTGTAAGGCTGGTACTTAGTTCGAAGGGAGAATGACGAAGGAATAGCGTAGGTAGTAGACATGATGTATAGACAGCACGAAGGGAAGAATACAAATTGTTTTGTGAGTGATGCGAAGGCATTCGGTCAAGAATGGAGCAGGAATCAGCCAGTGTGATTTGCTATCGATATCGAGTGTACAGGTGTAGTATATATATGTTCGAGCGAGTCATACTAATCCAGAATGAGTGTATGTAGCATGTGGAACAGTGAAAATAGTTCGGTGAGACAAGGTGTCGGAAATTTGTGAAACCTATTTCAATGCTCCGTTGTTGAGATGTCGTTGAAATTGCTATTGGTATGATAATGTAAGATTATTCGCTGAGTTTCAATGCATTGTTCCTCGTATTTGAGCTCTCACCATCTGTATTCCTCGATTTCTTTGCTTGCATCAACTCTGTAGATACCTTATATATATCTGTCAACATCATGGGCTCCGACCGGGCGAAATTCTGCAATCTGTGCGAACAGAATATTAAACCACGTGGTTGGGCCACTCACCGAAAGGCCTGCGAGAGGAACACGCAAAAGCGGGCACATGATGAACGCGTTGTGGAATCAATCAGGCAGCGAAAAGGTGCATTTTAAATTTGAGTTGCTCTCATCACCTTCCCATCTGATTCAGAATATAGCTGCAGCAAATAATCCTGTTGGTCCTGGACACAGGACTATCAATGCAGCTGCAGATTCAAACATCGTGCTTCCAAATCAGACACAGGGTAAGTTTTGCCCTTTGTGTCATATACTATGGCGTTTATTTCACTTATCCGTCTATCAATCAGTCGCAACAGGCCAGAATGGCCCGTCTTTGACAAGTTCTCATGGCGTCGAACATCCGGAGCCTATTTTCGGTGAGTTCCACAATGTCCTTTGACTTTTCTTTATTGTGTATCATTAATGTGGGATGTAAGAGGATCAACCATTTTTCCCTGGCGATGATGGAGACCTCGAATATCGTGAATTCGAGGTTGATGATATCAAAGTTGTACATCACCCAAAGAGCGGGATCCCAACAAAAGTTCATGTGTTCGGTGATTTCAAGCGCCACCCGGCCCATCACTCCTCGTGGTCCGCTCCTGAACCTGACGCACAACCTTGGCGTCCCTTCAAGTCTCGTTTAGAGTTTGATATCGCTGAAATTGCCCTCGAAGCGGCCCTCAATAATGCTCAGACTGACCGTCTCCTTGACATCTGCCGCCGTTGTGCGCGGCAGTCAGAGAAATTCACTTTCCAGCACCATAAGGACATCCGTGCCAAGTGGGATGCTGCCTCTCAATGCGTAACAGGGGTTGTCCCGTTGCTTGTTGTATGATTCCCTTCGGACTAATGTTTGAGCTCAGTTTACGAAAGACGTGGTTTTGATACCCTTCGCTGATAAATCTTGGGACTTTGATGTCTACTATCGTGATCTTTGGGGATGGGCCACCGACCTCCTCAATGATCCTTATCTATTTCCTCACTTTCATTTTGATGCTCAACACTTGTCGAAATTCAATGGGCAGTCATTTGAACACTTTGTGGACGAGCCCTTTATGGCTCAAAACTTCTGGGATGCTCAAGTATGTACTATTCATGTCAATGTACCACATGTAGTGATTTTGATTGCATTTAAATTTCGATGTATTGTGTAGTCGCAGCTGCTGCCCGATGCAAAACCCCTTGCCTTCATTTTGTATGCTGACAAGACGAAATTATCCAGTTTCGGTAGTGCGAAAGGGTACCCTGTCGTCACACGATTAGCCAACCTACCCACTGACATTCGCAATGGTCAGGGGATGGGTGGCGGTTATATTGTTGGGTGGCTTCCCGTGGTTTGATACATTTGTTATGTCCACTGATTCAACCTAATTCTATTCATATAGGTGAAGGAAGATAAGCAACACTCTGGCAAGCCGGCGTGGGCCAACTTTAAGGCTACAGTATGGCACAAGTCCTCCGAAAGGATCCTCTCTTTGCTAGCAACAAAATCCAATATGGGACAATGGTTCGAGTGTTTAGACAGGGTTCAGCGCTGGTTTTTTCCATTAATACTAATCTTATCGTCCGATTTTGAGGAGCAGTAGGTTTTGAACTTCAATGCTGGCCTCTCGCTAACTCACTGTGTTTCAAGGTCCACAATGTCACTCACTCGAGGTGTCAGGGCCCTTTGGCCCTGCCCCGTTTGCCTGGTTCCACACGACAAACTTAGTGATACATCACACTGCTATCCACGTCGCACATCCTGTGACTCGCAGGCTATCCTAGCAACTGCACGAGCAAAGGACACCGCAGAAGAGAGGGAGGAGGTATTAAAAGACTACGGGCTCCGTGATATCCAGGTGAGGTTATCTGTACTCTCCTGACGCATTTTTTAACTTCGTCATAGAATGCATTTTGGACAATGAAGTCTACCGATGTGCATCGTGCACTGTCGTGGGACAAACTGCACTTTCACTCTGGTGGTGAATGGTCGGATCACTTGTGGGTCGAGCTTCAAAAGTATATCAATGGTCTTGGACAAGACAAAACATCTCAAGTAGATAAGAAGTAACACTTTCTTCAGAAACATTTTGAGTTGAATTGACGTGTTTTAATACAGCTATCAAGCATTTCCCCGTTGGCGAGATCAGAAGCACCCAAACCAAGTAATGAACATTTCGTTTACGGACAACTCTGTGCATGAAGACATTTCGAAGGTTCATATCAAGCTTTTGTGTTACTAGCTTGAGTCTGACAGATTCCTAGATGATGATATATGCTACCCATGACATTCTAACTGAGCGGGACTGTCCTCTCGGTTATTTACTCCTTCGTTGTGTCCGTCTTTACCTCGAACTTGATATGTACGCCTCACTTGAAGTTCACACGGCCGAAACTATCAGCAGTGGCCATCACACACACCGCATGTTTTCGGCCATTTTGCATGTATGTTGCATGTGTTTACTGCTACCAATAGTCAACTAATCAACTCGTTATTAGCAATACATCAGCAAAACAGCTGACGAGAACGGAAAAAAATTGGAATTATCCGAAATTACATATGGACCTGCATATTTTTGATGACGTCGAAGCAAAAGGAGCTACCCGGAATTATAATACAAAGCCCAACGAGAAGATGCATGGCTCATTAAAGGATTCGTATTTGCTGCGGACAAACTTTCGTGATGTAGCAGAACAGGTGCGTTGTTACGACGATCATTTACTAACTTAAATTTGATGTATCGTTTGACAGATCCTCCAAATCAATCAGTGGCAAGTTGTTGCGGATCGTATCCGTCGGCGCTTATATGAATATGACGAGCATCAACGTCAATTACATGAAGAAGACTTGCTGGAGGAAGAGGACTTCATCGCGAATGTTGTCGAGCGCCCTATCTCAACCGGCGGTTCCTTTCATGTCAAACTTGGATCAAAACAACCTTCGGAGACCTTTGATGCGATTGAGAAAGCTCATCAGGATGACCAAGCGTTTGGTAATTTCCGCATCAAACTCAATGATTTCCTTAATGTTCTGTTACCCTCATCGAATATACCACTACCTGACAGTAAACGTATTCATCTCCGAGGAAACAATAATGTACGATATTCTATCTCAGTTTTTTCATTGGCTATGCTAACATACAAGTAGATTACAGCACACTGATTTCTTCGTGTCAACTACGAATCGATGGTCGACTGGTGCCAACATACTGATTATCTTCGATGCAATCCCCTTTTCTTTGGTTCCCCGCGTTTCGACTGTGTCTTCATTCGGCTGACAGAAGATAAAGTCATTATTGGCCGGCTGCTCTTCCTTTTCGAATGTCTGATTCAGGACCACAAATTTCCCCTTGCTCTTATTCACCCCTTTGATGTTCCCACTGGTCAGCGCTCTTGAAAGGACAGGGATCTAAACCTTTTCAGAGTTCGAGCAAGACGACGAGCAGAGGCACAGTTTTTTTCAGTCAGATCCATCATACGTGGAGCGCTTCTGGTACCGGATGGGCCTTCTGATTACCTTGTAGTTGATACTGCAGATACAGACATGTTTCTTCGCATGAAGATGATGCATCTAGAGGCAGGGCACATCGTGCGCGTTTGATGTTGAACATCCACCAGCCGTCACAGCAGTAAGTCCAGGATGCCAGAAGGTGGTACAATTATCTGATTCTCAACCTACAGCAACCGCGAAACGGTTCATGGAACATGATCAACCAAACTTTCCATGAACCGACGAAGAGTTTATCTGCCTGGGTAATTCTTAGACTCAACACTCTCATCAATTCGCGCAAGAAATTTGGCGCCATAAATATCTTTATCTTCCATGATTTAAACTAACCCATCCTTGTCACCAGTATTCAACTCTCGTTGGCTCCAGGCTTTTGTCATGGCCACCTTCTTCACTCGAATCTCGTCCGACCATTCCTTCCACTCCTGCTAGAAATTCTGTCACCAGATTGCATGGTATGTGTCATTATCCTCCCTCAATGAGCTTCTTCAGATTGGGCGTGATAGGCTCCCAAACATCATGAATATCCATCATGTTTGCCACTGTCATCTATGTGCAAGGCTTCCATATTGAGATCCCCGTCAAGAGCACGTCACAGATGAGCGTCAAATCACCTTCTGATTGTCCTGCTGCATGGGTTGACGACTCTCACACTTTTTCTACTTCTCGGGAGTCCATTCTTCCCATCTGGTCATCAACTGCACAATCGCAGCGGTCGCAACCCAACACCCACGCACCAGAACTCTTTGTTCTCTTACATGGCATGTTGTTCACTAACATTCAACTTGACGACTTCTCACTGACCCTTTCTTTCAGACTTGCATTGGAACTTTCCTTCTCAATGTTCTCATTCGTTCTCCACAATCCGATGCAGAAGGCCTCGCCTTTTGCTCATTTGACTCTCAATCCTTATCTCTCAGTCATGCTCACCTTCTTGGCCACCGTCACAAAACATACTGAGATCAAAGGGCTAGCACATACCACCTGCCCACCCAAACGATGGTCTTTCCCAGCCTGTTTTGAGTGTTATGGCAGAGCCGAACTGGAGGCCCACGAAACGTAAGAGACCACCGTGCAATATTACGCTGATTACTCGTGCTGATTTCATATTATGTTTTAAGGTCAGGCTATGCCTTCATTACATGGCTGGAGCATAAGCATGTTTCAAGGCGCATCACGGTATTTTTCTTCTTGGTGCCAGCACATCACTGCAGCCTGAGGGATCTTTGGCTGCAGCATACACGAGGTACGCCAAAATTTTGCCTTATATAATACTGGGGTGTTGTGCTGACCGTTTTCTTGTCTCCCTTCTGAATCCCTCCAGTTCATTTTGCATCATGTCGCATCTCTCTGGAAACACATTTGACGATGAATCGGACGAAGAATCTGTCATCGAATCAGTTGCAATTCCAGGGCCAAATGCATCAAAGGGAGACCTCATGGAGGTATGTTTTAAGTGTTCGACTACATTACCCATCTAACTCCTCTCTCACTCTAGGCACTTAAGGCGCTGCAGGTTCAGGTTCAGAAGCTTGTTGAGGACAATCGTACTCTTCGTGAGGAGAACAAAGTTCTGATCGCTGAGAAGCCCAAACGAAAGCGTCGTGTGGAAGCACCTGATGAACTTTTGGCCCATGAGCAAACAATAACTCTTTTCGCTCGTAAATACGGCCTGACTGTTGAAATGTTCCCTAATTCCGACCTTCTCAGCAAGCCACGCCCTGAGAATCCAACTCCATTCAACAGCCGAGACCGGTACCTGACAGCGATGACGCAGGAATCAGCATTCTTGGACGAACTATTTCAGCACTTTCCCGATCGTGTACACAGTGCCATGGAAAGTTTGTATTTCAGTGATCTCGTAAGTATTATATGTTTTGATACTAATTTAAAACGTAACTGACATTCAGCAGGTAATGAAGTCCATTTCTGAGGCTCACTCATCAGAGATCAATAAGCTGTGTGGCGTTGCCAGTGATATCTTTGGCCTTCCAGGGATGTACTTCGCCAATACCAACTACCGCAGAGCTGATGTCATGGAAATACGGGACATGCTTGGAGTGTCAGCGACGAATCCAAAGTACAAGACTTTTCCACCGGTCTTATTTCTTGGAATGCAGGAAGACTCGTCCTTGAAGACCGTGTTTGGAAACTGGGAGCTTTTGGCTAAGGTAGGCTTTTCAGCTGTGTCTTTTTGCAGACCGTGTGCTGATGCACCTCTAAATAGGTTCTGAAGGCTGCACTACGCGGTGTCACTTCACTTCATCAAGAGACGACCGGCGGACCAAAGACAAATGCACGCAAGTGGAACTTCGAACAGGTCACACCAGGGTCCATTGCATGGGCCGCCGTCATTGTGAGTCATCCACCCTATGTTGAGCGATGGTGTTGCTCAGTTAATATTACAGGTAATCATTCTGTTGTCACCTGACACCGAATTTCAGAAGTCTGGCTTAGGAAAGTCATCCGGTATCAACTACAAGGATCTATTCTACCACTATAAGAAGCTCTTGCTCACAAAGTGGGATAGCCGTCGCATCCAGACTATCGTTCAAAACATCAACCAAGAAGTTTTCAGCTCCGCAAAGTCTTCTGCCTCTGGCCTGGCTGGTCAGGAAGATCACTCCAGCGAAATCATTCGTGCCATGAACGCACTTGATATGGACAGTGATAGTGAATCAGATGTACCTGGACCTGCCCCATCTTCTACAGCACAAGCCGCCACTGCCTCTCAGTCTGATGCTAATCATGTTATCGAGGCAGCACAACCTCCAGAACATTTTGCCCCACCTATCAGTGCTACTTCTACTCTCAGTACTGCCTCCACCCTCAGCAGTGCTTCCAGAAAGCATGCCGAAGTGCCTGTAATGACGGGCCCAGAAGCCACTAATACTACTCCAGTTGTGGTGCAGGATTCAGATGGAGTAATAGGACAGCAACCAACTCGAGGGAGAGGAAAGACTAGGGTGAAGAAGCCTGCAGCTCAAGGTGTTCATCATGGTACTCGCGCTCGCTAGAGATAGATAGTCACACTTCATATAATATTGTACTGCCTGCTGTTGCTTTTAAACTTGATTTGATTGTAATTCACACTTGTGTTGTGCGTTTAAGTATTACTAATATCAACAAATAAGTATCAACAAATTGCAAACCAAAGATTTTCGAATTGCTACGATCCTTTCTATCCTTTCCAATTCTGCACGTTGACTATTAGGGAGAGCCGTCCCTTTGAACTGACACACGCTACACGTGGTAATAGTCGCTGCGATAGCTATGATAGCATGCCCTCTGGGCAACGCGGTAGCGCAGAGTTGTGTTACGATAACTTAAACATCTCCTTTTGCAATTCTCTCTTCACTCTGCTGAGACGACTCTTCTAAATCAGCTACTCTCTGATTCAGATTCATCTGTGTCTTTGACGCCCAGCCTAAACACAGTGCTATGATTCATGTCCCGACTACAAATGAGGCCTCGTCACCTTTCAACGCTATCATTGAAGATTTGCACAACTGGATAATTGATTGGAAGGGCCACGTGTTGTCAGGCCTCAGTCCTCTGTAAGTGTATGACATTGACATGCTGTCTGTCCGCCGAGATGCTCTTGTGCGGGAGTTTTTCGTCTACCTCTTTAATAAGGAGGCCATTATTTAATTTGCATTGTAGATTCAGAAGAGAAAAAGCGGTCTCTTGGTTCGGGAAAGGCTGCGCGGATGCTTAGCGGGAGCACTGCGTCCACTTCACCCAGCACCGTCGACAGTCTACTCCAGGGCTCCACACGCTCCACAATGTCTTCCTTGACCTCCCATGGCTCCATGCCGCAACCTCAATCTAGACAAATGCACAGCAAACTTCAACCCCTCAGTGAGGACGATGTACTTTCGCACTATGAGATGAATCAGACGCATCCTTCGTTGACAGGCCTGGTTGCACCACATGTATCTGCTGGACCCTCCAATTCACTTCCTCCCCTCCCACACCCGGCACTTGATCTTATTCTTATCGTGTCGCTACCTCCACCGAGTGATCCCCGCAGCACCACGGCACTTAAGCTCTGCGTCATCAAGGCATCGCTGGACCTTATCCTTGCTGCTCTCAGAACCAAGGATTGTTTGAGTCTCGTCACCTTTGAAGTGGGACCTGGTGGACATGTGCGCAAGGTGCCTTATCTTTGTGTTGGCAAGGCGCTCAGCCGAGGGGAGCTGTCCAAGTTCGTCGATGAGATTGGACGTTCGGATGAGGGGCAAGACGTTGAGTTCTTGGTGAGGGCTTCCAAAGAGGAGAAGACGGACGTTGTGACTGCGGTTAACCATGGTGAGTGCTCATTTTTTCATTGTCACTTTCTAGTTGACCTTCTCACTTGCCCACCTCTCCGCCCTGATGGCAAAATCCTCATCATCGGTAGCAGTATCACCAACTTCACCAACGTCGCCGCAACCTTCAAAGGCATCATCTTGCACTCACCTCCTACAAAGCCCAGCTCATCGCCCACAAAGCCAAGATTTACGTCTGCCGCGCGGTCCCCATTGGCAAGAAGGTCTCAAATCTATGTGTCTATTCGGTTCATCCCATCCACTCCTTACAAATGTGCATATACTGATACTAACACAGGCAATTCCCTCGGCGTCCCCATCCCCATCCGTGTCTTCGGCCCTGACTCCCACATCACTGAAATCGTCCCCTCGCCCTTGGTCTAAAATCCACAACAAGCACAACAGCACCCATCAACATCCCTCCCACCGCACCTAGCTCCCCCCCAGATCTTACACGCAACACAATGGAACCCAGCACCAGCAACATTGGCACCATCCATGCCAGCGGCAAACGCACCCAGCAACAACGTTGTCGTGCGTTTTGCCTCCCTCATTGAAAAAGATGTACGGCCTGTTTATAGACCTTTTGACAAAGACACACGCAGTTTCGTAGGTGCTCTTCAGTCGTGCGCGATATAGGGTTGGACTTTTATTACAGCTCTAAATGCCTGCGCCCCAGCGTCACAGCTATGATCTACCCGTTCGGAGCCCATCATGTCTAGAAATTCTACTGGTGAGCGCGTTGACACAGCACTACCGAGGTTCTGATTGTTCTAACTTTGCATGAATTATTTTTAGGATTTGAGTGCTTGTCTCGTGGGCGGCTTGTTGACTGAGTGATTCCGATGGTGGTTGTGCGTCTGGTCCAGGTCGAGTGTCTAATGCAGGATGTCTAGACTACGGATACAAATACAAAAAAAAAAAACAATAACAATTGAACAACACGATCGAAGGGCGCTTGTAACGGTATTGGAAGAGACTATTTTTATCGCAATCATTGGTGCATCATTGCAACCGGTTGCAATGTTCACCGCGGCTGAGGAGTGCAAACAGTCCATTACAATGACTAAGATTGATTGGAACGGGTTTCAATATTTCAATGCCCATTGCAATGGGCATTGCAACCGCGATTGTAACGACCATTACAATTCACCCTCTATTATTAGAAGCCATTTCAAGCCGAGGTTTGTATTTAAACATTTCAATGCTTTGTAATGCATTGAAAGCTAAATTAGGAATTTCCGACAGGGGATGGTGAGGAGCGAGCACAAGGTATGATAACGAGAGAATGTAAAGGGGAAGTAAAGGAATGTATCCGCGTGACTCGGATGCGAAGAGTAACGCTCTTCGCATCAGTGAGTCACGCGGACGGCTCTGACGAATGTTCGAGCGTCTTGTTTTAATAGCATGGTCGGGGCGTAAAGGACATCGAGTCCTTACACTGGCCATGTTCATACCAAACTACCCCCTACATACCCTGTATTTTGCCCAACAGTGATCCAAATAAAATTCCGTTCTTGTAACAACATTCGAGACACTAGTTCTAACACCTTACTGTGCGAGACCGCCTCGTTTTTGTTGTGTTTTCGGTACGCAGACGCTTCAGTTGTTCTGAATGTGTATTTAGCTGTGGCGGTGCTGAACATCGCGAATCAGTACATCGATATTTGTCAATTCGTCACTAACCATCATCAGTCTATCACCTAATTGATAGGTTTGGTCTGTCAGCCTCGTCTAACATAAAACTCAGCTGCTGCACCACGCGGTCAGTACCTTTCATTCCTCCGTCCTCTCTCTTGTACTAAGTTTTACTGTATTTGCCCTTATAGACTATCAGAGGATGTTCGACTTGACATTTGGGTTCAAGGCCCTAGGAGCATTAGTCGCTGTCGTTCTCGCAGACAAGCTCCTCCGCGCTAAGATACGCTCAAAGTCACGCCTGCCTCTTCCTCCCGGTCCTCCTGGACATTAGCTGTTCGGAACTCCTCTGCCAAGAACCAAGTGAGTACATAAAATACAAAACTCTATGTGGACACTAACGGGAAGCACATCATAGCCAATCTCAGCAGTTTGCAGAATGGATCAATACCTATGGACTCGTCATCTCGCTTCGGATCGGGCCTAAGAAGGACACCAAGCAGCTGTGAATCGGTGTGTTGCACTCCATGCGTTGTTTTATGATGACTTATGCATTCAACGCAAGCTACGCCGCCTGCGTCATCTTGCGTGTCACGTATGGCAAGTCGACCCCCACCGCCACAGACGCCCCCGAGATCATCGTCATCCACAAAATGCTCATGCGACCTGGTGTATTACTGGTAGAGCGCTACCCGATATTAAAATACGTTCCGGGATACGCAACCGAGTTGGAGCAGTGGAGAAGGGAAGATAGTCAGCTCTTCCATGGCCATCTTGATCGTGTTTCGAGAGAATTGGTTGGTTCGTTCCACTTCTTTCCTGATCAGTACCTGACTGTTCTTCGTAGGCGACTGGCAAAGCTGGCCCCTCATTTGCTCGTTATCTTCTTGAGAACCTGTCTTCGCACAAGCTCTCGGACGAAGAAATGGCTTATCTCGCTGGATCTCTCTTTGGCGCTGGTTCGGACACGACTGCAGTTGCGATTATGGTTCTTGTCATGGCTTCTGCATGTTACCCCAAGGCTCAGGAGAAAGTGCAAGAAGAACTGGACGTCGTCATTGGTCGTGACAGAGGTAAGTCGAATATCGTTATTTATCTGAGTTGATGAATCTCATTCTGGTCGTTCCAGCTCCCACATTCGATGACTATAACTCCCTCCAAAAGATTGAAGCGTTCATGCTGGAGTGTCTTCGCTGGAGACTCGTAACGACTCTCGGATTCGCACACCGTGCACTGACTAATATCCCATACGTACGTTTTACGGTGCTCTGTCATGTTTTTTTTGTTCTAACTGCCTGAGCAGAAGAATATGTGTATCCTAGAAGGTGCTATCGTCTTTGGCAACCACTGGTACCGCCCAACATCCATTCCATGCGATATATGCTGATCACCTTTTAACAGGGCAATCTCTCGTGACACAAGCGTCTACTCCAACCCTGACCAGTTCGATCCTCAGAAGTGGCTCAAAACCGACGGCAAAATCCGGAATGACCTCAAGTTCCCTTCATTCGGTTTTGGACGCAGGTACTTGTCCCTGATATTAAACCCAGTTACCTACATACTAAAATGCGACGTGCGACATGCAGAATCTACCCAGGATAACATATAGCAAACCGCTCGATCTTCATCAACGCTGCGCTCCTCTTGTGGTCTTTCAAGATCACGCAGGACCCTGAGAACCCGATCGATGAGTCGGGTTTTGTGGATGATATTATTGCGCATCCTAAGCCGTTTGCTGCGTGTTTTGAACCGAGGTTTGGGGATGAGGCGGCGTTGAGGGGGGTGATGGGGAGGTATGATGAGGGATTGTAGGTTCTTGATCTTGAGCTGTGGTCTATTGTGAGCTTGGGATGTAATACTTTCGTTGGTATTTTGGCGCGAGCGGCTCTTCGGCTTAATACTGAAATCATATTCGTTTTGGTGTCTGTGGTAGATGTGACGTGGAGTATGGTCTTCGTACTTGGGTTCAGTTCGAGACAATGCGACAGCACTTCGTGGAACCAGTACTTGAAGATAGAAGCATCAGTATTGCATGTGTCGAGTATTCCACTCTTAATCTCTCTGACAGCACCCTTTCATCACGGCAGGAAGCCCAACAAACCTCGTCTGTATGTGATAAAGTTAACTTCACACAAGACAAGTCTTCCGTAGCAGACCAAATACAAGGTCAAGACGCAGGCGATTGACTTCAAACGCCAAGAACACTCGTATATATTCGACATAGATTACCGGGGGCTCTTCAGCCTAGGCGAGGATGCATCGCGTACTCGGGCTCGATGAGGTGGTAGTGTACCCATTCGTTGATCGAATCATAAACATAACGATGAGCCTGAGCTCAGGATAGTCGTCCTTTGTATTCTAACTTCCACAAACCGACCATGGTAGACAACCTGAATCTAGGGAGCACTTATAGCAACGATTGGATTGCAGTACGACTAGGCATATAGCAAATATATAACGTTTCGTAGGAGCGAAGGTACGAATGAAATCCTTGTGCAGGCCCAAAATGATATTGTGAGACTCGGTACAGTACAAGTGAAGGTCGTGGATCAAGAAATCGCAAATATATAGTGTTCAAGTTGTGCGGAGACTGTAGATCTGTGTTGTACTTCTATTAGTCATGACACGTACATATGTTGGCGCTACCTACCGGAGATGATCACGAAGACAGGGAATCCTTCTGCTCCCGACACTTGTGCCATGACGTGCCATGGGCGAAATAACTTAAATCGAGCTGCGAGGCTCGATTGTGTATCACGAGCATGTTCCCTGGAAAATGTATGGCTGGGTATAAGTGGACCGGGATCCAAAAGAGGAGCCGTCCGCCGGGCCCTACAACCCATCCTTCTTCGGTCAGGATGAGAGAGGCTGGAGTGTAAGAATCTTGGAAAAAGGAGGAGGGGGAACAAAGTGCGTGGATCTGATTGGATGAAAAACATATTGCAGGTGCTTCGAAGGGTTGGTGCCGGTTGAAAATATCAAGATCCCATGCCCGAATGGTATTATCGGAAGAACCAGACACGACATGTTTGCCGTTAGGCGAGATTGCGACAGATGAAACAGGTCCAGTGTGCCCTCGGAGAATGGCACCCACTGGCCCCCCAGTCTCTATATCCCACACCCGGATGGTCCTGTCATCTGAACCGGATATGATGTGATTTCCATCTGGCGAGATTACAACAGAGTTAACAGGCTCAGTGTGGCCTCGGAGAGCCACACCTAATGCCTTGCTAGTTCCCATATCCCACACACGGATGGTCTTATCAGCCGAGCCAGACACGATGCGACGCCCATCCGACGATATTGCGACAGAGCAGACGGTGTTGGTATGACCTCGGAGAGGGGCACCCAATGCCTTGCCTGACCCCATTTCCCACATCCGAATTGTGTTGTCCGTTGAACCAGAAATTATGCGGTTTCCGTCCGGCGAGATTGTGACAGATGAAACATAGTTGGCGTGGCCTTCGAGAGGGACACCTGATGCCACTCCAGTCTGTGCCTCCCACACCCGGACTGTGCGGTCATCTGAACTAGACACAATGCATCTCCCATCTTGTGAGATTGCGACAGACCGAACCCAGTCAGTGTGCCCTTGGAGGGGGGAACCCAATTCCTCGCCAGTCTCCATATCCCACATCCGGATGGTCTTGTCAAATGAGCCAGACACAATGCAATGTCCATCCTGTGAAATTGCAACTGACCGAACTGAGCCAGTGTGCCCGTGGAGAGGGGCACCCAATGCCTCACCAGTCTCCATATCCCACACACAGATGGTCTTGTCATTTGAACCAGATACAATGTGACATCCATCAGGCGAGATCACGAGAGAGTTGATGGTGTCAGTGTGACCCCGGAGAGCGGCACCCAATGCCTCGCTAGTACTTGTGTTGGCATCCCACACCCGAATTGTCTTGTCAAATGAACCAGAAACTAAGTGATTTCCATCCGGCGAGATGACGACAGACGTAACAGTGTCAGTGTGGCCTTGGAGAGGGGATCCTAATGTCTTTCTAGTCTCCATATCCCACACCTGGATGGTTGCGTCAACTGAACTAGATACGAGGCGATTTCCATCCGATGAGATTGCGATAGAGAAAATGGCGGTAGTGTGGCCTTGGAGTGGGGCACCAAATGCCTAGCCACTCTCCAAATCCCATACTCGGATCATTTTGTCCTCTGAACCTGACACAATGTGATATCCATCCGGCGAGATTGCAACGGACCAAACAGTGTCGGTGTGGCCTTGGAGTGGGGCACCAAATGCTTCGCCAGTCTCTAAATCCCATACCCGGATCATTTTATCACGGGCACCGGATACAATGCGCTTGCCATCCGGCGAAATTGTGACAGACAGAACACCACCAGTGTGTCCTTTGAGACGGGGACCCGATGCCTTGCCGGTCTCTGCATCCCATACCCCGATTGTCATGTCCGATGAACCAGATACAATGTGCTTTCCAGTCTGACGAGATTGCGACAGACCGAACAGCGCCTACGTGTGCCCTTGAAGAGGGACACCCAATGCTTTGCCAGTCGCTGCATCCCACACCCGGATTGTCTTGTCCGATGAACCTGACACGATACGCTTTCCATCCAACGAGAATGTGATAGACCTAACAGCGGCAGTGTGACCTTGAAGAAGGGCACTCGATGCCTCGCCTGTCTCTAAATCCCACATCTGGATCATTCCGTCATGTGAACCACATGCGATGAGTTTTCCGTCTGGTGACATCGCAACCGAGTGAACCCAGGAATCCCCATGGAGTATCTTTTCCATGAGAGGCCAATTTACAGCATGACCAGCGGCGATGCGGGGGGTGCAAGGGAACTGTACAGCGAACTTTTGAGATATCTTCGACTGAATTGGAGCGAACGGCAGAGCGGATAAGTATAAATGTGGAGTGGAATGTAAAATGGCGGTCGCGAAAGTTCGAACGAAGCGCTGGGTGTCCCTGGCAGTGTTGTCGACGTGAGCATATTCGACATGATCCTATGACCATCCCACTTCTCGTAAGAATCTATCGGTCCTAAGAACGAGCTCGAGCTACGCACCTTAAACCAATGTGTGATAGACGAGAGGCACCCTACCGAGCCGCCAAGGCTTTTCATCAGGCATAGTGCTTCCAACCACCAAAGGAGGCGCTCCCCGTCGAAGAAAGCTGCGATTTCTTTAGCGAGTGATGGCTCGAAGGACGTAGCTCCCACATGAGTCCCCCAAAATCGACATGAATATGACAGCACAGTCGGAATGGACTCTTTCACTCGTTTCTCCAAGTTAGGGACAGCAGAATTGGGTAGGTAAGAACTCTCTAAAGAGCAGATGTTGAAGCAAAGTTCGCGCTCCATGACCCGAAACGAGGCAAAGGCAAGGTCGCTTTGTACCGACGACACGTCGATGAAGAAGTCTCGGCTCCGTGATTTGTCTGTCAGGAAGTCGTAGAAGGATGCGTGGAGGGGTCGTATAGGAGTTTGGGAGTCCATGGTCCCGGCCAACAGCGACCCTAGTGGCCCAATAACCCGCTGCATTTTGTAACGGCAAGTACCGGGTGTAAAATGCAGTCGCATAGCGGTCAATGCAGTCATGGGGAGTGGTTCCAGTGATGCAAGGATTTGCCCCATCACTGAGCGAAACACGGGGATAGCCTCCCCGCGCTCATCCGAAGGCAGTGTCTCTTCCAAGATGCGTGCATACATAAAATCCAATAGACGTGTTCCTTTTTCAGATGTTCCAGCAACCACAGCTTCGAACTTATCCATAGGATCCAGGCCAACCCTGTTCGTACCCTTGATATACTCGCATATAAGACGAGCCCATTCAAACATGCCGTCGGATTTCAGAGCGAGAGTCTTGAAGTGGTCATCATCGAACACGTTGCGTAGATCTTTCAGTCTATTGGCGATATAAAGCTGGATGTCGTGTTCTGTGGACGCGGACGAAATATCATCCAAGGAGACATGGCGAACATGTGGCGCGGTGTGCAGAGCGTTGCTAATGTCTTCCAATGGACGGGAAGTGACAAGAATACGGATGTTTAGTGGGATGTCGGATGGTGTGGAGGAAGAACTGTTCTCGCCAGCGAGCAGACGAAGAATCTGTTCCCGGGAACTCGCGTCGCCACTCTCGTCCAACGCCTCGATGACGATCAGGACTGGTGCGGCGATGGCTTCCGAGGCTTTGCTTGATGGTCCTATGATTAATTCCCGCCATTGTTTTGTGAGGTCTGAAGTGCGCTTCAGTCCGTTGTTATCATGAACCGCTTGCACCAAGGCTCGCCGCACGATAGGGTTGCAATCCGCCAAATCATTTGCGATAGTCGTCAAAATTTTGGCCTGTCGATCTGCTTGCTGTGTGCGATCGAAGCAGAAGCACGAGCCAAGGCCCCCACTCTCGGTGTACCAGTCCGCTATCGTGTGTGCGATAGCAGATTTGCCCTTGCCTGCTGTGCCAGAGAGCCACAACATACGCGGAGCACTCTCATCGGTGCTACTGATCCAAGTCTTGATCTCCGACAGAAGATCCTGCCGCGTATTTGGCAGACAACATTTGGACGTATTGATTCCGGCACCCTCTGCACAATTCATGCTGATGAGGTCCAGAGTCTCAGCTATGTCACGGATCGCGGAATGTTAGATGAGGCTCAATGAGACCTGAAAGCCGACTCCTACCCATACGGTGGACAATTACAACTGTGTCACGAGCCACTCTGTCTCGGAATTGCCGCATGAGACTATCGAGGACATCGTTGTAACTTTGGATCGCGGCCTGTGTTTCTTTAAAGGCGTGCTTTCCAAGTCTTTTCCCTGTGCAAAGATTCAACAGTGAGTCATAGGTTGCGCAGTGGTGAGTTCAACTCACAGGCGCTCGTCGTCTCAGAGTAATGAGCGATGAAATCCGCGCACTCTAGCGTCTGTCGCGCTATCTTCCCATAAATTGCTGGCATGGATGGAACATTGGCCAACGCCTCCTCTTCCGTGATGAAAGTATAGACCTCAGAGATTTTCGAGAGCAAACCAGAAACAGCAGCATCGCAGTCTGCCTGATCGAGAATAATCTGTCACCAGACGTTCTTAGTAACTTGCAAGCTTGAACATACAAAACAAACGTACCTGGGATGCGTAAGTGAAGATGCTCAATGCCACCTTTGCATAGGGATAGATCTATGCACGAAGATCAGTGACGTAAGAGATACAGATAGAGGCCCGTACATCTGCAAGCCCGTTAGCGATTGCGTTGAACGCCTTCAAGGGTTTAAGTATCGCGGAGAACGTGTCGATTGTATCAGGAACGGACTGCAGGTTGTTCGTCTCCGAAGCAGCATTCTGGGCCATTACGGGGACATTTTTCATGCCTGCGACGCCTTTGGTGGCATTGGCGATTCTTTCATTCACAAACTTCGGGTCACGTTGTTCGGCCTGATTACAAACGTTAGTACATTATCGAAAGAGACGGATAAGAATGATCCGAACTACGATGATCGAATCCACCTTCGGAATGCCTGAATCGGAAGCCTGGTCAGGATTTGGTTCGATAGTGGGAACAGTGGGAGTGGGAGCAGTGAGTGAAGAATCCTGTGGAAGTTGATAGCATTCAATGATTCATCACAAGTGGAACGTGCCAAGCGTTGCACATACCTGAGTTGTCTCAGCGGATAGAAGATCCTGTGCGCTGAAACTTGCAGCAGCAGGTTCAGGGCTCGGAGACTGTCGAGCGCTTCGAGAGGAATGCTTGCCCCAGAACTTGGGAACCCGTAACCCCGATAGTCCTCTGCGACTTGGAGATGCATTCCTCGAAGGTGGGAGAGAGGATGGCTGGAACGACATCGTTACACAACCAGCACTTAGATATAAGTAGAATATTTAATACCTCAACTTCACTGGCTCCGCTCTCCACTGGCAAATGAGGATTCGAGCGGCTTCGCCCCAGCGACAACCCAACGAGCTTCTTCCGAGGAAGATTCATCGTGAAAGCACGGCTGAAGCTCTGAGTCTAAAGAGGAGGTCACTATGTGCAAAAGGGATGAGGAGGGTGGACAGGCGGCTGCTGCGTCTCTGCACGAAAGCGAACATGCGATTGGAAGCGCCCATTATCGCAATGAGCCGGACTGAGTTCTGATGGTGGAATCTTATCTGAATCGAAGACAGACCTGCCCACGAGTAGTCCTGGTAAGCAGTACTAGTACCATCTACCACTGGTATTACACACTGGCAGCACATCATATTTCGGTGGGTGAGCCTCTGCGCCTTTATTCAATATTCAATGTGCATGTTTGGTTCATCGCCGATGTCGAACACTGCCTTTGCTGTGGTATTACCGTATAGCTTCTGCTATATAGTCACGACTCGGATTCCCCGCCAAGTTTCATCGACAAGTGCCTACTCTAAGGCCCCCTCCTTCATTTGAATTAATCAGTCAACCTCCATATGCCTGCAGCTCATAGACTTATAAAAATACGACTCGAGCTGATAACTCGCGTTGATATTTTCTCTCTGGTTCCAATAGCCACAGCATGGCCTCTCCAGCGTCGACCCAAACGTGTGGCTCTGCTAACCCGGAAAGTCCTGCTCCACCCGATGTGAGTGTGATGTCTGCTAAGCATAATCATGTATAACCCCAACGCTGTTGCAGGCATCCAAGCTGAAGATCACACACTCGAAAACACCGAAGCCATTGCAGCCCGTCGAGACATTACGTTTCGGCCAGGTGAGCAACACCTCAGACGGCCATATCTATGTCGCTCTAATGATCAATATGCCAGACATTTTCGGATCACATGATCGTCGCAAATTATGATCCTGAAACAGGATGGTCCGCGCCTGAGATTAAGCCTCACGGGCCCATTACACTCGATCCCTCCTGCTCGTGCTTCCAGTATGGCGGAAATGTTTTTGAGGGTATGAAAGCTTATCTTGGGCCCGACGGCAAGGCACGCTTGTTCCGCCCAGACTTGAACATGCGTCGCTTGGAGAGATCTTGTGCACGTCTCGCTCTTCCCGTGAGTACCATTGCATCTGTTAGGGAGTGTCTCTGATTTTATGGCACCATGATCGTGCAGCCCATCGACGGTGATGCCGTTTTGGAACTGATACAGCGTTTGGTGGATCTTGAGAGGCGCTGGATACCTAAGGAATCGGGATATAGTTTGTATCTGCGTCCTACCGTCATTGCAACCAAACCAGGTTCGTGGAATCAGCCAATACTATACGTATATTCACCCGATCGCAATGTAGGTTTGGGAGTGATGGCGTCTGACCATGCTATGCTTTACATTTTGGCAATGCCGACTGGACCATTCTACCGAGTATTGAAGCCAGTTGCTCTCTTCGCTGTCAGTGAGAACGTGCGCGCATGGCCAGGCGGAACTGGAGGGCACAAAATCGCTGGCAACTACTCACCCGGCTTCCTGCCCCAACAAACAGCTGCAGAGAAAGGCTACGACCACATCCTTTGGTTGTTTGGCGATGACAGAAGAATCACCGAGGCTGGAGCAATGAACTTCTTCGTTGTGGTCAAGAGGGATGATGGGGACGGTGAGTTTCAATTCGACATGTTCGATATGTATCATTTACTCTCCGTCGAAGGCTTGGACCTTATCACCGCCCCTTTGGACGGTACTATTCTACCTGGAGTCACTAGAGCATCCTGTCTCGCCCTCGCAGGTGATCCAGAATTCCAAAAGGAAAGCTCGCTGCGCTTGCATCCACAAGAAATGGTGTATACCATGAGTGACCTCGAAAAATGGTCGTCCGAGGGTAAATTTCTAGAGGCGTTAGCCCTAGGCACATCGGTTATTATTATACCTTGCAACAAGATTGGGTACGAGGGTAAGGATATCGTACTTCCTGGGGCTGGGCTGGGACCAGTTGGCACGGCACTCCGGAAGAAGATACTTGATATCCAGGAGGGCAGAACAGAGTGGAAAGGATGGGGCGTCGTCTGCCCTTAGTCGTGTTGCAGCTAGCAACAGCACAAAACTGAATACCAGCGCATGTGTAGCCTCGTACTATAGACGGGCTGGTTACCGATCTACAATCGAATGACATCCTCTGATTTGACCGATTGAGATGATACTGCCGCAGTTCTGGAGTAGCCGAACTGCGGAGTAAATTTCAACACGAGTTCTCCCATCCCCTGGCATGTTGATCTTGCACATCTCTGTGGAGATTGATCCATCACGAGCTGAAGTAATTTTCGTACTTATCAGACCTCAGGCCTCATGCATGCATGCTCCATGATCGGCACCACATATCAAACGTGAACGAGGACATGCCCTGAACCTTGATGAGTGAGTGATGGCGATCTCGAGAAGATAGGATCACTGTAAAGGCAGTAAGTACTATGAGGTTTTGGTATGGCTGCGGCGTAGATCAGCTGGAAATAAACCAGGCAAGAAGCTTAGTCCATAGCGTTTCAGTCTGGGCGAAGTTAAGCTGATTACACGGGGCGGTTCTGATTGTTTAGGACGATCTGACAATGACAGTAACCGCATCATGCAGGTACGATCACTGTCAGTTTGTTGAGGCAGGATCACGAAATAAGTGGGCAGAAAAAAATCGAAATTTTAGGGTGGCATGAGGTTTCAAGGTTGTGATCAGCAGTCCAGACTATGCTGTGATTTTTTTAAACACGTTCTCTCCGAAATATTCTGTCAAGGTGAAGTAGCATCTCAGATCTCATTATTAGCGTCTGACGGGCTTCTTCAACTTGAAAGTTTACTTACTTACACTCTGGCTTCCATTTTGATCACTCGGATCTCGGAGCACCAATATCATCCCTTCCTTTCCGATCGCTCGCTGGACCCTTGACGAGGGTTCACTGTGTCTCTTGATTGATTGAACAAGGTCATAACGACGACACAGTCAACCTGGGATTCATTTCTCAGATCTATATCCCACCCAAACTAGGGTCGTGAATTCGAGCATTGCTGGTGTGCATGTAGCGATCCATGGTGCTGGTTCCTGGATTGAAGATGCAAAGCAGAAGCACGCAGTTGCACAGATGCTCAATATAGATGAGGAGTCCTGTAGGCTATTACGCTTACACAAACCACTCATCTCCATTGAGAATCCACAAAATTCCTGTGGATCGCGGCACCTCAAGCTAAGCGGCGGGCATGGCAGAAACTCTGCATTGGACAACCTTGGACGACCAGGCAACGTCATCAGGATGCGACTTGATTTAGCATCTTTGCCACTGAAAACCTATTCAGCACATTACTACTAATAGCGATCGAGCCTTGCCGATGTGTATCTGACCATTTGTGCATAGTGTTGAAGTGAAAAGGCAAAGCAGAAGCATGCGTTGCGCAGATGCTCAATGTAGATGACCATCCTATCAGCTACTAGGGGGCGCCAGGGGCTCATATCCATTGAGATTGCTGTGGATCTCCTATCGCGGCACCTCAAGTGGCGGCCTTGGCAGAAACCGTCCTAGACATTGGTCACGTTTCACTGCACGGCTATTTGGCTTTGTTTGTTAACAGCTTCCGATCCTAACATGGCGAATGAAAACTGCTCAGCGATATCTGTTCCCCGGAATACATATACCTACAATATCTCTAGCGTCCGGACGTCCATCATGCTGCGAACAGTAGTGGTGTCTTTCACTCGTGCAATTATATTGCGATCTGACGCGATTCTCTTGTATTCTCCGCCGGGCTGCTGCGCCAACAAAAACGCGCTGAAAGGTTGTCCAAGACGAACGATAAACCGCAATGCTTGCAAGTGAGACTCCGAATAAACCACCCCTTTTTTTTCAGGAACGCCGTGAAGCGCATCAAAAAATGAGCCGAAAAAATGTCCAAGACAAGGAATAAATCGCGACCCATGGGACCGAGACGTGCCAGCGAGATTGTCTAATGATGACGGGGCGATGGACCAATCAGACAAGCTCTTCATTTCGTCCAGTGCAGAGTCGGGTAGCTCAAGGAAATAACGGCTCCACGGACGGACAAGCAACAATGTCTGCTTAGTGTCCATTGCCCCGGAGAACTGACTCGGTTTGTCTTCCGTGGTGATCAGCAGGTCACAAAGCCCGTCTGCCTGGACTTCATACGTGACAGTTGTCTCCTGGCCTTGACCACGCCTCCGTCTGACTGCTGTGACACGGAAGGTGATGCAAGGCAGATGCAGTCTGCAGTCTGCAAAACGAGGAGCACTCAGCTGGTCGAACAGGGTATAGAATTCCGAAGCCAACTCCACAGTCACGGTATTTCGCAGGACAGAGACTGATTTCTGCATTTCATCTTTGGTCAAAGATGGAAACGTGGATGGCGGAGCTTTGTAGGATGTGATATCAGCTGGCAGGCAGCTATTGAATTCTGATGATTTTCCGACCCAGTCCAGGGCAGTAATGTCACCCGAGCGAGTTACAATCTCCTGTAAGAGCCGCCTGAGTGCGCTATGTTTCTTTTCGCCATAGATGACAGGTAGGTGGACGCCGAAGATACCAAAAAATGAGTATGCGATGTCTTCCTGCAAAGTAGTGATACGGGTAGACGCCCATTGAAGTTTCTCCCGGGCATCCCCCATCCCTGGATGGAAGGCAACGAGGGCACTTGGGTCTATGCCCGTTGCGCGGCCCAACTCCCGCATGATCGCGACGGACTGCTTGTGGTTGGGAGAGTGATCATCGAGATATGGGGTTCAATCCTTCTGATAAAAACGGATGACTTTGGGAGCTAGGGATTCTACAACAGTCCATCCTCGTCTGTTCCACTCGCTGTTTGCAAGTGCGCCAGACGTTGACGAAGGGGTGACATCTGCCAGATAGACAATCGTAAGTGCTGAGCGGCGATACCAGACGAACATGGAGTTGAACGATTGTTGGAGCTCAAGATCGTCATTCTTGTCGATGCAGCATGTATCGCTCCACGCCCAGCGATACCCCGCCTCACGAGCAATTTTGCAGAATGACTGCAACTTCAGGATGCCGCCGACTGCATCCAACTCGTACAGGACCTTGTTCTGGATATCGTGCAGCAACGGCTCCTTCCCTTCCCACCTATGGAATAGCATGACATAACCAAAGCTCATCTCCACCATTTTTTGGAGGCTCCCTATTGGCAGATCTGCATGGTTCATTGTAAAGGACAACAGCTCATTATACCCTGTGCTCGTTTTGAAGACGCTTATTTGCGCCTCTCGATCGCACAAGAGCCCGGTGGTGGTGTCGAATACACGAAGCGGGGTATCATCGAGTTGAGTATGAATGACCGTTCGAATAGCACCCTCTGCTTCGGATGGACTGAGATAATGCTGGCGCAAATCTGGAGAAAAAGTCAAACATTGTGAAGTATGCGTTACGCAGGGCTTACTTTGTATTTGCGTGTCAGGACTATTTTCCAACTTGAAGAGCATGATTTCGAAGGTCGCGATGGCTTCATCATAGCGTTGTGCGCCATGAAGGGCTGCGTGCTTCAACTGGTATCCACGATAAGAGGAAGGGTTGAAATCGATGACCTGACACTAAGATGAGCATCGCTCGTGAAACGAAAGATGCAATCGCACCGCTTGTGCATTGAGAAGTGCTGCATCGAGGGCAAGATCGAGGGCTGTCTTGTTCATAACGTCACTCTGCATGGAGCATAATCGCATTACGTTATAAGAAGTCGATGGTGAGAACGTACCTTGACATAAGGCAAACTGCTTTGGAGAACTGCCCACTTTGAGATCTTTTTATCCTGGCCTCCGCTGAGGATGATTTCGTAGCCATCCGTGGAGAAGGTGAGGCAGCTCACCCAGCCAGCGTGCTCGAATATGGCGATGGTTCGCCGATCCGAGAGCCGCCAGAGGCGGACATGGTTGTCGTCAGATGCAGAGGCAACGACGGTGCCAGCAGAGTTCACGGCGATGGCATTGATACTTTGAGTGTGGCCTTCCCAGGGATCACCAACCTGCTTCCAGCTGGTTGATGGATCCCACTCCTGTATGGTGGGATCATCCCAGTTAGATCCTGAGAGAAGTGTCCCACTAGGTGTCCACGCGAGTGATAAGTTGGCAAGTTTGCGATGCATTCCCTTCTGCCTGTATTCCAAATTTGTACATTCGAAGATGTCGCAATGGCAAGATGTTCGCCAGATGGCGAATACCTGAACGCAGCTAACTTTCGCGTGACAGTGCAATACGGGATTTCCTTGCACTTGCCATGTTTTTGCGTTCCATAGCTTCGTCGTATAATCTGAACCGACCGCCAGGACAGCGCCATCTGGTGAAAAGTCCAGCGAGGTGATGGAACTGGAGTGGGCCTTGATGACTTGCCAGGTTAGAGGTAACCATGGTTCGCCAGTGTCCCCATCCCATGCAATGAGTTCACCGCTCTCATCACCGCTTGCTATCAATTGCCCGTCTCCTCTTATTGCCACTGCTCGCACATATCCGTGATGTCCCTCCATTTTTTTCAACATACCCCCGTTCTTCAAGTCCCACAGACGAAGCGTACTGTCCATCGAGCCCGTCACCATGCGTCGTCCATCAGGGAAGACTGCGACCGCTGATATGGCCGCCGATTCAGTGGTCTTTAAACGCTCGAATAGGTGTTGTGCTTGGAATGAAGGGTTGTGCTGCTTCTTCCAACATATCGATCAACTTAAAGTTGAGCACCGTCAGGTGTGGACTTACGGATACTGTGTGTGTACTCGATGTTTTTATTCACATTGTTGAACTGTCTTATCAGACGCACCGCCATGAGACTCTCTCCATCAAAGTTCTGTCAAGGGCGCGACTGCGCCTAATGATGGCGTGTTTCTGATAAATCCTCACATGGTGTGATGTTTTAAATGATGGGCAGCCCTGCTTGTTCCGGTATTTCTTGATGGTGTCGAAATGAACTTGTTGTGCGGATTGCCTTATCTTGCTCTAATAAGTTGCCAATGGGCGTGTGCTACTCTTTTTCCTTTACAGCATTATGGTAGCTACTCGTTAGGCGCCAGAGTCATTCACCGCTCGCAAATTTGGCTGTATCCAGGAGGTTCTGATATCAGAACTGCTCGACAATATCACTTGTTGTGCCATCTGCGTAAGGCTGTGACATCCGAATCAGCTTTCTAGACATAACGTCCTGAGAAAGTACTTATTTCACGGCTCACTGCCAAACTCCTGTTCTACACGAGTAGGGCTGTCCGAAATAGGGCCGAAGGCTCTAAATGACAATGATTCAGAAAAACACTGTTCCAGAGCGTGATGCGCATTTGGACGTGTGTAGGCATCGAACGACCCTCAAAATCACTGGCGGGCGCACTGAAAAGGTCTGCGTTCCTAATTGCCAATCTTCCTTGTGGGAACACAGAACAGAAGTCGTCCCATTTCTACATATATATGATATGATCTGTCTCCACGGCGCCTTAAAGACTTAGGATAAATTTACTCCAGTACCTCACCTACAGATAACGATTGTTCAAGTGTAGCATCGAGAACAATGATAGACTCACCACCACATCGTGAAAAATCCGCTTAGCGGAACCACGAAGGTATAACCACGATAGCGTCAATACTGCCATGCATTTCAAAATCTTCTTGACAGCCTTGATTCGCCTTGTCCATCCCCATTTCTCGGCGCCGACCGCCACAAAATGATCCCAATTTGGTCTGCGATGCCACCACCACCAAACCGTCACAGCCCAAGGGAACGGATTGAACAACTTGCCTGTGCCGTTCGTACGCGCCCAGGAGTAGCACTGAACGAGTACAGAGCGAGAGATCCGTTCTTGAAGCTTGACATTATATGCATCCGTGGGTGAAGCTTTGACGGTAAAGGATGAGGCGAAACCGGTAAGGACCGGCTCTATGAGTTGAAGGATGTATGCAACCTTGTGACAATCTTGAATACAAAAATACAAAAGTTACGCTAGACTTACTTGGACCTCTTCCACGAACAACGTCGATGTTGGTGTTCCAGTATTTGGTCCTGTAATTGTTACTTCAGGCGACAGTCGATGAGGACCCGCTTCCACATGAACTCACCAGCTAGCAAGTAAAAGTTCGGTATGTCAGGAATTGCAGTCCCGAGGTATGCGGTAGGGCCACCATGCGCATCATAATAGCCTTGGATAGTAAGTCCATTCAAGCCCCGAACGTGCATCGGGTACCGCTCCTGTGTTTACAATTGGTATCATATGGAACATTAGATCGTGTGTAGCACTTACGCCAATGAATCCAGTCGCGTACACGATAACATCACACGGCAACATTTCACCTAAACTATATGAAGAAAGCTCGTGATGATGCAATCTCCGGCGCATACATACCAGTGTTTGTGACGATGCCATTCTCCACTATTTCGGCGATTCCGTCAAAGTTCAGCGTCAAGTTAGGGCGATAGAGGCTAGCCAGGAAACCACTGTTTGCAACTGCATGGAATAAAATAAGAAAGAACATCAATTTGATCACCAGAAACGAACCTGTTCGCTTGCAACCTGGAGCTGTGGAACATGTGAGCACAAAGAGAATTCCTTGATCAAAAACACGTACGATGATTGGGTATCATATGAGCATGGTATCTACTCGGTGTGTTATCGAGTATGTATTTCGTCATCGCCTGGGAAGTAGCGTTGGACCGAGTACCCCGAGACTCTCGCAACCTACTCACCTCACGTCGTTTCTTGACAGTTTTTTTACTCGAGGGTAAGAGAGAGGGAAAATCGAACTACAATTAAGGTCAGCATGCCAAAACCCCGCAAAAGAGTTGACCCAACCCAGAACATGATCCAAGCTCGGTGCAGTCCGCATCGCCAGAGGGATGTTGGCGAATATCCATTTCTCAGTGTCGGAGTACGGAATATGTGTCTTGGATGTATAGTTTAGTTATCGAAACGTCCAACGAGCGCAAAGAACCTCACTCGAGTGTTGAACCAGGTCGGGGTGCGGATGAAGTTAATTACCTCGACAGACGGGTCTTCAGATATAGATGGCACGAATTGTGCTCTTGTTGTATGTCACCACCTAATACATGCGCAGAAGTCGTGCAACTCACCCGGAAGATGCATTGCCAATCACTGCGACAGCGCTTGTTCTGCAGATCTATTGACCCTGGCCATCTGTGCGGAGTGAAAGGAAGCCCCCTGAAACTTCAGAACTCCAGGGATCTCATACGGAATCTTTGGGGTTTCCAAGATACCAACGGCAGATATCACGACGTGGGCCACACTGGTCAGTCCTCTTGCCTGAAAAGACATCTTCCGCAACGAGAGTATATTGTTGTTTTGCGCTATCCCACTCAGCAGACAACACTTTTGTGTTGAATGCGATGTGTGGATACAAATCATATTTCTTTGAGAGCTTAATCCAGTAGGCTTGAATCTCCGGTTGAAGGCCGTGTGACTTGTTCCAGTGTGGGTAAAGGTCAGATGATAAGCTGTACCAATGAATTTGGACATCCGACGAGCATCCCTATAGAAGAACCTTCGAGGTGAGCAAATAATTGCAGTTGTTGTTATTGATCCATACAGGATATGTGTTGGCCTGTACAAACATAGTCAGAGAAACGTTTGATGCGTCGATATCAACGTACCCTCCACACTCCACCGACTTCAGATCCTTTCTCATATACCTATGGACGGACTCAGCAGCATGTCGCTCGTTGGATGGACTCATGCACGCACCGTAAAATTGTGAAATCCGAGCTTGGTTTTGAGAGCAATAGCTTGGGTCAACCCGCCAACACTGCGAGTGGATACTCAGTGTTGATATAATCAGATCGAAAGCAATAAGTACCCAGCGCCAACGATGGCGACTCTTCGGTGGGAGTCACTCATGTAAGTAAGTAGCTATTCTCAAGATCCTGTCGATGTCCCTTTAATACTCACTCACCTGGCGCGATAGGCTTTAGCTAACGAGGTCATATGGCCTGTCAAGCCCTATCGCGATTCGCGCGAAACTCGTCTAATCCCAGGAAGTCTTTATCCTAAATAAGACTGTGAGATATCTGAGAAGTTTGGGATTCTATCCTGAAGCGATGTAGTACGGGCATAGGGCTAGAATAACGTCCGCGGACGAAAGCATTTACATGAACGTTAGACTACAGCACGGTGCTGAGCGGACATTTATGTTCGGCAGGCTCTGGATATTAATGTTATGATTCACCGATTGAATCGTACAAATAACGGTGAGCTCGATGATAGTTGTCCTGGCTTGGCCCAGGAAGGAGGGGCGCGGTCTCAATAGTTATAGAAGGCACTTGCACATGTTCGATAGAGGACATCCGCGTGAGTATACTTCTCTCCCGTTCAACGATGCTACATAGAGGGATAGAATTATGCTCGAGTGATAAACAGCGAGAAACAGACGCACTCCCGCATGACGGTCGCATTGAACAGGCGCTTGGCATGCCGCTTACTCTGGTTGTCCTCGTATTGGTCCGTTTCGTCGACGATCTCTTCTGATATAATTTCCTGGAAGAGACTATTATGACATGTACTTACGACAGCTAAGTGAACACGATACCTCGATGACATCTGGAGCAACGCAGAAAAGCAGTTAGGAAGTGATAATAGTGCGCATAACCGGATGGTTCACCTTCCAAAGTAATCACACCAATTCCGCCACCAGCGGAACCAGGCGTCCGACTTATCAACAATAAATGAGCGCGCCCTGTTTGGCTAAAAAAAAATCGCCTCCATTGTCACTTGACTGGCATGAGTGGAAGCAAGAAACGAGAGCATACAAATAGTCGAGCGCTTGGAAACAGTTGATTGATGGTGGGGCCTCGGGTAAAATGGTCAGAGGGAAGTGCGAGACTGGGAGTCCTTGCGCGGGGTCATACATCAGCAACTGTCACCAAACTGTCAACAAGCTATTCAAACCAAGTGTGTTTCTGCACCTTCTTGATCAAAAGGAGGCCCTCAAATTCGAGTGGATTTCCTGGTTGGTGCACGGGAAACCGAGAGAAGCCGCTGGCGAGGCTGAAGTCGTGTGAGTGCGCTTCTGCGAAGACAAAAATTGTTTTTTGAATACATAGCGTCAACAGTGGAGTGGTCCAGAATTGTATCCGAGCTCAACATGACAACGTCCTGCCAATAATAAAAACCCGCATAAGTACTGAGCACATCCAAAGAAAGGGCCAAAATACCGACACAAATGGGAGTCATGATCGTCTCCACATTCTTACTGCTGAGCTCCAGAACGCCATTGAGAATGCCGATCTCGTCATCATGCAAAGGCTCTTGGCCAGTACGGTGGAATTGGAGGAATGATTTAAGTTCAGCTTTCTTGTAGGTGTGAGTACCGTGAGCTCCCAAGGCGCGGTCGAGAAGTTTGGCTGTTGGATATGCGATGGGTGCTGTGCCAGGGCAGACGTTACTTTCAATCCTGGTAGTCAAAATGCGCGCGCACCGAAGAGGTACATCAAGAAGAGAACAAATGGTGCACATCGCGCGCCGATGGCGAGTCCGTATCTCGCGCAAAATGCTTGAGGTATAACCCTTCGGTAGGCAGGTCATGATACAATCGCAGTGCATGGGACATCGTACTTACTCTCTGTCCGTCAAGGAAGAAATGTTTATCCACCATGATGCTCCAAACGAATGGCAAACGTACCCAAATATAACTGAGGAGCGTCCCGTCAGTTTGATTGGATGCGTGAATTTTGCTACTTACCGATGGCAGTTGTTGAAATTACTATAGCAAGTAAACCTCCTCCAAGCTGATAAGTCCATTAACTCTGGACCGAAAGGGGCCGTTACCGAGAATATGCTCACCGCGCTGTCAAGAAAGATGGGCAAGCTCTCGTTGATGACCTAAAACCCGATCCTCATCACGCAGAACAAAATCGTATATAGTCAAGGATACGAACCACATTGCTGAGAAGTAGCACCTTGATCGAGCTTGAGAATGAAAAGAATAGAGAACAAGTATATACTTACCACCAAAACCCAGTGGCGACCCCTTTGCATGAGGTTTAGCACTGATCGTCGACAACTCAGAATTGGGTGACACCCCTTCAATAACTACACACACCAATCTGTGCATTTTTCCGTTCTGTCTTATCTTCTGATGAGGTAGATAATACACGGAGATGAAGTTCGTCAAGCCCCATGAGACCAAGTGTTAATCTGGCGACATAAATCCGATCAACATCTGCTGAGCTCAATAAGCGACCTACCCAGCGAAGACGCCTCCCGCAAGAACCAGAAGTGCGCTGGCGATCATTTTCCACCAAAATTCAAATGAATCGGGTGAATCCTTGGTAGGGACCTTGGGGATGAACATAACGCAGCAAAATTACTATGCAGAAAATATCCAGATGGATAATTAGTTATAACGGTGAACGCAAATACTGTTTATGCTATCGGGCCGTGTGTGCAGATATTTCACATCTAATGCCGTCCTATCATGATGGATGAAAGTGCTTCCGACAGCTGTTGTGTACAAACTGTGCAGCGCACACTACGTCCGCGGGGGCAACACAAAGAGTGGTTGCAAGCTTTCTCTGAGCTGCTGGAGGACCCTTTTTAGGTCAACCTCGCAATGAATCGTCCTCAGTCGTATCGATATAGTAAAGGAAATTGGACGCTCACAAGATGTATCGACATCTATCAAATATAGTCTAATAAGAGACCGCTGAATTCGTTAAAGCAGGATAAGAGAACCGCACCAAGGAGCTCAGAGACACTCACAGGGAACCAGATTTCAGTCGCGGCGGGGAGGAGCGAGACAGAAGAGCGAGACAGAAGAGCGCGGCAATCAGAACGGTCAATAGAAGGCAATAGCGAGGAATTCGATTTGACAAGATGAAAACTGGACCTGAGGCTCGCAGCTTTGGCAATCTATCTCCTGTAGTCAGACCAGATAGAAGGAAAATGGACGTTCCTTCTTTGTTATGGACGCGTATATATATATATATATGGATGGATGGGCTTGTCCATGTCATGACTCATGACTCATGACGAGCATACACTGCGCCGTGTATGCACCAATATCATCGTTCCACGTAAGATCTACCCTAGATGAAATAATGCGGCATGATCTCATCATGCGCTGTCCGTTGAAAGATAAGCATACTGCCCTCCAAGATGAGCCCCACAGGGGACGCGTGTATGCGTGCCAGAGCCCGCTGCCTTTGAAATGAACAAGAGTCCTTCCACTCGGTGCCCCACAACCTCCCACAACGCGGAGAAAGGCCTGTGTCCGGTTCATGATGGTCTTGTAGTAATTTTCCTCATTCAGACTGATCGTCCCTGATGCTGTTCCCAATAAACGTTGGCAAAAGTTGCTTGCGGAAACGTCCTGATGGGCCTACTGGCGGTACCAGTAGAGCTTCATGGCATCGGGGCGACTAGTAGCACTGTGTTTTTGCAAGTCATGAAATCAGTTGCTATAAAATGCAAAAGCAACCAAAGTTTAGTGTGGAGTGGCAAGCCGCAAGTGTGACCCGAACATGCCGCTGACACGTGACAAGAAACCGCCTGACTTGCCTTCACGGCTTCGCCTCACACATATCCCGCCTAGACGCTGATTACCGCAAGACACTTCTCTCATGCCCACAACTGCGACGGAAAGTGGATATTATGATGAAAGTATGGATGTAATGGGAGTAGACGAGGAACGAGAAGTTGATGAACTATTGGAAGATAAGACAACATCTGTCTTGGACAAGGCAGAGTTGATGGCAAAACTCCGTGAGACCTGGCAGAGGATATGGCCAGTGGACATTATCGTGGACTGGGTTGAAAAACAGCCTGCCGTATGTCGTTCCTTCCGATTTCAAATTTAGCCTCAGTTCACAGCTCTATGTTTTTCCGCTTTGCAGTGTGCGGCGTGCGTGTCACAATCACGCAAATGCTACGGTGCACCGCAACCGGGATCGTTGCGTTGCATGCCATGTGCACGTTCAAGGGCCAAACCATGTCCACGAAAACGCCAGTTTCAAATTGAAAAGTCGGCTGAAGTGCTTCAGCTGACAGTTGAGCAGGTTGAGGAGCTCGTACGACAGGTGGAAGCCTCTCCTCTGAAGCTCCCACCATCCGGCAAGCTATGGAGGAGTAGCACCGAAAAGAACATTCGTAGAATGGCACGCAGGTCCGCACCTGGACGTGTGCCAGCCAAGAAGCATTTGGAAGAATCGGGCCCCTCGCAGGCCGTTTCTGTCCCTTTCTTGAGACTCGAACCTACCCCGCCCCCCTACTGATACCGTTCAAAATTCAGTCCCCTCATGCTCGCTACCGCGGCCACCTCACAACGTTCCTACCGGCTTAAAAATCAAACTTCCTGCTCTCGCCCGGGGACCTGAAAAACCAACCCGTCTGGCTGAGCCAGATCCGCCACAGGTAATTCCTGTGCACGATACGCCTGTCATTCCCCGAGGCTCTCACGTCACGACGCACGACGCACCATCCGTCGGACAAGCGCCCAGTCTTCCTGGGTCATTATCCGCCTCCGTCGCAGAGTGCCTCCCACCCGCCAGAGAGATTCAAGTACAGTCTCCAATTCCCCCACCAACAATTCCAGACGTTAATCCAGCACCAATAATCCCAGAAGTTAATCCAGCACCTACAATTGTTACACTACGTGGAGTCGATTGTGGACCAACGGACGAATTCGACGAGATTCCGGTTGTCTTCGCAAGCGAATTGGACCATGCTGAAGAGGAGATTGCACGGCTCAAGTCTGCTTTGGAAGCACAGGAAAAGGAGGTTGCAAGACTCCAGCGTAACCTCAAACGACGGGACGAGCAACTCGAGGACATTCGCGAAGAACTTGACGAAGTTATTCATCTCCCTACTCCTCACGCAACGCCAGCCTCAGAACTAGAACATAGTATGCGAAAGTATACCGCCTGTCAGTATATCGCACGGACTCTTCGAGCTATGCGTGCGGATACTGTGACAGAGGAGGAACGAGAGGCTCTGCTGTTGAAAGCAGAGCGCCATCTTGGCAGACTCGCTAATATAGAGATGGATGGGATATGGGATCCTAAAGCTGATGCAGACGCGCTTTTCATGGGTCTGGTCAATGGGTCATCTGCGAGAGCAGCGAGGCACGCGCAAAGAGGAGCAGCCAACCCTACCCCAGCTAAAACTTCTGTATCTGCATCCGCAACCCAGCAACGCCCGCCTAAACGGAGACGGCAAGGAGACACGGATGAGCTATGATTTATGAGTACAAGACGATCATCTGGCTGGACCCGTGTTTTGACACATGTACGATGCAATGCATGATACACGTAACATGCAAGTGATAGCAAATACTTAGGCTCGATGTTGTACGAATGTGTTGTTCAGGTCAGTTTGCACGGAGGTGTATTGCTGTGTTACTGGTACGGTATTCTACATCGATAGTTCTTGACGTACTGTTATGTATATGGTTATGTGATTCGAAAGATCAGGCTCGTTGATTGCTTCTCCCGAAATTTGGAAGTACCAACTACAAGACATGTGAAATCTCATGCTGCTGATTCATGTCATCATGATTCACAACAACATCGGCGATGGAGCCGGGCTCGCGAACTGCGTGAACGTGAATAATTAATAGTCTGTTTTCTTCCGGGACGGTTATAGCCGAGCCGAAGGATAAGAGTTCAAATTCGCACCCATAAGTCGAACTCACTGAGAATCACCTCCCAACGAAATCATGGCAAGCCGTCTAGCACAAGTTTCTGGTCACCTCAGTAATGCACATGGACGCGGACTCCTCTCTGGAGAAGTAGCTATCATTACTGGTGAGTTTGTGTTCTCTCATGATTAATGCTGTGTTGCTAGACATTAACGTTGCCACGTCACATCGATTAGGCGGCGGACAAGTGAGGGATTTGTCCTTAGGGGAGGATAATATCATTGAACATGTGATTTTGTAGGGTATCGGACGCAGCGCCGCCCTGCTGTTTGCAAAGGAGGGCGCAAAAGTCGTGGTTAGCGAGTGAGTCCCGAATAGGTCCCAGTCCTACAAATTTCATGTCTAATTTATTGTTCCGCTCAGTATTGACGCTAAGAAGGCTGCGGCTGTAGTGGAAGAGATCAAAGCTGCAGGTGGTGACGCAATATCCGTCGTAGGAGATGTCGGCGCAGACGACTTTCCGAAAACAATCGTGGATGCAACTGTGAAGTCGGTGCTGTTCCGTTATACGAGCGATCTCATTTCTGATCGTATTCCAGGCAGTATGGCAAGATACATCACATCGTGAACAACGGTCAGTACGCTCGAGGTGGTCACGAAGTACCTTCCATTCTGACATACGATGGTAGCTGGTTTCACACACGACAAGATGATTCACACCATGCCAGATGAGACATACGACATCATCATGAAAATTCACGTCCGTGCACCTTTCCGCCTCATCCGTGCTGCTGCACCTTATTTCCGAATCAAGGTTCGTTCAAACGTACTTGGTTCAGTCGCTCTCGTGCAATAACAAGCTTGCAGAGCGATACCCCGGAAAACCGTTCTATCATTAACGTCTCTTCAACATCCGGTCTGCATGGAAATGTCGGCCAAGCAAACTACGCCGCTGCCAAGTCTGCTGTCGTAGGTCTCACCAAGACTATTGCGAAAGAGTGGGGACCATTTGGTGTCCGTGCGAATACCATTGCATTCGGCCTTGTCCATACTCGGTATGATACACCGAATTTTATTGTTACCGCGTCTGACAGGATATAGGTTGACCGCGGCCAAAGAGGCCGGTGAAACGATTGAGATTGACGGTAAGAAGGTTGCACTGGGCATTCCCGGAGCAAATAAGCGTTCTGGTTCGGATGTTAAAGCTTCCGTGGACATTCCTCTGCAGAGAGGCGCTACCGCTGATGAGGCGGCCGCAGGCATGCTTTTGTACGTTTCTGCTTCCATCTTTAGAGGTTAGTTAACAGATGGTCTTTTAGCCTTGCGTCACCGCTTGCATCGTATGTGACTGGCCACACGCTGGAGGTAACGGGTGGACGAGGAATCTAATTTTTCTTTATTTCATGGCCCACTGTCTGCTGCATCGCTGTATTATTTTTCCTTTCATTGTCACATACATAGGACATCTTACTTCAACCAAACGACGGGAATGACCAAACATTTTGATATGCTTCTTATGCTGACGAGCACATCGAGGAAAGCGGAAGGCCCATGTACGATATAACCTGGTAAAGCGGCACCAGAAGACCACCTAGAATTGAAAGTGAAACACTCGTCTTCTATCGCATTTCACAAGGGTCGCGCAGGTATGCATGTAGTCGTCAGACCAGAATTAGGTGCCCTGGTTCCTGCGTTGTGACATGACCATAGTGACTACCAGGTATTCTGGAGTCAGGATCCATCCTCGTATGAGACTGAAATCTAGTTCGATCACGAGGTCTCAACAATGCAACATCCATGCCCATCTGCGACGTGCGCGACTCTCAATCGCCTCTTCCCAAGCCAAGGCCTAGCGGAGGCTGCGCACTAGAACCATAAATACTGTTAACGGTAAATTCCGGCGTCGAAGGGAAACCCTCGTCGGATCATCGTGATGTAACCTCAGCATGTTCAATCGCAGCAGTGTTTTGGTAGTGCCTCACCGATAACTAAAAGGAAGGATTTGCATAGTATGTGTTCTACCCACTACAAATAAGAAGCAACGTGACGAGATCAAATATCTTGGCATAGTTGAACCTATTTGTGGGGGGTACTGTAGTCAGCATATGTCCAGAAGAGCTCAAGAGTAAAGCGACGAACATATAGTACTCATTCCCAGGTGAAATCATTGCCATAGCCTCCGGACACATCCTCGCCTATCCCACCGCCAACGAAGACAGCTTGAGGGGAGCCATTGATCATGAAGGTAACCACAAGAGCGTCAACAGTGGCGACAACGGCGAATGAATTCGCGCCTGACGTCAATACCTCCCAAGAGCTGTACCCCAGCATTCCTCCGGTTACGTCAAGTCCCTCTCCGACGCCAAAGGCCCACCCACTGCCATTGTGACCGTCAGTGGTGATGAGACTGAGACGGGTGGCGACAAGAGGGCTGATAATGCTGGCCGAAGCAGGGATTACGTTGGGAAAGTGTTCTAGGCCTACTTTCGGCACTTCTCTAGGCGGTGGAGGCGGTGGAGGAGTCGGTGGAGGCGATGGAGGAGTCGGTGGATGCGGAGGAGGCGGAGGAGGCGTGACTCCGCCGCCGGGAACCTCGCATTCACCGTCTTGTTGTGAAACTTTTGTAATCGCCCTACACAATGAGATGTCTCAGCGGAAGCAATCGATGTTAGGGTCAGGCTCACTCTGTCTGCTTGACGATGATAGAAGAGGAGAATATTAATCATGACGGGACGGCTGGCGTTCAAATCAAACCTCCTCACCTGAAGTTCAGGCATATTCTGAATTGGAGATGCGTAGGTTATCTAAAAACGTGACAGTCAGCAAAGTACTGCAACACTATTAGTCCATGCACACACGACGTACCGATAGAAAGTGGCTGTCGAAAAGCGAGTTGAAGCTAGATGGCAACTTCAAGTTGGGTGGTTAACTGTTTAATCATTCATTCATGATCCCTCTTTTATGGCTCTCAGATTCGCCAGAAGTGGGTATTCATGCCTGAAGGTGAGGGACAGGGCAAGGGGGAAGTAACACCTCTCCCACCTGAACCGCAAGTTACATAGCACCGATAGACCGTAGCCGAGAGGCATAGGAAGCAGCATAGGAACTCCGAGATCTACCCACTCACCTGCGCTACTAAATCTTCAATAGTCCTGACATGTACAGACGCAGGTTACATGAGATTAGCTAGGAAACATGGAAAACAACCAACACTTACAGTGATCTTCGAAACGTGGCACGACAATTACCTTCAAGTTGCCCAGTTGCCAATGGTAGTTTGAATCTGCTGGACAAGCAGAATCAAAAGCTTATGGATGGAATGGGCATTTGTGTAGTTGCCTGACGGTTCAAGTATACGAGCAGTCGCCGCCGCGGACGGTCCACGACCAAATCTCCGGAGAGGCGAGCGAATTTCAAACTTCAAAGATCTATCATAGAGTCAGTTCTGACGGGTCACGCGTGACGTTCGTGTAATTTGCTATAATTCGCGAGGATGTCCTATCACGTACACAATCGACAGTGGTAGCTGGCCCAGGATGTGTCTATGACTCGACACTAGATATCCAAGGAACACAGGGTGATGTCAATGGATCCCAATTGGCGCAGACCCTAGAGGCTAGAGCCTTGCGCCGGACTGAGCTCTTCTCCGATTCCTAAAATGTGGACTAGTAAGTCGGTACACCCTAAGTTAAGAGAGGATGTTCCCACCTAGCCCGGCTGCCACTTCCAAGGCTGTCAGCTTAGCTTGGCACGCCCTGACCTTATACATAGGTCGAAAGCTTGTCGAAAGTTGGTCAAAAGCACATTGAAATATCTTGTTGAAAACAATTCCTCCGAAATTCGAATACGGAAGGCCTAGAGCGTTCTACGTCCGACACCGCCACACGGATCGCAAGAAACTATTAATATTGACGCTCATGCCTCAGGCTTCAACACTAGTGGGCCACACGCCAAATTGTCAGAGACTCGTCACGGTCTTTACTATCAACCTATGCCGCCGTCTTGCATCAGAATCATCGGATTCATCGTTACACACCTCAGGTCCTCAGGCCTCAGCGTTCCGAATCAACACATCAGCAAAACACTTTTTTTTCCCACCACCAAAAAATGGCTGGCCACAGCTTGGTCCCTTCTGTGCAGAGCTGTACAGAGCCCACAGAGGCAAAGTGATTTGCTGATGCAGGTACTTACTGCAAGAGATCGAGGCAGCTGGGAATTGGCAGCCTGATGCCAACGAATCTATTCCTAGAAACGAACGTAGTATCAGTTTCCTAAGTGTGCACCCAAATAACATGCAGCGAATGCAGCACGCACGTTCTTCGATATTCGATTCATGGACGCGGCGGTGACTGCTCGCATACTTGAACCGCTAGACAACTACACGAATGCCCATTCCATCCATGATGATGAAGCTTCAGATTCCGCTTTTCCAGCAGATTCAAACTACTATTGGCAACTGGCTGCGTCTGTACATGTCAGGACTATTGAAGATTTAGTAGTGCAGGTGAGTGAGTAGTAGATCTCAGAGTTCCCATGCTGCTTCCCATGCCTCTCGGCTACGGTTCAGGTGGGAGAGGGGTCACTTCCCCCTTCCCCTACCCCTCACCTTCAGGCATGAATGCCCACTTCTGACGAATCTGAGAGCCATAAAAGAGGGATCATGAATGAATGATTAAACAATCAACCACTCAACTTGAAGTTGCCATCTAGCTTCAACTCGCTTTTCGATAGCCACTTTCTATCGGTACGTCGTGTGTGCATGGACTAGTAGTGTTGTAGTACTTTGCTGACCGTCACGTTTTTAGATAACCTACGCGTCTTCAATTCAGAATATGCCTGAACTTCAGGTGAGGAGCTTTGATTTGGACGCCAGCCGTCCCATCATGATTAATCGAACCGTCATTCTCCCCTTCCATCATCATCAAGCAGACAGAGTGAGCCTGACCCTAACGTCGATTGCTTCTGCTGAGACATCTCATTTTGTAGGGCGATTACGAAAGTTTCACAACAAGACGGTGAACGCGAGGTTCCCAGCGGCGGCGTCACGCCTCCTCCGCCGCCTCCTCCGCCGCCTCCTCCTCCGCCGCCTCCTCCGCCTCCACCGACTCCAACGCCACCTCCACTGCCTGGAGAAGTGCCGAAAGTAGGCCTAGAACACTTTCCCAACGTCATTCCTGCTTCGGCCAGTATTATCAGCCTTATTGTCGCCACCCGTCTCAGTCTCACTACCACTGACGGTCACAGTGGCAAAGGGTGGGCCTTTGGCGTCGGAGAGGGACTTGACGTAACCGGAGGATTGCTGGGGTACAACTCTTGGGAGGTATTGACGTCAGGCGCAAATTCATTCGCCATTGTCGCCACTGTTGACGCTCTTGTGGTTACCTTCATGATCAATGGCTCTTCTGAGGCTGTCTTCGTTGGCAGTGGAATAGGCGAGGATGTGTCCGGAGGCTATGGCAATGATTTCACCTGGGAATGAGTACTATATGTTCGTCGCTTTATTCTTGGAGCCCTCCCAGAAAGATGCTGACTACAACGCACAGGTTCAAGGATACCAAGATAGTCTTTTGAATTCATCGCGTCAGTTGACTAGGATGAATGCATTAGGTCTGCCAAAAGGGGGGATCCGTACTAGCGTTATAATATGCATTGCCAACTTCTTCTGGTCAAACTACAAAGTTGATACCTGGTACAACATTAACCATAATACGTAGCATGGTTGTTCTTCATAGATCAGATGAAAACACACCGCGAGTCATGTGCCGTCCTGCCTTGTGACATGGTCATATGTAGTACTGGTATTCTAGAGTCGTACTTCATCTAATTTCGACTTCGTACCCGGGACTGGAATCTAATTCAATCACGGGGTCTCAAAAATGCAGCATCCATGCCCATCTGTGCCACTCTAGCTACATCGTCTCTGCTCAAGCCAAGGCCTAGCGGAGGCTGCGCAAGAAGCAAAGCATACTCTCCAAGGCAAGACGTTCGGAAAGGGAGTGTGTCGTCGGTCTATTCAAATGAAAAACGTGAGGCGAAAGAATATATGACATGCAAGATAGCCTGCGTACACAGATGACGATAGGATGGTCGTTTTTCAGATAATAGCGAATATGATGCGCGTCGAGGGAAGCTACAGTTTTGCATCTGGAAGAGAGGTTGGGTTCTATAGCTCGCAGAGTTAATGTTTTGGTCCTACAGAAGATTGGAACTCAAGCATATCTCGATGCATGGCTGGTACCGTCCTTTCCTATCCCATCTATCGGGTGGCCCCCCTTCTTTGAGTACCTCTTCGATAGCCTCGATCGCAGCTCGCAATTGAATGCGTGCATGGCGACTCGGATAGGGATTTCTGACTGCGTGAGTGTTTGTTGCGCTCGGAGTACAGTCGGGCAACGAGTCATAATCCCCTGGTTGCGGGATATCCGCAAACACAAAAGCCTTGAGTTCATCCGAAAGGAATGTCGCGTGCCCGAGTCGATCTGGACGCCAACCAAGGAGCGTCAGGCAATCATCCACTGTATTCTCTGTAGTCTGAATATTCGAAGATGATCACTGAGTCATAAGCATCAGACTAAAGATCACAAACCTCTGCAATGTGCACAGTCAGTCCAAGGCCAGCTCCCTTGGCTCGTAAGATATGATCAGTGAAAAGCTTCATATTGCCACTCCGCGGATCCCCGCATACATCGATGCCAACGACTCTTCTGCCCCTGTTCTTCAACTCAATGGCAAGATTGATGCATTCTTCAATATCCGAGTCACCCATGCGACGATCGATGGACACGATCAGGGCGGCTTTAGTGGCAGGATACATCTCTACTTCATCAAGCACGGCTGAGAGGTACGTCTCTCGCATCATATGCGTCGTGCAGCGAGGTGTTGTCCGCAGTTCGAGGTACGTGCATTGTGGTTGTTCCACGCCATCACCCGCGGGGTTCAGGAACGACTGGAGGACTGCACGCGTAGCGATCGTAACAGCTTTCGGAGTCGAGGTCAACGCGTAGATGGCGGGGAACAACAAGAAAAAGTCAGATATTTCGTTCAAGGAGACTCCAGACTTGAGTTTATCGATAGTGTCTGCGATAGCTTTGTTCTCAATAGCCTGTGCGCTGGAAGGAGGTGAGTACTGCTGGGCAAGTTCCAGTATTGTTTTGATGGGGATAGATCCGTTAAGATGAGCATGAAGTTCTGCCTTGGGGAGCGACCGAAGGAAATTTACGTCGTCAGGACATAATGATGCCAGTGCAATAGCTGCAGGACCCGCGATCTCTGACATTCTCAATTTGCGGAGAGGTAATCGAATTTCTGCGCAAGCATCAAGAGCTACTTAGCTTTATAATGAGTCGGTAACCGGTTCCTTACTAACAAAGCAGCCATCATTAACTTTCATTAATATTGTTGGTTGTACAGCAATCCCCTTTGTAGTACTACTCCAACACCTTGCTTTGTCCCTCTTTGTGATTTACGTATCAAACCACGTCTATGCTTTTCGTACCAATAGTGATTTGACCCCCATTCATTCACTTATCTCTTATGATTTACTCATTCCCCCGTCCAACTCGTATTCTCCCTGTGTGTTCATTACCAGCTTTACGACAAAATGCAGCACGTGCTTCGACAATCGATTCGTGGAAATCATAAACTGCAGCATGAGAGGTTCCTATATATCTCATGCACTATCATGGAGTCTGACCGTGACGGCTACTACTCGCATACTACTAAACGCTTGACAACTAGACGAATACCCATTCCATGAAGCTTCGCATTCTGCCTGTCCAGTAGATTCAAACTACCATTGGAACTGGGCAACTTCCAGGTAATTCATTGTTGTGCCACGTCTTGAAGATCAGTGCAAGTGTCAATTGCTTTCAATGTTTCATAGTTAAATCTATGCAACCTGCGTCTGCAGATGTAAGGACCATCGAAGGTTTAGGAATGCGGGTGAGTGGGAAGATCTCGGGGTTCCCATGCTGCTTGACGTGCCTCTCGGTCACAGTGCATCGGCGTTATGTTGCGTCCGGTTCAGGCGTGAGGGAGATTACTTCCCCCTGTCCCTGTACCTCACCTTCAGGCATGAATGCCCACTTCCGGCCCATCTGAGAACCATAAAAGAGGGATCGTGAATGAATGATTGAACATTCAATTACCCAAGTCGCCATCTAGCTTCAACTCACTTTTCGATAGCCACTTTCTATTGGTACGTCGTGTGTGCATGGACTAGTAGTGTTGTACTTTGCTGACCGTCACGTTCTTAGATAACCTATACATCCCTGATTCAGAACATGCCTGAATTTGAGGTGAGGAGCTTTGATTTTAACGCCAGCCGTCCGGTCATGATTGATTGGTCCTTCATTCTCCCCTTGGGCCATCATCATCAATCAGACTGAGTGAGCCTGACCCTAACGTGGATTGCTTTCGCTGAGACATCTCGCTGTGTAGGGTGATTACAAACGTTTCACAAGAAGACTGTGAATGCGAGGGCTCCATCGGCGGTCAGCCTGCACCGCCTGCAGAAGTGCCGAAAGTAGGCCCAGAAGACTTTCCCAACGTAGTTACTGCTTCAGCCAACATTCTCGCCGGCGATCTCATTACCCGTCTCGTTGTCAAAACCACTGACGGCCACAGTGGCGGTGGGTGGTCGCTTAACGTCAGAGGGGCACTCGACCTGACTAAAGGAATGCTGGGGTACTCCTCTTGGGACGAATTGGAGTCAGACACGAATACATACGTCATCGCCGACGGTGATGACACTGTTACGATTACCTTCCTTGTCCATGGCTCCCCTAAGGCTGCCTTCTCTTCTGGTGGGACTGGCAAGAGTGTGCTCGCGGGCTACGGCCAATTCGCCTGGGAATGATAGTACTGTACGTTCATTGCATTCAAGTTGCTCCCGGAGCTCTTCCAGAAAGATGCTGACTACAGTACCGCGAACCAATAGGCTCAAGAATATAGAATAGTTTTCTGAATTCATCACGTCAATCCTGACTCGCGGTGGTTGGAATAATAATACATATTCTGTTCCCTCTGTTATTGGTGAAGTCCTAGCAAAACCACTGCGAAGTTATTTGAACATTCGACAAGGATTCTCTTCAACGCTAAAATAACGTCAAGAGTGCGTATTGTGTTTGCTAGACGCAACTGCCGTGAGTACTCGTGATTAATGGTGATTATGCCAAGCATGCTTCCCGATCATCGCGCTCGCAGGTAGCCACAGGGAGCTCACACATTCTACGTTGCCTCGGTTGTTTTGCGTCGGACATATTCTGAATGGCATGTGTTAACAGAAATTAGTAGAGTAGATGACGAGTATATTGTGAATAATCCATCCGAGTTTATCCAACATGAAGTAAATTCGTTATCGAGCAGGTCGTGTAAGCGTATGCTTTGTGAAATTAGAGTAGTATGTAGACAGATTGCCTTCCCACCTCTTTGGTACATCCCGCACCTCCTGCATCCTCTCCGAGGCTCCCGCACCTTCCACAACGCATCACGGACAGTCAAGGCAGGGCATGATACATCGCAACTGATGCATCGTATCCAGAGTCACGCGTATGCATTACCGACCTCTTCTGTCCAACTAGTGTCCATACGTTCGAGTTAGTGTCGCCGATGAAGTGAAGGGACCTCGAACTAACTTTGCTTTGATTCGGAGATGTTTGGTACATCGTATTCTATCGAAGGCAACCTAACATCCAGGTAATCAAATGACCTGGACAGGCTTGCAATCCCCATCGTAGCTGTCTGCTGAAGACTTGCTACAATGGGCGCCAGAATACCGCTCCAGGTCAATATTCTCCACGTGTGTGAATGTATTCATCTATAGACTGGTTGTTGATGAGGAAATACAAAGGCTACGTGCGCTTATTGCCCACCTCAACCTGGATGTCAGGGGCGATGGGTACGACACCTGACCTGGAAAGTACTGCACTGTTGGCCTTGAATGCAATACTTGAGTTTCGCTCAGACAAGCTGCAAAAGAAGCAACGTTTTAGCAGTGTCGATTTGTCCGTTTACATGGTAGATACACTTACAACAGCTCCGGTCCTGAAAGCTGGAAGTTGTTCAGTCGCCTGACAACACGAGATGCCACGATCTATATTCAACGGTTGCAAGAAATGAATGTAGGTGACTTCGAGCTTGGCGCACCGTTGAAGCAACAGCAGCTGGGACATTGAAAATGATACTCGTGATGGTATTCAAGTGGAGTATCATGAACGTGGTGGCAATCAAGTTAACCACAAACCTGAAACAGTAAGGTTTGTGTTTCTGACAGCTGGAAGGTGGAACAGACATACGTAATGAAAAAGTATATTAACCCGTCAGAGAACAACATCCCGACGAGTTTAGTACGTGCGCCGTTCGTACCCCTCCGCATGGGTATCCAGGCGAGCTTGTATGCTGAAAGACACATGACCACAAAGTCGAAACACATCGAATAAATAAAAGTTGCAGCAAGGATGGTGGTATTGCTGTGCATGATTTGACAACCGACACCGGGAACCCAGACGGCAGTCAGGAGAAGACCTGTAGAAATGCCCGGTCGGTAAGGTCCGCGCATCCTGTGAAAGCGAGATACCTTGCAGGATCAGTGACCAATGCCCGATGATGATCAGTATCAGGAGAATAATGATCCACTTGTTATGCGCCCAAATAGCTACCCTATGACCAGCATGAGGCAGGCATAAGGCATGACCATTCTTTGACTCACGTTCGGAGAGAAAGGTTGATGCTCGCGAGTCCGACTGCTGCATCACCAGCTAGCTGAATAATGATCAATAACAATCTTCCTCCTCTGACAAAAATTGACCTGATTAAAGGCATACAGTGCCCGACAGTTGATTTCCCTGACGGGAAACAAGAATTGTTCACAGAGGAACGAGAATTGATGTCCCTCCTGCGCTAACGTACCTTGGTGTATCCAGTCCTACGGCACTAAGTGAGGAGTGAGTGAAAGAGCGAAACAAGAACATAGCACACCTACATTCCGACCATTGCAGACAGAAGAAGATACCGGCCAGCAAAGTAGAATATCTGATGGATGCCAGGTCAGGAAATGTATTTCAGCGAAACACCAGAAGAATATCCTTACCATTGGCCAATGGAACTTCTTCTTGCCTGTCAAGACTGCCCAGTCGAAGTCTAGAGAGACAAAGAACTCCCATCTGAGCGGTCTGTTATATCATAATCATTCAAACCTGCAACGGGTTCTGCTCACACATATAGGCCGAGGAGGGCATGCATCAATTTTATGAAGATCGCTATGTACGGATCAGCGAAAGCACTGCACATGAATATGGACAATCGATACGCACAAAAATCCTTCTCGACCTCTTCCTGCGACTTCCAATCCACCATGTGGTCACGAACTGCTTTAGGCTTGTGCTAGGTTGAAAGACACCTTTGGAGACCGTCAAGTTGGAGAGGGTGTAAGACTCATAAAATATCAGCAACGGTCGCACTATTTATCTCGTTCGACAAGGACCCGAATCATTGCCCTTTCGTAAGTCTCTTGCCATGGTGCTGACGTGTAAGCGGGTACTTTGTGAAGTCGGAGTCTACTAAGTAGTGCAGATCGACGGCTAGGTTCCGCGGAGTCTACTGGTGCAGATCGGCAGCTAGGTTCCGTTGGACCCTTTGATCATCGATATGGCTCATGGCCCTTTGGTTGTCTTGGCACTGATATACCCACTATCCTGTGAGTAGAAATTCTGCTCTCCTGACTGTCGTTAAAGTTGGTCGATAGGGTCCTTGTTCGACAATGAGGCTGAGTGAGCCTGTCATTGTCAACGGCATTCTGGGCCTCGAGGCTCGAGATCTTTCATATATCCGAGTCGGCTCCAGGGCTTAACAGAATGCAAATGCAACGGGCTTCCAGTTTCACAACTGAAACTCGCCAAAGTATGAACTTTTTGTCTGGTCTGAATATCCATCACGTAAGTTGAAGGTTCCTCTGGTACACATAATGAAAACGATGGCTGGAGCTGTCACGCAATTGCCTCGGACCCACGGTCTAAGAACACCTTCGCATGTGCGATAGAGCAAGGAACTACCTGCATGATATTGCTTATGCATGTGTCTCATATCACCGTGACTTATCGCTCGAGTATGTGACGCACGGGAGGTGATCGATTCTAACCTAGATAGCAGATTTAGTAACGACACTTCGGTTGATCCAGCGGATCACAATCGGTCAACTTTGGACAGGAAAGTGTTGATAGCGACGGGCTGTGCAAGGTCGATGAGAGAATTCGACTACCGAGGTTGTAGATTATTTGAGTAGATTCGTGCCAAAGGTCTTCACAGTAAAAACGTGCACTGTATGACACTATAGATATCGACATAAGACATATCATACAAGGAAAACATACCACAAATCAGAAAATCGGTAGAACTCACGTGAAGCGATAGTCCACGACAAAGACTTGATGGAGTTCCAGCGTCTTTGGCAGTGTCAGGAAGTCACAGAAATCCTCCACTGCGCCCACTACCGAAACGCTCTCCGAGTCCTTTGGCATCGAGAAGCATTTTTTTCCTCTGTTTGTCGTCCATAAGCCGTCCGCCCAGAGACATATCGCGTTCATGGTCCCATATCACAGATGGTTCACTCTGCTTGTGCTTCTCTTCCTCTTTTTCTCGCTCTATATGTTTCTCGACAAGGGCCGAACCACGAGCCTTGCGCTAGCAAATAGTGCATTAGATTCTATGACACTGGCGAACAACAAAAAACATACCGTGTGCTCTTCAACCCCTCTACGAATCTCCTCATCCCGTCGCCGTCGCTTAGCTGCTTCATGCGAATCTTCCTCTGGTTCAGTATTTGTTGCCCGTCGTTTCCGTCCAGCAACTTCGTCAGCAAGGCGTTGCTGTTTCTCCGCAGGTGTCTCGGTCCAAAGGGAAGATCCAACAGTATCCCGCGTTGGTGCAGAACTGCGTGCGAATTGACGAGGCCTAGCTTTCGTAGGGTCGAGTGCTATGTGACATTGATGAGTACAGAATTTAGAGAACCGCGTCTTTGGTGAAACGTACACGCCAATAAATCCCCACTTTTTGGAGGTACAAGCATCCACTCCTCCCGCTGAAGCTTTTTCGGCTTGCTCGCTTCTTCTTGGAGCTTCCTTCTCCTTTCCTCCCTCTCCAAGAACTCTTCCACACCCGACTTTCCTTCTACTCGCGAAGCATAAGCAGCCGGAAGTGGTTGAGGTCCAACATCTGAATCCGAGTCATCATCGTAAGGAGCTTGTGAGCGAGGTAATGATGACCCTACGTATTGTCGTTTCGGAGGTGGGGAATTCGATTCACTCTTTGAGGGCAACGAAGGTCCAGCTGTGCGGGCAGCAGCAAGGTCGGGTGGCAGAGCCGGGGTGTAATCATCCTCTTCATCAGAATCCTCGGTTGACGTGACGGTTAGAAGATGTGCTGGAATTTGTGGGCCTATGGAAGACATTACTGACAGTACTTCTCAGTACTTGATGAAGTACTTGACGAATTCACTGTAGTTATCGCTTATGTAACAAGATAACATTGTTCAATCGTTCATCCAGTCATCGACATCGGTCATTGTACTGCATCGTCCTTCCATTTGCTGACGTCCTCAGGGTGGGTTTGGGTAAGATGCCGTCAAACTCTACGAGAACCAGCTCGTCATATTTTACTGTCGAGTTGCCTTGTACGCCGGATGCCTGCACATGTGGACTCGGAATGATGATATGATTCAATACAAGAGATGCGAGCAACAAAAGATAATACGAGCAACAAAACATGAGAGATGAAATACAAAAATGTGCAGAGCAGGCGGCTCAAGCTAGGGAAACAGGTAACGTAGATATAAGCAAAGCGGTTCCACCGGACGAGGTCAATCAGTTCTCTGTACATCGACTCCAGCAACCAAGGACGTGGTGTTGCACCTTGAAAGCGGATCGAATCCCGCCTCGCTAGAGTTGTGAGGGAATATCGCGTTCCCAATAACGTGGACCATTGTGATTAGTGTCGTCAGTCGTAAGTGTCGTGAAGTCGTAAGTGTCGTGAAATGGTGTTCTGATGGCTTCGTAGCGTGTTCTTGAGTGTCATGAAGTCGTCGCCTTTGGATAGCGTCGTGGTGTCTTGAAAATCGTCTTCTGATAACGTCGTGGCAGTTGTCGTGTTCTCAGTCTTCAGTGTCGTCTCCTTCGGATAGCGTCAGTTATGGTGTCTTGAGAGTCGTGAAATGGTCATGATGGCGTCGTGGCGTATTCTTCCTTTCGGCTCTCGTGGCCTGTGGTGAAGGCGGCAGGCGTAAAATAGTGATTCGTAAAGATGTCAAGACATGCGTTGCCAGAGTAATGAATTGGTGGTGGTGATGGTGGTGGCGGCGGCTGGAATTGCTGCTGCGACCGTATGCGTTCGCTGGAGAAGTGGTGCAACCGTGCGAGGCGGGCCTTGATTCGTGAACCAGGCTCTGGAGTTGAAATCATGTCAACCCTAGGAGGAGGCGGTGATCCTGGCGACGTGGGGTAGTGTCCGGTCAACACCGAGGTAAGCCCCGCCGCCGCCATGCCAGTAACCCAGTTGTCGAGGAGGGCTGCTTGGTCGACGCGAATTCGTTCGCACACGTGGGTGAGGTGACAGACTAGTTGTACTGAAGTCAACAAGCAACATGAACGTTACGAGAAATTGACTTACCGATCCTTTTGGCGTGTCGCCGGAGGCGAGAACGTGCAATGCTATCGCGGGCAGCATTCAGGTAACAAGCTCGAGGTTTGCGCTATAAACGAGATGAGTGGCGTAGTCTAGCGATGAGCATCTTCGTACCTTTTGCTGTGAGAAAACCCTGAGCTTGTATGGGCGGGACTTCTGATGTCGGAGTGCAGTAGAACTGGTGCGTTGCCAGGACAATGAAGATGTGATGGTGGTGGCGGTGGTAGCCGGAACTGCTGCTGCGACCGCATGCGTTCGCTGGCGAAGTGATGCAAGGCGGACCTTCATGCGTGAACCGGGCTCTGGAGCGGAAACCTCGTCCACTATAGGAGAGGGCGGTGATGCTGGCAACGTCGCACGGTGTCCGGTCAGCAGCGAGCTGAGCCCCACCTCTGCCATGCCAGCAACCCAGGTGTCGATGAGGGCTGCGTGGTCGACGCGAATCCGTTCGCAAATGTGCACGAGGTGATGTACTAGTTGTACTGAGTCAATGAGCAATAGGAACGTGACGACAAAATGACTGACCGAGCTTGTTGGCGTGGCGCCTGTGGCGAGAACGCACAATGCTGTCGCGGGCAGTAGTCAGTCGGGAAGCTCGAGGCTTGCGCTATAAACAATGATGAGTGCCATAGTCTAGCGATGAACAGGTACGTACCTTTTGTTGTCTGGCGGACCTGATTTTGTCTGGGAGGAACTTCTGGTCACTTCGGAGGTGGGTAACCTTCGGCTTCTGAGCCAATGCGTTAGTAGGATTCGTGGGTCCAAGAAGGGGCAGGTCAGTATCAGGGTTAGTATTCGTAGGTGAGGGTCCATAGTTAATATCGATAGTTGTCGTTGTCGCGGATAGGATGTCGAAGTCACCGTGGTGTTCGTGTTTGTCGGGCGTAGTGCATGCTGGTTCGTGGTTACAGGTCGAGGTGATGATCGGCAAATCGAGAGACGTGGGTTGAAATACAGGTAACGAGGATGTGGGGAATGAGAAAAATGGGGGTAGGGTGTCGATTTTGTGTTCGTGCTTGTCGAGCGTAGGGTGTGCTTGTACCTCGTGGAAAGTCCCTTCGGCCGCATCACCAGGCAACTCAATGGCCTTGGTGTACTCGGCTTCGTCAGAGAGGAAATCGTAGTCGTGTACCACGAGAGTAGCATTGGAGGCGAAGGTGGGGAAATCGAGAGGCGTTGATACAAGTGGCGAGAATGTATGGAGTGGTACAAATGGGGGTAGTGTGTCGACGTTGTGCTCGTCTTGAGCGTGCGTAGGGTGTGCGGTAGCATATTCCTATATGCGAAAAAAATGTTAGCCAACGCATGTCTAGGGTATGACGCTCCGTACCTCATGGAAAGTCCTCTTGTCATCAGACAACTTCATGTCTTTGATCCACGAGGCTTCGTCTGAGAAAATGTCGTCGTCGTGGGCGACGAGGGTAGTATTGGAAGTTATTGATAGGCGGTTACATTTGGAATTGAGTGGCAAATCGAGAATGAGGAGACGAGTCGTTGATACAGATGACGATGACTGAAATGATGAAGACTGCTGAAAGGAAGGCGAGGATGAAATTGGTGACTCGATCGTGCATGGATTATCGGTTTTTAATACTTTCGAGGATTCGCAGCCATTGGGTACTAGGGCTACATGTGCGGGCGGGCGAGGACTGGGAGCAGTGGGGATACCGCCGGTAGCGTTGTCGCCGGTGAAGGTACCGCTGTTCATGCTTAAGAACTTTCGTGCGGCGTAGTTGGCGGCCAGAACGAGAGTGATCGTTGAAATGCAAAATTCCGACACGACCAGGCTGGCGGAAACCTTCGGGTCGGACCTCAGCTGAACAGTAGGTCGTACGACGGTTTCTCGAAAGAAATAAACCGACAAGAACCCAGTGATAGCCACGCGTTTGCCGACGTAAGTGATGGAAATCATGATGGCTGAATATCGTCAGATGTAAAGTTCGCTGGTAAGATATTCGACGGAGACGAATTTAGGAAGTACCGCCATATTTATGACAAGTTATTTGTGCGTGCTTGCCAACTCGACGCGTTGGTCACGTGTTGGAAAATCACAAATCCTCAGCACACCAAAGTAAACTACATATGATTAATATTCATGAACTCACCGATACGTTCTGTTTGGTCTGCCTACGGGAGACTACTCCTGCTGCCTGCAAAATTCGGGGGTACTGGAGTACATATACGTTCTGCTGTACTTCATAACTTGCAACTTTTATCAGTCATCTTTTTCTGGTCATGTATGTTGTGACCGAGTGGCCAGGACGAGCTCTGTGGAAAACGGGTGTAGAAAGTAGTTGTCAATCGCTTGCATCGTACACGGGATGCCAGTCTGGTCAGACCTTTGTTTTATCTACGTCATCACATACCATGGCTGTCACCTGGCAAGACGAGATAGAACAACTTGTCTCGACGCAAGCCTCCTAGTCAGTCCACCCACCGTACCTCACTGACGATCTCCACTCTTAAGAGCCGCGAGAGGAATGGGTATGGTATAGTGTCGTTCTTGAAGCTTGAGCGCTGACAGATGTTGCTCGTTTTCAGCATAAGGTTTCTGCCGTGGGATCCGGCCGGCCGATTCGTCTTGACTCTTGAACAGCCAGGTACAAGATCATAACTCGCTGCGCTGTCTTGAAATTGGATTCGTGTCCTTGTTCTCATTCCCGTATTTGTCGATGTCGATTCCAGCAAACCCCTTGGACACCTTCCAAAATACGAATGTCCTTCAAGAAGCCCCAAATGGACCACGCAAGTGACGTGTTGGGCGCACATAAACCTCCGGAAGACTCCACGTCCACGGATTTCGGGTCCAATACGTCAGTTTTCCATCACTCGTCAAATCTGACCATAACGGACGCAGTAGTACCTCGCCGATCTTGTGGCACAAGAAAGGCGTTCAAGGTCGTGGAAGCGCATCCCAAAGCAAACTTGCATTTGTTCTAATCCAACATGTCGTACCTTGTTTTTGATAGCGCAGCGCTCAGGTTTTACCGACGCTATGATACCACCGTGGCAGACTCTATCTCCTCTATAGCATGCGCGGTACAAGTGCTTCTTCTTCGTCACAGCGGCTTTTATCGATTCACCATCTACAGATCATAACGACACACAAACACGGTACAAAGTTGGCGACCGTGTATTCATCTCAGTAAGTTTTTCAGGGACCAATGATGGGCGCAGCACACGCTGGTGGACAACTACTTGCCTGAGCGAAACTCAGGTACCATTGCATTCAAGACCAACAGTGCAGTACTCTCTAAGTCAGGTGTCACACCAACACTGACATCCATGTTTAGGTAGGCAATTCCTGCACATGGCCTTGTTACTACTTTCTCATTGACAGCCATTTTACAGATACATTCACAAAGACGGAGGATATTGATCTCGTGTATCCTGGCGCTCATCGCAGTAAGTCTTCAGCAACCAACTACGACGGGAACTGCAAGCCTGCCCAGGTCATTTGACGGAAGACTGCACCACCTGGACGTCGGGTTAACCTCGATAGACTAGAATGTGGGAAACACAATGTTCGAGTTCATGCAAAGTTGATTCGAGGTCACTTTAATCTCATCGAGACACTGACTTGAGTGCATGGACATTAGTCTGACCAGAATTTGCAGAAGTTGGCAATGCATATGCGGTATACGTTTTGGCACTCGCTCGATAACGAATGTTTAACATCCGGAATAAATACATGTTTCTGCTGACAGTGTCATGCCATTCAGAACAAGTCAGTCGCAAAATGACTGAGGGAACGCAAAATGTGTGAGTTTCTTGTGGCTACCAGAGAGCACGATCGTCGGGAAGCATGCTGGGCACAATCACCATCGATCACGACCACCCATACCATTTGTGTCTAACAGACACAATGATCATTGGTCAAGAATGTTAACAGTGTGATTCAGCGTTGAAGTGAATCCTCATGATGTAACCTCGTGTGTTCAAATAATTTTTTTCGCAGCAGCTTTGCTAGTATTTCAATAACCGAGAGGGAACATCATCCCAGCCATTGCGAGCAAGGACTGACGTGATAAAAAACTATCTTGGTATCCTTGAACCTATGTGTTAGGGGCACTGTAGTCAGCACCTTTCCAGGAGGGCTACAAGAGTAAAGCGACGAACCTACAGTACTCATGCCCAGGTGAAAACATAGCCATAGCCTCCGGAAATATCCTCGCCAATCCCACCGCCAACGAAGACGGCCTGAGCCGAGCCATTGGCCATGAAGGTAACCACCAGACCGTCAACATTGGCGGCGGCGATGACGAATGAGCTCTTGTCTGACATCAATACGTCCCAAGAACTATACCCCAGTGTTCCTCCCGCCAAGACGAATCCCTCTCCGATGCCAGAAGCCAACCCAATGCCATTGTGACCGTCAGTGGTGGTGAGCCTGAGACAGCTGTCCGTCTCAGAGAAAAGGCCGACTGAAGCGGAAACTGCGTTGGGAAAGTCTTCTAGGCCTACTTTTGGCACTTCTGCAGGCGGGCCGTCTCCGACGGAACCCTTGCGTTCACAATCTTCCTGTGAAACGTTTGTAATCGCCCTACATCGCGAGATGTCTTAGCAAAAGCAATCCACATTAGGACCAGGCTCACTCTTTCTGATTGATAATGATGGAAGGGGAGAATGATGGATCGGTCATGACCGGACGGCTGGCGTTCAAAATCAAGCTCCTCACCTCAGATCCAGGCATGTTCGAACTTGGGGATATATAGGTTCTGAGTCTAAGAATGTGACGTGACGGTCAGCAAAGTACAACACCACTAGTCTGCGCGCACACAACGTACCGATATAAAGTGGTCGAAAAGTGAGTTGAATGTAGATGGCGACTTGGGCGATTGACTGTTTGATTATTCATTCATGATCTTTCTTTTTATGGTTCTCGGATTGACTAGAGGTGGCATTCAGTTACTTCTGAATGTGAGGGACAGGAACAGGGGGAAGTAATCTCCCTCGCGCCTGAACCGCACGTAGCATAACGCCGATACACCTTAACCAACAGGCATGTCAAGCAGCATGGGAACTCCAACATCGAATGCCTACTCACTGCCCGCGCTACTAAACATTCAATAGTCCTGACGCAGGCTGCATGAAATTAGCTAGCAGGCACCGAAAGCAATCAACACTTATACACTGACCTTCCAAAATCAACAAGTGGCACCACAAGAATTTCCTTGAAGTTTTCTTTGAATCTGCTAGACAGGCAAAATCCGAAGTTTCATTATCATAGATGGAATGGGCACTCGTCTAGTTATCTAGCGGTTAGTATGCGAGTGTTATCCACGTCCATACCAGTGTGAGAGATACATATTGGCAACCTGGAGCTTATGGTTTCGACGAATCAGTGAGTATCGAAGAATATGCTGCTGCTGCTAAGTTCGTTTCCAGGAATAGGTTCATTGGTGGGATCCTGATTTCCAGTGGCCTCAGTCTCCCAGACACTCTCGCAGTGAGTGCTTGTTGAACGTTGGTTTCCATACGTCGGTCAGCCAACAATCGAAGGCAATGATGTTTTCAATGAAGAGAGACGTACGAGGCGTCGGTCACGTGTTTGGAAAATCAAATGATCTAAATAACCTCGCGAGTCGCCGCTGCACTATGACTTGTCTAATGCCTAATGCATTCTATTTGGTCTGCCTATCGGAGACTAAGTACCTCCTGCCGCCTGCGAAAGTTGGGAGTAATGGAGTATACGTTTCTTCTATACTCCATCACTTTCAACTTTTATTTGTCAGTTATCTTTTTCTGGTCATGTATCAGTTGTGACTGGCTTACCAGTTGACCAGCACGAGACTATGGAAAGTAGTTGTAATCACTTGCCTCATACTGCTAGTGTAAGTCATACACGAGATGGCCACCAGTCCAGTCAGAACCTTGTCTTTTCTGCGTCATCACGAATTATGGCCCTCACCTTGCAAGACGGGATGGAGCCTCGAACACCCTATCTCGACGTGAGCCTCCCACTGGTTGGACCACCCACCGGACCTCACTGACGATCTCCACTCTTAAAAGCTGCAAGATAGACGGGTATGATACTCCGTCGGTTCTCGAACACTAATAGATGTTGCTCATTTTCAACACAACGTTTCCAGCATTTGATCCTACCGATTTGTCTTGACTCTTGAACGACCAGGTACAAGATCGCAACTCGGTGCGTTTATCTTGAAACCGGATTCGTGTCCTTGTTCTCACCCGTATCTGTCGATGTCGATTACAACAAACCCCTTGAATACTTTCCAAAAGACAAAGGTCCTTCAAGAAACCCAAATCGGACTACGCGAGTGAGCAAGCGACATGTTGGGCGCACATCAGACCCAACTTCCACGGATTTCGGGTCCAATGCGTTAGTTTTACATCACTCGTCAAATCTGACCATAACAGACACAGTACCTCGCGGATCTTGTGGCACATCTAGGAAAAGCGTTCAAGGTCGTGGAAACGGATCGCAAGCAAACTTGCATTTGTTCCAGTCCAACATCTCGTACCTTGCTATTGATAACCCGTGGCTCCACCGACGCTATGATACTACCGATGTAGAGTTGATGTAGAGCGTGGAAGACTCCACGTCTTCTATAGTATTAGGATGCGCGGTACGAGTGCTTCTTCGTCACGGCGGCTTTTATCTATTGACCATCTGTAGATTATAACAACACATAAACAGGGTACAAAGTTAACGACCGTGTATTCGTCTCACTGACCTTTTCAGGCCAATGTTTCGTCGCGACTGATCCGGGCGCAGCACACGTTGGTGGACAATTACATGTAGCCCGCACGGGCCCCCAGTTTTATGAGGGGTGATTGTTCATTGATCTGGCAATGGGAGCTCGACGATATGGCGCGCACTGGAGATCACTTCTATCATATCCTCACCCCACGCTTTATGTAGGTTTTCAAATGTATTTCTGCCTCATGGCACACCCGTGACCCTAGTACCATATGTGGCGCTTGTTTTCATGGATAATCATACCGCCCCGCAAGATATTCCCCGCTGAGAAAGACATGACGTCCTTCCCTCGGACCGACACCCTCAGACTGTAATTGCGCACTATGAAATCGATAGATGGTCGCATGCTTGCTAAGTACCCGGGACAGATACAGATACTTCCGGTTACTCGCATCTGATGATCGTCGTCAGTTGACGAGGCACAGGGATAATTCCCGCTGCATGAGATTGCCGACGGTTTTAGCCAAGTCCCCCCTGTGCCGCAGTCTTCCAATGCTAGTTCTCAGGGAATATTAGTGGAGGTATCGCGATCTGTACAGGCAGTGTACAGCTTGATCTGATGGATACTCTTGATGTCCTCGATATTCAGCGAAATTATAAATGATACGGGACATCGATCAGACCCAGGTCCATCGAATCATTAAGAATGTGTACGAGATAAATATTATCAGAATTCGCATCTAGAAGGTTGATATCCCAGAGTGCACCATCAGTGATTTTTTGAAACTGGTGTGACTGTCGATGATTATTCAAAGATAGAACGAGTCATCGGCATTTGGATCTGTACTCAGATCATCAGAGTCTTGTGAGATCACAATGATCTGAATGCTCAGACGGCCGGCCACACTTAGATCTCGGAAATGGTCTGGAAGATCCATATCTACGTGTATCATTCAGCGATTCATGTATCTTTATCGTGGGAGTGAATTAAAGGTAGCGTCTGTAGAAAGTACCTTGTCCATATCTACATCATGCAATAGTCCTTTTCAATAGTTCTCAATAACCTTCGGACGTCGGTGGGTAGGCCCTTCGCGCACCGCCATATCCTCCTTGTCCGTAGCCACCCTGGGAACCACCATACCCTGGCTTCGCGCCGTAATATTGCGCACCACTAACCCCGCCGACAAGACTTGCGGCGCCAGCATGGTAGCTTGATGCATCCTCCTCGTATTCTGCACTAGGAGCTGTGACAGAAGCCGTGAGAAGCGGGTCCTTGACTTCCCAAACGGCAGCTTTGGATCCGACGGAGAACTCGAGATCTTCACGCTGTATAAAAAGATTATACATCAATGAGAGTAACTGATGATCAAGGAATAAACGTACCGTGATACTATCCCAGTATTTGTATACCATCATCACACTCAATAAAACGCACAGCGTGAAAAAGAACAGGCCATCCAAGTAATGTTTGATGGCATTACATATGGTGACGCTGAAGGCGAACAAAAGAACTTGAGCGATCCCGTAGAACGCAATTCCAAAGATGATGTCACCGAGGGGCCAGCGGTCGTCAAGAGTCCGGAATACAAGGACGAGTTGCGAGATGGTGTATGTGGCAACGCACAGGATGGGCCAGATAAGGTAAATGACGAAGAGTCCGGTAGGTTTCGATGGGGAAAATGAAGCGAAGGATTTGAAGGTAGCAATAGAGACGAAGAAAGATGCTCCGAAAACGGCGAAACAGGATGTCCGAAGGAACCAAAGAGAAAGAGGCGTCCCGTCTTCGGCAAACTGGAATCCAACGAACCCGTTGACAAGAATACAGCAATAGGCAGCTGCTACTAGACCTGTATAAGCTGCAGCAAACCACTACGTACATTCGTGATAAGATCATGACTCGATTTTAGATGACAACTCACAGGATAGCTGACATTGGCAGTCGGTATAATTCCCGAGTCCAGGAACATTGCGAGAAGTTCAATGACCATGTACATCCAAAAGAACATCACAATCTCCTTTCGTCCCACTGCGGTATACTTTGAACGAATATGGTAAATCATGATTGCGGTCATGATTATTGCAACGATATGGACAAAACATGTCGCTAGGCAGATGAAAGTCAGCCTCGATGTGTGAGTACGCCACATGCATAGTCCTGGAACACATACAAGGCTGGAAAATGAGCGTCGAACCAATTTGGACGTTGCGGGAGTAGCATGTAGGTTCCACGCCTTGTCCAGAAGTACCCAGCAATGGACAAATGACGAGAGCAGCGGTGCTGCACACTCCATCAAAGGAGCCAAACGTGATGGTCATGTCTCCAATTAGATACGGATGCTTGTAGTGATGTTGGGCGAGTTTTTCAGAGGTGAATATCGAGCTATATTTGGTGTAAGCGGGGTGACCTGGTAATGTTCAACGTGCTTTGTGATATCAAAAGAAGCGAACGAAATGGAATATCAGACAAGTCTTCGGGTCAACTGGCCCCAGGTAGAATGACTGTCGGGTATTGCGTGAAAAGACTGAGAGCGGGCTCGTCGCCCTATGTGAATGTAGTTCGTCAAGCCGAGATGACCACAACCGTAAGATCTGACTGCGATCCCACGCCACTCCAGACGGGTTCAGCAAGGTTCAGCATGCTTGTCCTCTCAGTAAAGAACGACGACCGCCTCTCGTCTTTTCAAGGCATGTTCCCGTCGATCAAGTACCCTCATCATGCGCACCTAAAATGAATAACAATTTCGACGCACAACACTCGGCGCCACGGCGAAGACATGTTCTCTGACATACTTCTTTCACCTTGGTGACCTTGCATGAACATTCTAATATAGTTCCTCAAGCACTCTACTGTGATCAAAATTGCGGACAGTGGTTCTAATTCCAATTATGACAACAGAGGATGCCGCGGCGCACCTTCACTGGTGCAATTCCAAGGCAATTCCTGATTAGGTGCGTTCATATACACTGCCAAAAATGTGGACACCCCAGGATGAGCCATGGCACGCCCGCCCATGACGGGCTTGACAACGTTGTTAGTTCGGTTGCTCAATGACCCATTGCAGACTGAGCGCCGAGCAACCGGTGTCTGGAAGATCCGTATTTTTACGAAACGTGCGCCCCGTCTGCCAGTCGGGATACGGTACGCGTTGATTACCTCCCACCACGTCATTAGCGTAGATAACGGATCATCATCATATCTACTTATGTCTTACGATTTCGCCGCGCTGTGAACAGGATGTACGTGCACCGCGCAGATCAGGCTGTCAAACCGTTCTGACATCCTTAGTCTGGATAACACGTGGTGCCGCGCTACCATACCCATGCTCTCCCATGGCTACGGACATGTGTATATTATTACTACAACGACCTACAGCGGCTCACATTACTAGTTGCAGGTACTATATCGGTATTGGCACTCGGCTTTTCGAATACAGACACCCTCGTATTCATAATAGCCCGACTTCTGCGAACAGCGGAACGCTGACGACATCGCATGCTGATCTATGTGGGACTTTCGGGAATGCAAAGCGTCCCTTGACTATTCAGTTTGGAGTAGTGACAGAAGCATCCCCTTTGGGAGTAGGCCGTTAGTATCTGTGACTTGAGGCTCTGGGCCTCTAGCTAACTGAGGCCCAGTTGCACGCCCACTACCATGGATGGGGTAATGGATTTACTTCCCATTGGTTCAAGGTCTTTTCATGACACGATTTTGCCGGATCCCAGTCAGATTCAAATCAACGCACACACCGGCTGAGAAGGCATTAAGTTCTTGAATGTCATTAGCCACGATGGCATAGAACCTTACTTGGTGGCCCTGCATGGAGTTTTACGAGTCATTGTCCTTGCTTTGTCCCTACATTCTGGGCCTTTGATATGATACAAAGTATTTTGTCTCCGTGGTTCCATTGCTCGGAATAAGCCAACTTGGGTCTTGTTCGTTACCGCTGGATCAGTGGCCACAGCCGATGATCAAACCGTCGAAAAGCCCTTTTCGTTGCGCTCATCAAATATATAATGACGCCGCAGCGGTCACGTACAAGGAAGGTTTGTGGCTTACAATCTGATCCGGATGGCCTAGTAGGTGTGCCACAAGCAATAAGTACTCTGCATGGCAGCTTCTTTGGAGACTTCTGTAACGGAACACCCAAGTAGAAATAAGCCCGCAGCCCGAAGCGAGTATCCCTCACAAAGGCCAGTCCAACCGATATTTCAAAAACGGGTGCACCCTCATTTCACGGGGGGAATCCGACAAGATGTCATTTTAGCGACACTGAATGCCTCGGTGATTATGGGTGAACAAGCGCAGGATCCATTTGGTCTCAGCTTGCGGAAAGTAGCGGGTTGTATCGTTGTCAGTCAAACAGGGCCGAGGATTGAACGTGGCATCAAAATGTCAATTGGTTTCTTATGATTTGCGTTCTAGTTCACTTGTCTAGGGTTTACTCGCCTGGATGGGCTGGAACATGCGTGACAGTGGTACTTAAGAGTTGTCCATGCGGCAGAGAAGAGGACAAACTAAGGCCGGTCCGTTGCGTAGCGATGAGGCCATGGCTATTTGCCAAATTCGTGAGAGTTCATGGGGACGTCTATAAGTAGATTGCCGTTTATTTTGGAGAGTACAGCAAAACCGCTGAAAGTCCATGATGCGAGATGCGTAGGCCCCAAATCTTCGTATGTACGCCACTTTCTCCGCTTCGGGCGCATGGAAATCAGTGTGGACTTGTGCCAAGTGATCATGGAATCAGCTCGATGGCGCCTTGCGGGGACTTCCTGTCTCCCACTTAATACTGCAACTCAATAGATCGTGGGCTTACCGGATCAAGTTACTTCATATAACCTCTCGCCTGCCGCCGCTGTTGGGTTGATATCGAAGATGAAGAAGTGATATTGGCGTCCATCTTTGCCAACCGCGCCCAGTAGCCCTGCCACCTCAGCTTCATCAATCAAGCGAGAGCTTATATGTAGCCAACTCACGCCGCAAATGTAAAAGAGCCTTCCATGACGAACATTTTATTTGTACCCTCACGTACCTTAGCCACAAGGTGTCAATAGCCGGTGCATTGAGTACTGATTCCGTGGCAGACCCCCTGTGTCGCTGTCGACTAGTATGTAGAACATGGTCGAATTCTCCTGAAACAGTCCTGAAAGCCACGGGCTTTATGATGGACAAGGCGGCGTATCTTGGCATATTCATTGATCAATATTGTGCGACTACGCCGCTACAAGTATCTTATCTCACCTACACGTGGCTGTGCGCCAGGCACGGCGGGGACTTGGTGAAAATAAAGGCATTGTATGTAGTCATTTCACACTTGGAAGTTTCAGTTTGGGCACGCGCAAGAAGATTCGTATCGTTACTCGGCCAGCACTGTGAATGAGTATGCCACGGCATGCTGTAGCTATCTTGGTGCTATCCAGAATCGGATGTTGTAGTTATGAACGGCATGGCATAATCTGGCCCTTGATGAGCTCAGACCGGCAGAAGGTGGTGTTACTTAGTACACATGTCTAGCGAACCTACTTAGAACCGAGTCTTCACCATGACATTATTGACAGAACGAACCCACATGTGTGTGTGTTGTCGTCCCTCCACGTTATCGTAAGTTTTTCCATGTATCATATGGACTGTACTGCGGTACAGGATGCGAGTAACTTAATCAATATTAGAGGACCCCCATTTAACCTATGTGCTAGTAATCCGTTGGCCATTTTAGTGAGTCCAGCTTGTCCACTTACTATCGTGATGCGGTTTGACGGTATGTCCAGTGCCCGATCGGCACAGCTTCCGACTGAATCACGGGAGAAGGGCCAGTCCTTAAATTAATAGAAATAACCCGTTTTGGATTACGATGGCCAGGTCCGAAAACTTGCCGACCTTTTTTTGAAGGTAGTATAATCACTTTCCGAAGTCGCATGCCATTGCTATGGATCGTTAGTAGTTTCTCAGCAGAAATCTCACGTCACTTGAGGACCGCGGGCTTGATGAAAACATCATCTTTGGTTCTTACCCATTGCAGTGTACATTTTAGAGTAAATATGATTCTCGATGATTACTCCGTTTACTAGTACTAACGGAGTGGTAGAAAATGCAAGTAGCAGCCCTGGAGTCGGACTCAGATCCGGGTGGTGACAAAGAGCCAATCAGCAGGGTAGTTTGTGGGGACAATATTCTCCATTTTACCTGTCATATACTAATTATTTTGATTTTGCCGTGCCCAATTTGAGTAATTGTTGCAAAATGAAAAAAGAAGTGGAACAGGGGGGGAGTTTCCCGGGTCACGTGGGGCCGAGAAAGGGCTTTGTTCAAGATCAGGGCGAGTTTGAATGTTGGAGCATGAACAAAGGATACCGCTGAGATGGCGTAGTTTACCGCGGTCAGTTGGAAGGTGACAAAAGCGGCATCGAAGGTAGGTGAGTGGTGACGGAAACAAAGTGAGTAGTAGTATTATTTGGCGTAGTAGGTAGTCATGTGACCAAGATTACTAAATTAGGAAGTAGAAAAAAGGTAAGGCTATGGGGAATCCCTGGGGATTCCCCTCTGCCGTTGATGCCGATTTTGAAAACCAGATTATTAGTTAAGTGAATAAGGTTAAATCGGTAGACTTAACATTTAAAAAAAAGAAAGGTCTAAGATCTGCTAACGGAGGGACGAGTTACTAAAGACTACGAAGCGGGCTCGGAGGCGCTGTTACCTTCGACTCAACCCTTGCTAGACACGGTTTCCCCTGTTTTTGTCTCTAAGCGGAATTTATGCCAACCATGTCCGCCAATTTTACACCTCCAAGCCATACATACGACATGATTTCCTTTTTATATAATCGTATGTATCATCCCGACACTTTCTGACTATCCAAAGTCATGGCCCTTTATACTCCTCCATCTCTACAACTCACGTCTTGTAAAATGGCCTCATCACGTCCTTCTTTGCCATCTGAACTACTAGCAACCTGGTCTTCTTGGAGGCCAACTGGTCTCCTCACTCCTCCAATGTCTGCATCATTACCCAGGCTAGGTGCTCCATCGCACACTCAGGTAACATCATTGCCTCCAATTGCTCACTTTGATCGTCAGGTATCATACATGCATCCAAGTACGTCCTTATTTCTTTATTCCAACCAATGGTTTTTGATCTAGACAAAGTAACACCACCGCGTACTCAAGACGCGTCTGCATGGTCCCGACCTCACGCGTCACCTGAGATGGATGACCATGTCCATCCCTTTCAGCAAAAGCCTGCAGTCTCCGAGGATATCCCTCCCCAAATTGATTGGTTCGACGACTCATTAAAGAGATCTTCACATTACATCGCAGAGAAAACTTGCGAGATGATATGCTACCTATGGTTCTCTTCGTCACTTTCAAGTGCTTCTACATCTCCTCAACCACTCACTCCCCCGTATTCCCCTGAAATCCCCGCCGCCACCTCATTTCTTCAGCTTGCTGCAACTCCCACCTTTGTCTCCTTTATGCAGAAGTTGCTAGAAACTACCCAGGTCAGCCAATCGGTGATCGTCCTCTCTCTCCATTACATATGGCGACTCAAGGAACGTAACCGTTTCACCGCTGGTTTACCCGGAAGTGAGTTTCGTATTGCCGTTGCAGCCCTCATGATGGCAAATAAATTCCTTGACGAGTGAGTCCTTTGTGCCTTTTTACGTATTTTATTCTTAAACGTCCTTCCAGCAACACTTACACCAATAAGACGTGGTCCGAGGTTTCTGGTATCGAGTTGACTGAAATCACTCGAATGGAAAAGGAGTTTCTCATGGGAATAAACTTCAACCTTTACATTTCGAAGAAGACGTATGATTCATGGATGAACTTGTTGAGGGGACTCGTCTACGCGAAAGAAAGAGAGTGCCGTAGATGGCGTCATACTCGCGCCCGACATCGAACCCCTCGCAATTCCCAACCAATGTCCGCAGCACCAGTTCGTTCATACAGGTGGAGATCTCAGTCGACATCTCATCGTGCACGTTCGACTTCGCCCGAGCAGCCCGTTCACCCGCGTACATATTCATCATCATATCACGTGATGCCATCGAATTCCGTTCTCTCGCCATGTCTTGCACCCGGCTTGAAACGCTCGGCTGCGGACGCATTCTCACCTACTTCGTCATCGTTCCACGAGTTACCGCCTTTGAAGCGTCCCACGGGTATGACTTTGCAAATTCCGGAAACTGGTTATCCAACCGCACCCCATTCTGCATCGCCAGTCGAATCTTTGCAGTCATTTGCCAAGATGTCCCTGTCGTCATCTTCGCCACATTCGTTACGGTCCGTCCAGTTCAATCAATCACACCAAGGCGACGCCCGTCCGCAGACTCTGGTGGCTGCATATTGTGCGGAAGGACCCGTGAATGTTCCTCAGGTACGTCCATTCTCCGTGATTCATATGATCTATCTCACATTCGTGGTAGAACCTTTATTATTACTCGCTTGCTGGGTCGTCGACTGACAATGCTGCGGAAGAAGAAAGGGTACGCCGCAAAGCCCGTTTGCGGTGTTACCAACCTCAGCCTCCGCCTCCGCCATCTTATCCCCCACCGTCTTACATGCCCCAAGACATTCAGTCCGAGTCTGTCAGCCCTTATGAAATTCATGTTGACGTGCGGGCAGTGCCTCTTCCTCACCTTCACGATGCTGTTTGGTCTCGGAAACTTGCCCGGCCTCCTTCGTATTGCGAAAGCTCTTTGCAATTGCCTCCTTTGAGAGAAACCGCAGTTCCGTCAGCTCCTTTTGCCAACGCAGGTCCACCTGGCGTCCAATTTTACTCAGCTTCTAGTCAGCGGGAATCTCCCGCGTATCCTTATAATTGGTCTTATGGCAGATAGTCTTCGGCTACTCATCCCTGTTTAATGCACACGATTATTGCATCTCATCGGTTCCCCCCTTTCACATCGAACTTCAACTTTCATAGTTACATTTGAGCACTTTCGCCACATCATTTCGTTGCACGCAATATCATTGACACTAACATAGATTCTCGGCATCCGCATTTGTATTTCAACTTACATTTCCACTTTCTGATAGCAGAGATCAAGCAGAGATTACATTACCCTCATAGTTAGCTACTACTGTACGAGAAAGAATGCTAAACTGACCATACTTCGAAATCGCCAGCGTGGGATTGCTTGTGAACTAATTGTGGACTATATGAACTGGATATGATGTACTTATTAAGAGTCCACTAACAACGGTAAGTTGCCAACTGTTACAGTAGGGTGATGTGGTTTGACAGATCTATGGCCGAAACAGCCTAAAATTTCGATGGTCTTCCAAGTCTGGCATGCATGAGCGCAGAAGCTTTTTCCCGCATAGGTCAGTGAGAATAATGACGGGATCATGCTTGATCATGCACAGTCCGCACTCCGCGGTCCATATCGTGTCCATCGGAGACCTGTTACAGATCAAGTCGCTTCCTTCAAGGGGTTTGATGCCCCTGCTATAAGTATGCGTCGATCTACATGCACCGGGGAAATTAGCACAGGATCATCCGTGTGTCTCCGTCCATTTCCCAGTACTCTGCGCCCCTATATCCTCATTGTAACGATACTTAAGTTCTGGACTCGTTCTCACCGTAATTGAAAGAACGGTGTAGCTCAGAAATAGGCTGTCCGGTGTGACGAGACGACCTAACTTCATGCGAGTATTCAGCGCTCATGCCGGAGGAACCCAATGGGCACGGGTGAATGAATCGGACGGATAGTTCGATAGATACACATGGATCTTTCCCGTCCGGCTAAGGCATTGAGGGGGGGTTCGTGTTCCTTACCACGCCCTAGTAATAGCGTGTAGGCTATTTGGAGTTACATTTGACAGATTTCGATGGCTCATACGGTGTGTACGACGCCAACGCCAACTCACAGGTTAGTAATAGTATATGCCTGTCCGAATTATTCGTGGGGCCAGGGGTCGGTTTCAGTGTCTGACGAGACAGATTTTGATCTCATTCGAACCATGTTGGAGGACAGGAACGCCTGGGTGAAGAAGTAACCGGATAACAAACCCGTCACTAGACAAGTTGGTTTCATCGAATTTGATATCAGTCACATCATGATTATAGGGCGGACTCACAAGTACCAGAGATAATAGTTTTATTCCGACCAAAACCCATGAGTTTAGAGCCTACCAGTGCTGTAAATGATGAGACCAACGGTTGTTACAAGGCACATGGCACGTGGTTGAATATCAAAACTAACCTCCTGCCAGGGCCGACGTCAAGCCAGCAAACACCCCGTCTCTCCGAGCCTCCTGATGAAGATATGGCATCATTCCAATGTCAATTTCCATGCAAAATAACACGAACCCTCCATGCGGCTACTTTGAGCTCTTCCACACTCGGCTTATGATCTAACTCCATTCTCTGCGTTTAATTGCGCAGCAACTTGATATGGCGGCCGTAGAACAAGTTTTAAAATAATGCGCGGAAAAAAAAAATGGCAATGGAAACTTTTTGAGAAAAAAAGGGTTAAGCTAAACGACCGAATTTGGAGTTGTCCCCAATAAACGCGTTTCGTCACACCACGTTACGCTGTGACGAGACGCGCTTCTACGCCTTACAAGTTACACTCATATTGCTATCAGAACGGTTATGTCCCCTGAAGGGAAGAAGAGCCGGGCTCGGAGTCCACAGGAACTTTATGACGAAATAAAAGGTATCAATCTCCGGTTCCATCAGACGCGTTCATACTCCTAATACTCCCATTACCCTAAGAACTCTTGATCAAGATCAAACCAAGACTCAAGGACGGAACCACCAAAGATGAAACCGTAACAAGAAATTTACATAAGATATCTTCACTCGCACAGGCATTCACAGAACAGCGCCTGAAGTCGAGCAAAAAAAGCCAGTTATCGGATTTCCTCGATCAGGAAGGTTCGTGTCATTGTTCGGCATCAGTGTGGACAAACATGAAACCCAGTGTTTCGCTTTAGGTGTCAACTTGTGGAATGCCTCCGGCGTGGTCCGTCAAGGCTCTGCGTCTGACAGCCGCGCCGTGGTCGCCGCTTGTATGCTTCTTTGTTCGCTGTGATTGGTCTCAATCTAACATCTTGCCAGTGCGGCTAGCTGGATTTCGCCTCATGGAGGCAGGGTTGGAACCTAAGCCTGACATTGAAGGTTGGGATCGGAGGAGAAGCACTCGCGTGATTTTCGCTCATTTATTCCTTATCAGCATTATTACATATTCTCCAAATTGCAAGCAAGACTGGCGCAACCCTGTCCGGTGCGTTTACAACGCCAATGATTCCGTGTCTTCAGATAAAATCTTGACCGCGCCTCCAGAAATTGGTCATAATGACACCGCATCGAGCGTACTTGGTTGTGCGGCCAAGGTTAATTTTTTTTCCCTGTTATTTCAGCGATGGCTCATGATTATCAAAGTATGAAGAAGCGCTGAGAAATATTGACGACCAGAGTGGCACTAATAAGCAAGCTAAGGCATGTGTTACCGCTGTCTACCTCTCAACCCGGATGGAAGCAGTGAGGACTCAAATGCTCGTGATCTGGAGGCGTTGATAAATTTAGAACAACCTCGTGAAATAGGCTTGGAGGGAAGGAAATGAAGGGTTAGCGGCCTTCATGGCTGACAAAATCACAGGTTGTCCCTGGGTCTTTGTTGATACGTGCCGCTCTGATTGTTCTCATTCAATAGAAAATGACGGGCGTCTTATCCTCCTGTCCAACCATGACGTAAGTCCCATTTGGTCGACGCACTTCTCATGATGAACATTTTCAGCGAGAGACGCTCGCGACTAAGCTTCTTGACATTGGCAAATCACTTTTGAGAAGTTGCTATCAGGACAGCAAATCGGCACCAGAAGATAGCAAGGCGAGCGACGCTATTCGATGGATGCAAAAGGCATTTTCTGTCATCGAGCCTCTTGACTGCGCAACAAATACTGAGCTTGCTGAGCTTAAGGTGCGTGGTTTCCGGCACATATCACGTTTCATTCAACCCTTGGCAGAGATCGGTTCTCAGGAGTTTGGGTAAGTGAAGTTGACTGTATGCTATGGTGCAACGGGATTCAGATCGGCCCCATATTAGCCCGTGGCTACTTCTTGTCGTCGTCCCAGGATCCAGAGAATTTGATCAGAGCGGAAACCGCGCTAGAAGAAGTTATTGCAACTATCGATACTTCTGTAGACAACGTAAGCACATCAGGCCAAAGTGACATGACCAAGCGATATTTACCCACGTTCCTGTAGGTAAGCTCCGAATATCAACAACTCCGATGGATGAAGTTGGCTGTCATCAAGCGGCGAAAAGCTGGAGATACTGTTCTTCTTCAAGGTGAACTTTCCTGACCCGGAATCTTCCACATTCAGTGGCGAGTTTGAATTACTCACGTTCTTCATTAGCCCTACAAGCCATTATTGACAACATGACATATTCAGAAAGCAATCTTACGGAGTGAGTTTGGTGGGAATGCTGTAATCCACTCCGTTTTCTCAGACCTTGTTTCAAGTGTCCTACAGGAGCTTCGGACGCTTTCTCAGTACCAGTGAGTGGTCTAATACAGGTACTAGATTGTTCCCTTAATTCAGTGTGGGTACAGCCAATTAGTCACGAGGGCAACTCAGTACTGCCTTCATCGGGCCTTACAGTGCTCTTGGAGTACAGACGCTGTGGAGAGGCTTCTAATAGCTCTCATATTCCATTGTTCCAAAGATGACAAACACGACAGGGCCATAGAAGATCTGCACGCGTCTTTCAAAGGTGGGGTCTCATCTTGTGATTGTTGTTGTAGGCTTGTGCGAAATCACTTACCGTTCTGCGTAGAACTGAGTAACGTGGAATTCGAGCTTCTCAAAGCTCCGGCGACAGCTTGCATCACGGTGTGTGCATACCCCATTCCGTTACCTCATATTGGATGGTTCGAACGTTTCCGCAGCTTCTATGGCAATACGGTGACCGCCACTATCACGCGGGGCGGTGGAAAGAAGCTGGGGATTGGTTCAGTTGCGGCACTCATGCTATATTTGCAAGCTTGGGTCCCGTCAGCAGCTCGAAATGTTTTCGGAAAGCTGCCCTAGCCCATCTTAAGCGGAAGGATTATGCTCACGCGGGGTCCATCATCCGACGCTGTCCTGACACAGAAGCCACGACTCAATATGTAACCTTTCTCATTGCTGTGCATCAAGGTTCGTCAACGCGCGTAGCCTGATAGTGAGAGTTTATCTCATTCATATCAATCACAGGGCTGGAAGATGAAGGTATCTCCATTTCTGAAGCAAAGCTTGGTTAACTCTAATTGACCGGACAATTATCAGCGATAAATTCGATACGCAATATGGTGCATGCCGCGAACTTCGATCGCAAGATGATTCTATTGGCATGCCGGCTGGCGCATGACTTGGACATGAAAGGCCTTCTTCTTACCGTTTTAAGGGCTCTCCTTGAAACTTTAAACTTCCGAGAGAGCGTGGAGAACATTACTGAAGCCATGGCGTTGATAAGATGTATTATAAGGCTTATCACCAAACTCCTTGGAGAACCCGCTGCCGATTTGTAAGTCTGCGGTGTTAAGCATCGAGATGTTGAGCTGAATATGCGTCAGGGAGCGCTTAGTGGCAGCATTGCTCCACCACTTGAAGATTGGTTGGTCGAAATCTTCGAACCACTCGGCCATTCTAACGCAGTCCATGTGGTAGCGGTTACTGTTGTAGAATCTTGTGAACAGCCTGCGATGATTGTCCGAGACATATCTTGGCTTTGGAGAACTGCATACAACTGTGCTATCCAAGCTTGCTCGGATTGGGAAGACAGAGAAGATCAAATATCTGACATCTTTGACGCAGCGAGACGAGTCAGTGTTTCTTTGGCAATCATCTCTATGGGATTAATTCTATCGCGCAGCTGCTCGAGCTTTATACAATACATGCACCTGTAGAGGTGGACCAAGCCATTTACGTTTACTTGGTGAATGCTTCATTCGCATCTGCCTCAGGCCGTGGTACGTACCCTCGACCCATCCCTAGCAGTTCACAACGAGCTTCCTTTTCGCACAGTTATGTCCTTCAGACGTTCGCTGTCGCAAACAGGGTCGATTGAAGTATGTTACGGTCTTCTTTCGAAATCTTCTACTGATTTTCTCTAGGCTGAGAAACACCGCGAACTGTTCAATGAGATCAATCAATCATCACAGCGCATCGTCAAGGTTTTGCGGGAGGACAAAGTATCACAAGAGGATCTTCCTCGACTTGAGTCATCCCTGCAGGTTTTAAGAGTTTTCATCGTCGAGGTGGCATCTCACCTGTCGGATTGGACCACGGTCCTAGCTACCATCGAGGTACGGGTTACGATTTGCTGCCGATCAATTGGACGGGCACCCATTACGCATATAGGAAGCATCTCGCTGCAACTGCGATTCATTGGAAACGTACGAGGCGTTCGCTGACACTCTGGTGAGGCAGAATGGCTCTTTCCGCACCTGACTTCTTCAACATTGCTCTTAGTGGGAGGACAAAAACTGCCCCGTAAACGGTAAATATTATTTTCCACCTTAAGATGAAGCTTATACTAGTCGTACCTAGTCCTTTTTACAGCGCTAGAGGTAGGTCCGCGTGGAAGCCGTCAGCTACTCAATTCAACTCTGCGCTGTAGGCCACCCTTCAGGCCTGTTTAACCCGCGGGCACTTTTCTCTGGAGAAATTCTCTCGGTGGCTCCGAGCGATGTGTATCATACTACTGACAAGAGCGACAGGATCCGATAGATCTAGGGCCATCGGTTACGTGGACCAAGCTATCGCTGTACTGGAGGAGCATGGCGACGCTAGGGACGGTAGTGCTATGGTAATATTCCAGCTATGCAATGCATCTTGGCTCACTCATTTGTACGGAAGCTCTATCCTTTTGACGAGCGTCAGTGGCTTCTGAGCACAGCGTACAACACTGGCCTCGAGTGTCTCCAGTCAGTGAATATCCCATGCGATGGATGCTGATACAGGACTCGTTTACCTCAGTGCATCTATGGTCGACGAAGCAAAGCGTTGGTTTGAATGTTCCACCGTGATCTGTCGCTTCGTTCCCGATGGTAGGCAACGTGCAGAAAAGGTAGGCAAAAATGCAACGGAAAATCTGGCTTCACCGCATCCCGCAGCAGATATCGGCAACCTACAGCGACCTCCTAACACGCTACCCGACTCGATGAAGAAATCGCACGACCATCAACACAGCTTCAACTTCGCAAACGGATCGCCCCACATATGTATTGTTATGTGCAATTGTTCTTGTATCTGTAGCAAAGCCCAATGGATATGGACTACTTGCATTTTTATTGCTGTGAGAAATGACGCAGCTGATAGAGTAGTACACGACCGCGATTGTTGCCAATAGCCAAGTACTCGCTCTCACGGGAGAAATCGACAGAGGTGACATGTCCAAGAGGGGTGCTTGACGTGGGCCAATTCCCAAACACTGTTAACGACGGGCAGTGAACCTGTAGGAACGCATCAAGTTGAATGAATGGATGCTTGTGACAGATGGCAATATTGACGTACTATCCGCATCTGATCTTTTTTGACATTACTTGCTATTGCAAGTAGTTGGGAATCATGATTGAACCGTAACGTCGAGATACTTGTTGTCAGGTTCCCTACCGTCTTCAAAGTCTTTGGTTTGCCTCCCTCAAGATCGATCGTACTTTCTGCATTATAGACGTTTAGCAAACCTGTGTTTGAACTAGAGACCATATCGTCAGAGTGAATAACTGCCTCACAAAACGAAAAGACATACCCAACGGTCAAATATTTCCCTTGGCTGTCTCCGCCAAATATTCGACTACCGAACCCGCCTTCATCTTGCCACCGTTTCACGCATTTGCGCTGCCCGATATTCCAAACATAAACCTGTGAGTCTTCGGTCAAGCCCAGAAGCTCGCCTGCTCCGGCCCTCGACCACCACAGGGACTTCACGTTCGCGTTCGCCTTAAGTTCGCCTACGACCTGCGCTGCACCTGATCGCCAATCAACAAGGTGGACTTGGCCTCGCCGTCCCGCAACGGCGAGAATGTCCCCTGTTGGGTTGAAGGAAGAAATCTCCATGCTCGTGCCTTGATCCCCGCGACCAGAAGAGAATGTAGTGCCCCATAAACCTCGAGGTGAGCGGTGGGACGCCCCAGACTGAAGGTCGTAAGTGTAGTAGAAAGGTCGTGGACCAGTCATCAATATGGACGTTCCGCTGGGGTGGAAAACGGCGTTGGTGATAGGAAGCGATGGGACATGAAGGGTCTGGGCATGAGGATTTGTGAGGCCATCAATCTACCACGAAAACTTGAGTTTAAGTATGGAAACATCGGGAGCAACACTCACGTGGAAAAGTCTCAGACGACGGTCTGCACTGGCGGTCAAAAGGACTGGAATGTGGGGTGAAGGATGGAATGCAACCGTTTTTATTTCACCATCCGCTGGTGCAGCTTGGTTGGCATCTCGCAGTCGCTCAATGGAGAGTGTGCTCGGGGGTATAGGTCTTGACTTGGCAGTCCCCAAAATTCCGGTCGTTGACGCCAGCAGCTCGGGTACGACATCCTCCCCACTCTCAGAACCAGAAGCCGAGGATCGTCGTCTCTTTGCGCGTTCGCTTTTCTTGCGCGCAATGGAGGCCCAGTCTGGGGTTGGGTTTATACGTTCGAACTGCCTGCGCAATCTGCGCTCGTATTCGCGTCCTCCCACTGTATCGTCAGAGGGCGCGTCACGCAATTTGCGAAGACGATTATTTGAAGCAAGTGAGACTTGTACGTTTACATCGTCTGGGTCTGTCCATGCGGGAGCTTTGAGTTTTTTGGGTTGCTGGGGGATGTCCTCGCGAATAATGGAGATTTCTTCGTCTTCATCTCTTTCTCGGTTCTCCGGTGTTATGAGCTCCTCATCATCTTCCGCATCAGACTGTTCATAGTCTTGGGGAACCTGGCTAAGCTCGGATGGTCCAGCATTATCATCCACGAAGAAAAGCTACAGGTGACGTGAAAATGAAGTGTAATTCCCAGTAGTTCTGCACATACATCCGAGTCCAGCAAATTTTCAAACTCTCGTCCCACTTCAAGCTGGCCATCGTCTGCCTCCTCATCAGAGACGACCATGATTTCCTTTCCAGCCTTCCCAGGAGCGTATGGGACACCGAACAGCATATTTTCGAGACGCCTCTCCTCGTCGTCTTTACTGGCGTCATCGTGGAGGTTAGCACCTAACGGAACCTGTTCAGGTTGGATTTTGCCCGTCTTTTGACGTTTTCGAGGGTTTTTGACCATCGTGATACAATGTTATCGCGGTTTAAAAGTTGGAGATGAAGACTTAGTGAGTGCTACTCCGAGTCAAAAGCGCTGGTGGCTGTGTATATATCGTCAAGCTATCTACCGTCAACTTCAAATCGAAATCGTCAACAACTCGCGCCATCCTTCTTGAACGCGGTCAAATACAATATCAATCGTCACTTTCTAACTCTCAAATTCTTATATATGGGTCACAAGGTTTCACAGCCAAGTGCGGCGGATCTTTCTGAGATGGAGCCATCAGGCATGTATTACGCTTTCATCAAATTGCAATCATAACATTAAACGCAGGCTCGAGTAATTATCAACCGTCTGTCGCGGACGTCTTCCGAGTAAAACGATATCTGCAATCCAAGCTTCCTACGGAGCTTATTGACAGGATCATCGACGACGCGTCTTACTGGCCACACAGCTCAGTCTACCTCGTGCGACCCTCCACCGTCCCAATTTACAGGGACGGAAAGCGGGGTGAAGATGGAATTTATATAAGATCACTCCCTCTTGGCATTCACGGCACTGATCGCGACTTCACTCTCGTCGAGGAGGACTTCGAGGACGGTGGTGCGGCCTGGATGAAGAACCTGCGAATGGGCGGATCGGACGAGTCTTCACCGTCCGCGCTATCGCATCCATGCAGAAAGATAGAATTCCATCTTTGGAGTCATGACCAAAGATTGCGCGAGCAGTTTCCCGAGACGTTCAACGCATCTTACATATGGTTCTACGTCAGCATAGAGAAATTGCAGACACCCATATCTGCAGATAACGTCGTCGAATGGCCACCGCAGCTTCTTTTCGAAGAGTGCGACGCATCTCGTATTCAAAGCGACACCGCCAAGCCATTCCTTCCTCCCAGTATCGCAATTCGAAAGAATGTCGCGGCAAAGAGCCAGGGATCAGAGCACATCATTCATTGGCACTTTCGCGGTGAAAATGACCAGGAACCCGGCGATGACAGTGTTTGGCACTTTCTTGATAATTCCTTTGACAGGCCAGCCGCCAAGGCCGCAGAAGTGGTTAGACTGTTGCACAGTATTCAAATAGGAGATTGTGTCAGCCTCTGGGCTCACGGTCGGTTTCCCAACTCTGAAGATAAAGTTCAGCAGGCCAAGGTCACTGTGTATTGGGCGGTGTAGACATGATGGCGTCTTCAATATTCAATTAATATCTGCTGGTAGAATTTTTCGATCTCGTTCCCTAACCCCCTTACTTACGAGGCGAGCTCGTTTTACAGTACTTGCTACGCATGTTATAGAGGAGGGCTTGGTAGATTATGTTTGTTGCGAATTCCATGTATAACCACTTTGTTGGATATATCATACAACCATCGACACGAGTTAGAAAGTATTTGGGATGCAATGACTTTGCTGCGGGCAACAATGCCCCCCTCCATTTCGGAGACAAAATAAGTATGACTTTAGTACTCAGGGCCTCCGACGCAACTGGTGCACTATATCATGAAATGAACAGAGCGAGAAGATCAGGTGATATGGGCGTCTGGAGCAGCTATAGCAGGCACCCCTAAGTCTGGTTAGTTCAAGCACAAATCGTCAACTTCGAAGTTGTTAATTACCGTAGGCTAGCCTTAACTTGAACGCGTTCAGAATCCAGATCCAATCAACCACCAAGTTTACTTTGTATGGACTCTTCACAGCCAGGTTATTGCGAATAAAACGGACTTGCAATCCAAGCTCCCTGCAGGGTTTATTCACAGGATTATCAAAGAAGCATCCTACTGGCCACACAGCTCGGTCTACGTGGAATGCCAGTTCATTATTGGAAAGAATGCTGGAGGTGAGATGTATATGAGAACATTCCCTCTTGGACCTCGCGGGACTGTGACAGACTTCAGAGTCAAGCTGGACTACTACAAGGACGATGCAATGCGAGTGAAGAAGCTGCTAGTGGGCGCACCGGACGACCCTTTATGCTCCACGCCAACGCCATCACACCCCTGCGGAAAGATCGAGTTCCAGATCTGGTTTCATAGCGACTGCTAGGGCTTGTGGCACCCTACGCCCTCACCCTATAGTATATCGTTCGATGTTGACATAAAGAAGTTGCAGACGTCCGTCTTCACAAGTAACATCATCGAATAGCCAGCGCGTCTTCTTTTCGAAGAATTCGAGGTAAAGCCATCTCATATCCAAAAAGACACGGCCAGACCATTCGTTCCAAGTCCGGACACGAAACTTCAAAAAACTGTTATGGTACCAAGTGACCCAACGACACACCGTTAATGTAGTTTGGCACTTTCTCGATTCCTTTGATGAAGAATCTGCGGAGGCCGTAGAAGCAGTTGAACCAAGGCGTGGTCCGCCATCTCCGAACGGAAAGTTTGTGCGCAGTATGCAAGTAGAAGATTGTATCACCCTGCGGGCTCGGGCTCATTTTCCTGTCAATGTGCCAGGTATTCGGAGCAATGTGTATATTCAAAAGGCCAAGATTACCGTGTATTGGGCGGTGTAACACAACGGGGTCGTCAGTGTGTGGATTGGAGAACAATCGAGGGTCCGTTTGGCAAGGTGGTTCTGGCCTGCCCTGTCCACGTGATCAAAGTGTGCAACCAGGTCAACGATCATCCGTCTCGGATTACACTTCGATCGGCAAAACGGTCCAGACGACCGGGGAGACGGATTCAGATAGTGGTTTCATGTCCATGGAAGGACTCATGCGATCGGTTTCCCTCAGGCTGTCAGAATTATAAGACGCCACATTGATCACTGACATTTGCCTCTTGAGTACGCGGCACGCCAAGTAGCCCACTTTCTGTAGTACGTTTCATTGATGACCCCTACTAGTAACCTAAAGACGTTGCTCGCAGACAACGCAGGGATAGACGACATTCAAATCACATCCACGGCATTCCCCGACACTCTCTAATTGAGCCGCATCAGTCGCATCTGACAGTAGTACGATAAGTATCCGCTATGCAAGCGATACGTCGTCGTCGGCAGGAGGAGCTCACGTATGTAGGCGTCCGGCGAACCTGCTTGGCCTATAGGGACTCATGCCATTAGGCATAGCACATGTCATACCTTTTCCGTGGGAAATGACGATCCCCCTCCTGTGAGTAAGTAGACATTAAGTCATCAACTTGCGTGAACCTCACTTGTAATTGAGCCTTGATCTGAGGCGTACCTCGTGACTTGCGGTATTTAGGTCCTTTGTTCCCACTCGGGCAAGGGTTGGATGATCGGTGCATGTGGATCGATGCTGGGCGCTAAGCACTGATTCCCTTGCACACCGAGCATTCCTATTACCGTAGGAGTGGCATCACAAAAGCCACAGGGCGCAAGGCTTTTTGATCGTACGCGAGTCTCGGAGTCTTCAAGTTAGTAGAGTTTGTTGCCACCATATGTGTCGCGGCCTCCGCAGTTGGCGCAGTAGCTACTGCAGTTACTAAGCACCTGTTACCATTTAGAGACCCGTACGTTACCCGCTGAGCGACTGAGGCAGGGTTGTTCGTTATCTGTGTATAAAATTTGTATGGCACAAGATCTTATCGCATGGAATCAGTTGAGATGGAATGACCCAGCTGAAAAATGACCTGTTGGAGATATAAACCAGGCGTTGAAACTTTGAAAGTGTGATGTAAATAATAATCAATTGCGAATATCCGCGGTGCCATGCTGGCTTTGAAAGTGAAAGAAGAAGATGCAGACGTTTAGCCGAGACAGATCTTTGACCGAATTTTCCCCCGGGACTACCTTCAGGATTCACTGTAATCAGCTCTGTACTTCTCTCTTGTGCTCTTTTTTTTCGTAGCAGGACGTTGTTAGGGCCTGTGCTGGAAAAGACACTAAGGTTGCACTGCAATAGGTGTTGATACTTGTTACTACTCAGGCAGGTTGTTTCCCGCCGGCGCATCACTCCCACTCACACAGCCCTCAATCATCGTTTGATACTGCTCTTCAGTTGTAGTCTGGCTGTTGGATTTATAGCCTTAGGGCCCCGCATTCGTGTCTGCTCAAGACTTGTCGATATTCTGTAGGAAATCATGGGTGCGTGTATGTCGTCAGGGGGGATGGTGGAGATCACAGAGGAAGATAAGCGGAGGCACAGGGAAGCGGAGAAATATCTCAAGGAAGTGAGTTTGCGACAGAGTGATACTCACCTTCGCTCGTCATTCTGCGCGTGTCACTGGTAACATCATATTGACCATATCCATTACATAGGCCAGGACCAAGATGGTTTCCCAGGTCAAAGTAAGCTCGAGGCCCAATTCACGTATATGGTTCACTTCACGTATCACATCTAGGTTCTTCTACTAGGCTCTGGTGACTCAGGAAAATCGACGGTTCTCAAGGTAAGGTCTCCCTCAGTCTACTTGCTGTCAGTTCACGAGGCTTCTTTCCAAGCAAATGCGACTGATTCATCGGGTGCCCTTCTCGGCAGCAGAAATCGAGACTTACCGCCAACTGGTGTTCAATAACCTGACAACGGGCATGAATTACGTCTTCGAGGCCATGGAGGACATGGAGCTCGAGATTGTAGAGGAGAACCTGCCGCACGTGGAACTCATTCAGAATGCTCGGGATATTCGTGAACACGAACCTTTTCCTATATCATACTACGAGCCTTTGAGAGCTCTTTGGGCTGACAGCGGGGTTCAACAGGCCTACGGAAGAGGAAATGAGGCTGCTCTTCCTGAAAAGTGAGTCGCATGTTTTTGTGCCTTGCTTCTTCCATCTTACAGCTCCCATTACCCAGCCTGTCGTACTTTTTCCCTTCACTAGACAGATTATTCGACCCATCGTATCAACCAACCGAACAAGATATCGTCCAGTGTCGAGCTCGCACTATCGGGATAACCGAGACGACGTTTCAGCTCAGAGACCATGAAATGCTTATGGTCGACGTCGGTGGTCAGAAGAGCGAGCGGAGGAAATGGATTCACTGTTTCCAAGATGTCACCAGTATTCTATTTCTAGTCAGTCTAAGTGGGTATGATCAATGCCTTGTCGAGGATCGGGATGCGGTGAGTTTATCTTGCACGTCGCGGTTTGACCGGACACAAACCTTCGTCTCCTTGATTTAGAACCAAATGCAAGACGCTATGACAATATGGGACTCGATATGCCACTCGCAATGGTTCAAGCAGACATCAATAGTACGTCAGGTTTTCCTCGTGATTTTGACAGCCTTTTACGCATGCCTACTATCAGATCCTATTCCTGAACAAGGATGACCTCTTCCAAAAGAAGATCTCTCACTCTGACATCAAAAATTTCTTCCCGGTAAGTCACCCTCCTATGCCTGACTCTTCCTACTGAGAGTACATCAGGATTACGAGGGTGAACCGGGGGATGCAAAAGCTGGGCGAGATTATTTCCGGCGGCGTTTTACACGGCTCGCTCACAAAGCGGGACGTTCCAAAGAACGCGAGATTTACATCCAGTATGCCTTTCTCTTCTTTACTGAAGACGCGGCCTTAACACTAGAAAGTGTAACAACTGCAACTGATACGGAAATGTTGAGAGTAGTAATGGCTGCTGTTGAAGGTCAGTTCTTATGTGGATACTTGTAGAATCAAATCGCTAACTGCTTGCTTTCTAGAGTGAGTTCTTCCTTCTATTGATCCTTCCCCCGCCCGCCCGCGAGCTTCTTGATGTCGCCCAACCGTACGCTTATCCATTTCCCACCCGTCTCTCTACTTCCTTTCATAGCATCGTTCTTCGATCCAATCTCCAAATCGCGGCACTAATTTAATGTTTCTTTTTGCTGTTTATCATTTATTCGTCTCGTCATCGACGTCTGCATCTCGCTACCGTGCTCAAAAACATACTTCTATCGCCACCTTGGATATTGGGGGTCAATCTTGCATACTCAAATTTCAACATTATTTTGCATCTTAACCACCCAATCTCTCCTCCGTCTGCCTGCTTGCATCATGTAACGCATCTGATTCTGTGGCTTCTTTTGTGCGTTCTTTAAAACAAATAGTGCCGTTATAAGCAAAAACGTGAGTTAGCCCCCCTTTACGATCGGGAAAAAAATTCCTGATGCCGCTTCTATAATTTCTTACTAGATCCGCGAAATCATGCTATGAAGATTCATCACCCCTATTGGAACCTAATGGTAATTAAACCGCAAGGTACCCTTGGCCAAGAAGCCGTTCTTTGTGGCGCCATACTATCTAAAGTGGGAAGGCCCACTCACCCCGCCTCGATAACTGGTTGGTTAACACTTATTTTACTTATGAAGAGTGTGCCTTCACCTGTTATACTTCACACATGTTGTATCTCTTCCCTTCCCCTTGTCTCTCCTAGAACCATCGTATCATTGATCAAGCTCTTGTACATGCAATTTGTGTACTAGTATACTAGTTCATGTAATGTCTGCTTACGGTATTTAAGTTTTCTTCCTCGCTGAACGCTCTTTGCGTCTTGATTTGGCTTTGATGTATTTTTTTGCATTTCCTGACGACTTTGACATCGTGATGTGGCGTTTATTATATTTTGATCTGATCTGTATCTCCACCACAATCCAAGGATTATGTCAACGAGTAGGTCGATTTCCTCTGTCAGACTAGTCTGGGTGAGGTCCGTCCGCACGCACTTGAGGTCTGAGGGTTTATCTGTATCATGAGTGCTCGAGAGTCATTAATACAAGCCAATACAATAGAGTGTTTTAGTACATATGTATGCTGCCGTGACCGGTTAATCTTATCCATAATGTTGATCCGAGGTTAATTTCACGGTGCGCCCATCGGCCGTGTGTCGTCTTATATGTATGTATGCGCCCGGAGGAACAACGGAGAAATTGGAATGGCATGGGTACACGGAAACCGCCGACTGGCGTGGGCAGAAACCTTGCTATTGCGCATATTGTGAGCCCCAAGTTTAACGCCTCGGTGGATTTCTTGTCAATACGATCGACTAACTGCCGATCGATATTAAGGGCGTGCTCTGCTCTGACTCGTCGCCACAATGACTTTCAAATGCCTCTTAGTGCCTCTTCGGATGCGAATTGAATGGTTCGCAGTGCGCCGAAAACTTCGGAAGAAGAAACTTTCCATTGATGATGTTATTTGAATCTGCAATTTCACTATGCCCAAGTCGAACGATGTGTAAGTCCGTACACTCGCAGCTTTTTTGCCCATGCTACGCCACCACGAAGTCCTCTCAGGAGGCTGAAGTTGCCCACGGTGCCGAGAATACCGGGATGGTGTGTTCTCATACGTCATACCTTTGGAATCCTTTCCATCCGTGCGATTGGGAATAGTGTGAGGGTTCGAGGTAGACTGAACTGTGTGACCGGTTGTGGCTAGTGGGGCGCGTTATTAAAGTGCGTCTTTAATAACCCCGTCAATTCAGATGTCGTGTTCCTCGACAGGCGTCTGCGATAGACCCATTTGATACTCAACTGAGTCGGCATAATGATTACAATTTGAATGTTTGATAATGAAAAAATGACTTGGCTGTGAAAAGTCTTGACCGATACGAATTGGAGGGAAGTCTACGGTAGATAATTGAGACTTAGTTGAGCATCGCAACTTGATAAGATCGTGATGCATACATGAGTAATGCTATGACGTACCTGCCAGTCTGTGAAAAGATGTAATCCATTATCCATACGAATTGGAGAGGTTTAGAGTGGCAACTGGCACATGAGCCCAAGCCCTACAGTGAACGTGCCGACTCCGGATCACATTCACGTCGCATGCGCCATAGACGGCGGTTGCATGTCAGATCATAGGTTCAAGGCCCTAGTTGCTCCTCTCAAACTGTAAAGGGATGTCTTCAGGACGTTTCATCATATCTGCAGAGCTCTAGAGACTGTAAGTTAACTGTTAATATAACGCAGCGCTCTGCTTTCGCTTTCGTTTTCCTGACGCATGCTGATTATGTTTCGCAGAATATGATCCAGTGGCAAATCATTATCCTCGAACTTTATCGTCTGGATGATTCCTGAACGAACTGCAACTGCAGACGTGGAGGAGCCGCGTGTGGTTGAAAGAGAGTTATAGAGGGCATACGGGTGAGAAGTTGTGGCTACAGTACGTAACTGAAAATGGTTGATTAAGTCCGTACACTGTATCTCAACGCGTACTAACTTACTCCAACTTGCAAAGAATCCGGTGGTCGCAAATGTAACGTCTGACGCTCTAACATAATCAGAGGACGAACGGATACGCGGTAAACGTGTACTGACCACCAAACCACGTACCTTCGAACGCAATGTTAGCCCGCCGAGACGTGCGATGCTGACGTTTTGACAGGTCAAGGTTAGTCTCCCGTAGTCAGACCTTGAAAGAGGAAGATAGTCGTTCCTTCTTTATCAAGGGCCAGGGCCTCAAGTTTCGAGGCCTGAAATTTCTGAAATTTCTCTAAGTTGCTTTTCTGACTCACGTGACAAGCATCATATAGTAAGTTGTAACCACCCTTGGTTCTGAGCATCCTTAGTCTGTCTGTCCTTTTTCATGATACGCGCGATTTTGACTCATAAATGATGTGCATATATCCATAGGTCGCTGGTCAAGCTTGCGCTATCACATACACAGACTTGACTGCGTGCATTTAGTTGGAGATGCCACAAGCTTAAGGTACGATCTTGCAACCAAATAATACGTCCTGCTTACAGCCCAATGAATATTGGGGTAGAAACAATCCGACTTGATGCGAGGTCCGCTGTCATGGTTCCTTCACCGAATCTGCCGCACGACATCTCCACGTATAATTGCTTCGCCAGCACTCGTGAGCAATTTCTACGACAGGAAATCTATATTTTCTGACATCCAGTCACTACCGTCTCCAACAGGACCTCGTCGAGCTGGATTGAGTCAAATATGCTCATTGAGATGTGTCGGTGTGAGCCTTTCTGATGCAGTTCCAGGTCATAGCTTCTGGCGACGGTACTCCGAAAGGAAAAGTCCACGCTGCTTTCCCCGGCGGACACACTGAAGAGGCGAACGGATGGGGTTGTCGGCGTTGCATAGCTGGGTGTTGCTGGACGGGTGCAACGTGATGGTTCAAAAAAGTTGCAACCAGAAACACCTTTTGGTAGCAGGGTTTATCGCAGGGCGGCTTGCAACGGCTTGCATTATGGGGTGGTCAACGTGACCTCGCTTACACCTGCGAGATGCCAGTTGGACCTTACCTGCTCCGCTAGTTAGCTCTACCGCCTTCCAATTCCGTCGGCCGATGGCAAACTTAAGCTTATTGCGCGCGAGTACTAGTTAACACCTTTACTATAGCTAGTAGATCACTTTGCGACTCAAGTACTCCGTGTGCTATGACAATGTGTTCACTTCCTTGTCATAGCACACGCAGTACTTGGGTCGCAACTCGCCTTTCTGACGCTCCGATGGCTCTAACTATCGCGCCATTAAACGGTAAGTGTTTCTCTTATTCACACTGCTGTCTAGATCTCTCACTCTGAATCAGTCTGAATCCCCAGTGGACACTCCCACACTTCAACCCGTCAAAGAAAGCTGACGGGCAGGATCCTCCGTCAATCAAAAACGGTCATGTCATCATCATTCTCTTTTCGTTAATTAATCATCACCTTGACCCAGACCTCGGTTAACGTGATGCTTCAAAGTGCCGTTGACTGATACTCCCGAATACAGTATGTCATTTTTTACCAGTTGTTAATTAATATGCGACCAACACGGCCTCCACAGTTGATGAATACCTTGCGATTCTTGCTGCCCAGGCCGAGCAGACTCAGATAACTATGCGGGCCACGGTGTGACGCGGAGGGTCAGGCTCAGCTACTGGATGCGAAAAGGCCTGAAATCGACAAAAGCAGTCATATTCACCCAGTATTGTGTACCCGTTCAAACATGGTTAACTCAACGGATGATGGTCTATGATGGTGATTCACCCATTCAGTGGGTAATCCAGGCTCCTCTATCTCTCGCTCTATCTGGATACGGTCATTTTCCTGGTTCCGCGGTGAGGAAACCCCGTTCCACTGATCGGCGACCTCGGTTATACTTAGCCATTTCATAACTGATTGATTGAGGACGCTGCGTGCAGTCCTACACATGGGCCAGGCACTCAAGTATAGACTGTGGTGGATGCTTCCCACAGCGACCTTTGCGGGCGTCATGGAAATATTTGGATGGAGTGCCAGGTTTTGGTCGAGCCAGAGCCCCAAGCTGTTGACGCCATGAGATGCAGTGAGTGTCCGTGCAGCATGAATCACTCCCATAGCACACAAGCGTTTCACTGCAGGCTCGTCGGCACTATCATAGCACCTACACCACTAGTCGCAGCTAATTTTATCGTCCTTGGCAAGACAATCACCCAAGTTGGACCCCAGTTCAGCCGTCTGACCCCCAAGATGTGTTAGTGTTACTCTTATGTACTAGCTTTAAGTTACTGACCTAGCGCAGATACCATCTTGTTTTGCTCCTTTGTTAGTATCATACAGTTAATCCTTTATATCTCGACTCCCAGGATGTTATTTGCTTGGTCGTACAAGCTTTTGGAGGCGCATCCCCTGCGCACGCTGTTAATCAGGGGACAAGTGCTAAGAAGATGTGTATATCATCCAGTATTTCGTGTGACATTCACTTCGCAGAGACAGGGCGCGGACATTATGCTAGGAGGAATTGCTGCCCAGCTTTATGCGTGATGATGGGCCCTCGCTTTTCTCACTAACATTCCTTTCCTTCGCTCTTTAGGTGCTATAGTGGTCTATGTCACTTTGGCGGTCGAGTTTCTCTTGCATTTAAGAAATAAGGCACCCTTCCGCCACGTTGACAATCGTATGTCGGAGAAAGGTCAACGTCCCATAAATAAGAACCTGCAACTTATGATTTTCGGGGTGGAATTCTGCATCTTCATTCGGTTAGCATTCAACACATCTTGTTATCAACAGTTATAATGTGCTTAATTCGTCTTTAGATCCGTGTACCGTACTGTAGAGCTCGCCAACGGATGGACTGGGACAGTGATTACAACGCAGCGCTACTTCGGTACGCTATCACTGTCTTCTCTAGGAATACGCTGATAATGCTCTACTGCCGACAGACTGGCTAGATGGTGCATTAGTCACTCTCGCTATTTACACTCTCAATGTCATGCACCCAGGTATCTAGCTAGAGAGGAATGGTCCTGTTGCTAATGCTTCACAGCAAGCTGACGACGAAGGAGTTAGAGACTTCGATTTTACACTTTAATTGCCCTTGAGCTTTACAACGAAATGGCTGGACTGTCACAACTACTAGTAGACAGCGGTCACCATTGGCATAATATGACTGCGCTTCGTTGGACCTCTCCCGCTCGTTATGCATATACTGCTTCTATTCAAGTATCTCCCTACAAGCCCCTGTGATTGTCGTCACTTCTTGGATATTTCTAGTTTTCGCACCGCTTGTCTCCTGCTGTCCCTTCCAATAATGTGTTGCAATTGACGCCGGGCTTATACTCATTCAGACTCTCCCCTGCGACCTGCCAGCCCCTGCCGTCCTGATCTATATTCTCTCATAAGTATAAGTCATATAATAATATCCAGAACCTTTCACCATCCCTCGGATTCCGAGTGCGCACATAGACAAACATGGTAAGTTCACGCTGATTTCCCTCCCTTTCATCATCTCAACTCGTATTCTCAAGGAACAGGCTGATTTTTTAAACATGGACTACGACCGTATTACTGTCGTCTGATAGCGCCTCAGCGGCCTCATCTCAAATCGTCGTCATTCCATTCATTTGCAAATTCTAGCTCTTCACACATCGGGGGTTTCAACATTTTGCCTCTTCAAGATTTCAATCAAAAGCAGGTCAAGACCTGGCTAGAGCATTCCAGACCTAGCCTAGAGCGTTCCAGAGCACTCTAGATTACCTTTCGAATGTAATTTCACTGACGGCAAAAGGTGGTAAAATGTCAGTTTCCCCGCTGTGTCAAGATCCCCGCCAATTATATCACGTCACCCTAATAATAACACTACTCTAACCCCTATAGGGCCTGCCACATCGTTTCACCGACCGGCGGCGAACTCAAGAACCTCTCCAGAACGGCATTGGTTCGAAACAGATTTTATGTAAGTACTGATATCACTGACACGAACAGCTATTCGAAACACGGTGTTTATCAGCGACTCACTAGTGACTGCGCCTTCATGCACAACGTTAATACAGTTATCATGATTTTTGGGCCGTCACTATCATGTAGTTCACTCTGGTGACCCAAGTCAATTTTTCCTACTAAGTAATACATCTCTAGTTTATATATCTAAAGTTTTGAAGAAAAATATGCAACTGTTCGAGCACAACGTCCGAAACAGTGAGGGGACCTTTTTCGGTCATTGAGACATTCTAATCGATTAGCTAAGTGCCTTAACAAATTAACCAATAATAGGCTACGTCCGAATGGCAGCTCCACTAAGCAACAAACATTCCTTCGCTACACATGTTATTATCATATTTGAGCAACTATAACATACGTTCTGAAGAGCTGGGATGATCCTTAATGCATCCTCAGCACTTTCATGTCTTTCGAACTCATTGATTTTGTGTAATGTAGGTTACAATTTTCAAATTGTCTAAATGTGGGCTCTTGAACAGCAAAGAAACACTTCTCGGGTACATTCTGACTGATCAACATAATGTAAAAGTTACCATGGAACAAAATACATGTCACCTGAATGCACATAAGCAGTTTCGAAAGATAAAAATATGTTGTTGTGTAAGGCAAGTTTTGTATCAATGAGTGATGGTGTTTCACTGACCCATTGATTACTGCGGTTTCTCTGTGACATCCCCTGTTGCGGTAATATACGGTTGGGGTGAGCAAGATATACTACTTACTGAGCAAAATATTGATGTCCTTATGCTATTCTCCAGCACTGACATTCAGATGAGAGGTAGGTTGATGGTATAACCGGAGCAGCTATCTCACTACAAAATGGTTTTATAGCTTTTGAACTAGTCTGGGTGAGCAGATTCCTATGTCAGATGAATAACTAGAGGATTCAATTAATTTTGGGCAGAAAGCAATGCTGGTCCCTCATGACCGTTCTATCTCAGTGTACGTATCTTATATTATGAGTACAGTTGGCAAGTGTGCTGAGCCGAACTGACCTAAAATGCTTTCCAGGAGCATGCACACCTGTCGACCGGCAGCAGTGTGTAGTACGGGTACTACTACAGGAAGTGATCGATGTCTTGGCACTTGTTGGGATGCTCTGCAAACAACACCGTCTAAATTTTCGTTACTCATGGTACTGATTTGGTGAGAAACCAATGTAGGTTGCCCAGTGCCCACCCACACTCGCACAAAGCTGATCGTCCATTGTGGCAATCGCCAGTTTAAGACTGAAGGGCCAGGAAGACCTAAAGACCAAGGAAATCGGCGGTTATACAGAACTTTGAAACCCCGTCAGCCTAGGATCTGGAGCCGAAATTACTTCGAATCAGATGAAACGCCTCCAATTGATTCGCATCCGATCCCTGGTGTTGCAGGTTGTACCGGTATCGAAGTGCGACACATCCCATACATAATGATATCTCCGAACTTGTTCACAGTAGCCAGCGTTCTGTCCTCACGCTGTTATCCTGTGTTCACCGTCAGGAAGCAGAACGAGCTATTAGCCTGTGGGCCGTTAAGCATGCCGAGAACTTGCCGGGACGGGTTTGCTTCTGTTTTTTAGTGAGGTACAACGCTCACGCTTTCAGAGTTCTTATATAGGCTTAGCCTACGAGAAATCAGCAGTCTTAGAGCTAAATTTCGAAACACGACTATCAGCTTGGTGCCGTACATCGGTGACACTTACATAATGAGAATTGATATATAGGACACCGCATCGTAAAACGCGTCCACCAACGCCCCGCTCACTGACACCAATCCTTGACCAACCCCTAAAATATGACCGTAGTGTCAAATGATCCCAGTTGGTGGCCGGAAATTGAATTTTATCATGTTGGCAGCTATTGTGCAGGTTCGTGAAGGAAGTCGGATGATGTTGGCTCTATCTTTGACTGTGGTTCTGCAGTCGCTTCTACTGTCGCAGTGATATACGATTGGGGTGAGCAGGGTAGTACTTGCTGTGAAAATTACTGATGACTCTATACTATCATCTAGCACTGACATTTGAACAAGAGGTAGGTTAATGCCATCACCAGAGCAGCCGTCTCACTGCTAATAATGGTTTTATAGTTTGAACTTGTCTGGGTGAGCAGAGTACTAGAATAACCGAATGATTTGATCAATTCGAGGTAGAAGAGACGCTTGTCCCTCATGAGTATTTTCTATCTCAGTGTACGTAGTTTATGTTATAAGTGCAGCTGGCAATTGTGTTAACTTCGAGTTCTAGCTGCGCTATGGTGGAATACTATACTCGATGTATGTTTTCAAGGCAGACACATTAGCGTCGTGCTAATAAGTTATCTCTTCCAATCAGCCTCGATGTGCCGTGTATGTCTTTTCACACACTATACCTATGTTTGTTTCTTCTGACTTGTGGTATGAAGCAAATATGATGTCACTCTCGGTGACAGATGCTGTGAGTACACCACTTCCTGCCATTCCCGTTCGACTCATTGCACTCTACATAGGGGTGAGTTACATCCTCGACCTGCTTGTTGCTTCAATATATCGACCGAAACAGATGTGAGTTACTTGGAGCACTCAATCTTCCTATACTCATCGACAATTGGATTTTCCAGGCACTTTTTTTGCTTTCGAACAATGGTGGATCATGCCCATTGCAAACACCATCTTGGGTGGTGAGCTATTCAGCTTCAGTACCTTGGTGTTGTTGGCTTGACTGAAATGTCGCACAAGTCATCATGATTACTCGGTTGCATGCTATGTATCAGCGATCCAGAAAGATGCTCATCTTTCTCGTTGTAATCTTCCTTGCCGTGACGATTCCCAGTGCAGTGATCAGCGTAATACAAAGCGTGCACCTTAAAGGAGGTAAGCTTTAATAATTATGAGTGATTCGGCGCATCAGGCTCATAAGATGAATAACAGAGGAATTTGTCCTTTCCGGTTTTCACGTGTGCATTTTTGAAGGAACCGTTCAGCTCCCAGCAACCATCACTTGGATACTTGGCACTGTATGGGAGGTCCTAGCACTGTTTCTTGCAGTCTGGATTGCTGTAAAGCACTTCCGTGAACGACCACCGACAGGGTCGATGATCGAGGACACTTTTACGGTGTTAATAAAAAGTCACATAATCTACTTTGCATCGTGAGCTCCTCACTTGAATAGGATTATCTAACGCTGAAGTTCCGCGCGTTCTAGCTTTGTTGCTGTCGCGTGCCTTGAAATGAGCATGTTGTCTCCAAATCTCTGGGTACCCTTTATCTATCACTGATTCGTCGGCCAATCTGACCACTTGTCTATATAGAACTCATCTGTGGGAGATCAGATTTATTATGGCATTGTGCAAATGTCTACGCTCATGCAGATGTTTGTGTTGGGACCGCGCCTCATCCTTAGCGTTCGAGAATATAACGCTAATGTCGTGACTGACTCTGAGGAAGCGCCTTGCGTTAGCGCAATTGCTTTCCAGGAGCGCACATACGTGTCAAATGGTAGCAGTGTGTAGCACGGGACATACTGCAACTTCAAGTGATTGGCGTCTTGACACTTGTCACGATACTCTGCACTATGCAGGGAACACGAGTCTTGGTACTAAGTGCTGACTTGGTATTTTAATTGAAATAGGTTTGGGGCAAATATGTACCATCACGCATTGTATACAGCAGCATCGCTTCTATTTAGTAGTCTATAGCATCTACTTATTGGTTAGATTTGAGGAGCGATGGAAAAGTGACGCATTGGACCCGAAATCCATGGACACCGGGTCTGATGTACGCCCACGTCGTCCAAACTGGGCTTTATGAAGGACCTTCGTCTTTTGGCTTTGTTCTAATCGACATCGACAAATACGGGAATGGGAACAAGGACCTACAAGGACACACATCCAATTTCAAGACAACGCAACGAATCACTTCAAGAATCAAGACGAATCGGTCGGATCCCATGCCAGAAACCTTGTGCTTAAAGCGAGCAACATCTGTCAGCGCTCAGGCCTCAGGCTTCAAGAACGACACTGTATCATACCCATTCGTCTCGCGGCTCTTAAGAGTAGAAATCGTCAGTGAGGTGCGGTAGATGGACTGACTGGGAGGCTCGCGTCAAGACAGGCTGTTCCGTCTCGTCTTGCAAGGTGGCGGTCGGAATTTGTGATGACGCGGACAAGACGTAGTTCTGATTGGACTGGTGGCTATCTCGTGTACGAGGCAACTACTTTCTACACCCGTTTTCCATAGAGCTCGTCCTGGCCACTCGGTCACAACATACATGACCAGAAAAAGATGACTGATAAAAGTTGCAAGTTATGAAGGACAGCAGAACGTATACGTACTCCAATACCCCAAATTTCACAGGCAGCAGGAGTAGTCTCCCGTAGGCAAACCAAACAGAACGTATCGGTGAGTTCATGAATATTAATCATAGTTTACTTTGGTGTGCTGAGGATTTGTGATTTTCCAGCACGTGACCGACGCGTCGAGTTGGCAAGCACGCACAAATAGCTTGTTATAAATATGGCGGTACTCCCTAAATTCGCATTCGTCGAATATCTTGCCAGCGAACTTTACATCTGACGATATTCAGCCATCATGTCTTCCATCACTTACGTCGGCAAACGCGTGGCTATCACTGGGTTCTTGTCGGTTTATTTCTTTCGAGAAACCGTTGTCCGACCTACTGTTCAGCTGAGGTCCGACCCGAAGGTTTCCGCCAGCCTGGTCGTGTCGGAATTTTGCATTTCAACGATCACTCTCATTCTGGCCGCCAACTACGCTGCACGAAAGTTCCTAAGCATGAACAACGGTACCTTCACCGGCAACAACGCTACCGGCGGTATCCCCACTGCTCCCAGTCCTCGCCCGCCCGCCCATTTAGCCCTAGCACCCAATGATTACGAATCCTCCGATAATCCATGCATGATCGAGTTACCGATTTCATCCTCGCCTTCAAATTCCTTTCAACAATTTTCACCATTTCAGTCATCGTCATCTGTATCAACGACTCGTCTCCTCATTCTCGATTTGCCACTCAACTCCAAATGTAACCGCCTCTCAATAAATTCTGATACTACCCTCGTCGTCCACGACGACGACATTCTCTCGGACGAAACCTCATGGATCAAAGACATTAAGTTGTCTGACGACGAGAGGACCTTCCACGAGGTACGGAGTGTCATACCCTAGACATGCGTTGGCTAACATTTTGTTCGCATATAGGAATATGCTACCGCACACCCTATGCACGCCCAAGACGAGCACAACGTCGACACACTACCCCCATCTGTACCATTCCATCCATTCTTGTCACTTGTATCAACACCTCTCGATTTGCCTACCTTCACCTCCGATACTACTCTCGTGGTCCACGACAATGTTCTCCTCTCTGACGAAGCCGAGCACACCAAAGCCATTGAGTTGCCTGGTGACGCGGCCGAAGGGACTTTCCACGAGGTACAAGCACACCCTACGCTCGACCCGCACGAACACGACACCCTACCCCCATTTTTCCCATTCCAATCCTCGTCGCCTGTATTTCAATCAACGTCCCTCGATTTGTCAATTATCGTCTCAACCTGTAACCACGAACCAGCATGCACTACGCCCGACAAACACGAACACCACGGTGACTTCGACATCCTACCCGCGACAACAACAACTATCGACATCGACTATGGACCCTCACCTATTAACACTAACCTTGATACTGACCTGGCCCTTCCTGGACCCACAAATCCTACTAACGCATTGACTCAGAAACTGAAGGCCACCCACCTCCGAAGTGGCCAGAAGTTCCTCCCAGACAAAATCAGGTCTGCCAGACAACAAAGGTACGTACCTGTTCATCGCTAGACTATGGCACTCATCATTGTTTATAGCGCAAGCCTCGAGCTTCCCGACTGACTACTGCCCGCGACAGCATTGCACGTTCTTGCCACGCCAACAAGCTCGGTCAGTCATTTTGTCGTCACGTCCCTATTGCTCGTTGACTCAGTACAACTAGTACGTCACCTCGTGCACATTTGCGAACGGATTCGCGTCGACCACGCAGCCCTCATTGACACCTGGGTTGCTGGCATGACAGAGGTGGGGCTCAGCTCGCTGCTGACCGGACACCGTGAGACGTCGCCAGCATCACCGCCCTCTCCCATAGTGGACGAGGTTTCCGCTCCAGAGCCCGGTTCACGCATGAAGGCCCGCCTTGCATCACTTCGCCAGCGAACGCATGCGGTCGCAGCAGCAGTTCCAGCTACCACCGCCACCGCCACATCTTCATTGTCCTGGCAACGCACCGGTTCTAATGCACTTCGACATCAGAAGTCCCGCCCATACAAGCTCAGGGTTTTCTTACAGCAAAAGGTACGAAGATGCTTATCGCTAGACTACGCCACTCATCTCGTTTATAGCGCAAACCTCGAGCTTCTCGCCTGAATGCTGCCTGCGACAGCATTGGGCGTTCTCGCCTCCAGCGACACGCCAACAGAATCAGTCAGTCATTTTTCGTAATGTTCATGTTGCTTGTTGATTTCTGTACAACTAGTACATCACCTCACACACGTATGCGAACGAATTCGTGTCGATCAATCAGCCCTCCTCTATAGCTGGGTTGGTGGCATGGCGGACGTGGGGCTTACCTCAAGGCTGACCAGACATCACCCCATGTCGCCAGTATCACCGCCTCCTCCCAGAGTTGACGTGTTTTCAGTTCCAGAGCCCGGTTCACGGATAAAGGCCCACCTCGCATCACTTCGCCAGCGAACGCATGCGGTTGCAGCGCAATCCCAACCACCACCGCCGCCGCCGCCACCGCATCTTCACTACTCTAGCAACGCATTTCATCATACCATTTCGCACCCACCCGCTTCACTTTGGCGCACAGAAGCACCGCCGCCTAGCCGGGATAAATCTCACAGGCCACGAGAGCTGAAGAGAACGCCACGACGCCGCATCACGACCATTTCACGACTCTCAAGACACCACGACTGACGCTATCCGAAGGAGACCACCTACGACACTGAAGACTGAGAACACGAAAAACGCCACCATGCTAACTGAAGATCCCTCTCATGACACCCCTCCGCTATCCGCAGGAGACGACTTCATGACACGAAAGAACACGAAAGACGCTACGACGCCATTTCACGACAATTACGACTGATGACACTAATCACAATGGCCTACTTCATTGGGAACACCATGCTCCCCCACAAGACCCTGGCGAGACGAGATTCGACCCGCTTTCAAGTGCGACACCACGTCCTTGGTCGCTGGAATCGATGTACAGGGAACCCAGTGACCTCGTCCTGTGGAAACACTTCGCTTATATCTACACTACCCTTTCCCTCGCTTGAACCGCCTGTTCTGCACATTCTTGTATTTAATCCCTCATGTTTTGTTTGCTCGTATTATATTTTGTTATTCGTATCATGTTTTGTTACTCGTATCGAATATCATTCTCGCAGTTGTTTTTAATGTTTCTGTGTTTTCTGATTTTTACCACAATTAGCTGTCCCAAAAATTGTGTGCACACCCAAGGATCTCGATGGACCGTGACGAGACACGATCGTATCGAATATCATTATTAGTAATTCGGATTCCACATTCGCTGTTTACAGAAGGAGATGGGAACAACATACTCGAGCTCAGCTCCTACTACAAAACTGCTTTCGCTAAACCCTCTCAAACGTAATGAAAGATGACTGATGTGATTAGCCTGCTCACGTTCCCAGAGACCTCCAAGGCATTCACCGCCTACCGGTCCACAGTAGTCGACATTGACGATCGGTCGGCATCTCATCCACGCAAAACCCCACGTTTGGACGCCGACTCTGACTCTGGTTCTGCTTCTAGGTCGCGCGATTATCTCAAAGGCAAGAATGTCGACAGAGCTGGCCCGACTAAGATCCAGGTGCATGGATTTGCAGGTATGCTTTTATTCTCATGCGGGATGTGGTGCTCATGAGAGGCTGCGATGGGTGTTGTAGGTGGTGCGGTCGGGTCTGCGCTGAACCATGTTTATGATAACTTGTTTGCGCGGCTGAGAGGCAGTATTGGGGAGTTGTTGACCAAGGGATCTTATGAGCTTCATACGACGTATGAGGGTGTTTACACTGCGTGCCGAGGAGTCGTGTGTGATGCCGGGAGAGGCGAATGCTTGTACGAGGCGCTGAAACTTGAGATCGATAAATGTGTCAGTCGGCTGGCGCTAGAGCTCGAGAAGGCCAATAAGGAAGTGGTAGAGTGGATCGGACAGTTCGTCGAGACGTGTGCGTGGTTCGAAGAGCAAGTGGTGAGTTGACCGATTGTAGCTTCGAAGATTGCGATTTGATTCATGGACTGTCGTCAAGGCACTGCTGGAATCGCTTCTGACCTATCTTGACCGTGCTTATGCGCTGAAGAATCCTAGTATTCCTTCTATTCAGTGGGGTTTCCTTTATCTGATCTATTTTCATGTGCTGACGGCTCTGAATTTCAGTGACCTCGCATTTACACGCTTCAGAGAGCGCATATTCAGCAATTCTGACATTGGCGAGAAGCTTCAGAAAGGAATCGAGACATGGGCAACATGGGAGAGGAACGAGAGGTATGCACGCTCTTCCACGTCCATATATTCATCTGTCAGTACTTACACAGAACACTCATAACCTAGGGAAGTACACATACACCGCCCCTTCCTCAAAGCGCTCGTATCCCACCTCATCACGCACCACGTATATGACGCCATTTTCGAGCGATACTTCGTCGAGAAAACTCTCGCGTACTACTCGAACGAGTCGTGTCAGAAAGTCGAAATTGAGAAAGCTAGCGCGCAGGAGTTCCTTGCGCACTGCAAGGAGCGGATCAACGAGGAGCATGGTAGAGCGAGGGATGTGATGCTTGATAGCACGGTCGTACTTGTGAAGGAGAACACTGTTCGGGCGCTGTTCCAGGGGAGGCTGGAATGGATGTCTAAAGAAGGTTGGTGCGACTCGATTTATTGGGTCTTTGTGTTAAATGATATCATACAGTTGTCGGGCCGCTGATGGAATCCAAGAACACACCTAACCTAACAAACGCGTATGCACTGTTTTCATCGGTAGATGGCCTGCCCGTGCTTTGCCGGGAGTTCAAGGGCTATGTCCAGGCAGGTTTCGTCTCGTTCACCCAGCTCTCCCGCTGATACATCAAACTCTAGAAAACAGTACAAGGTATCGTGAAGGATACATCCAAGGACGACGAGATGGTTAGCCGTCTCCTCGAGTTCAAGTCCTTCGCAGACACAGTGCTCAATGAAGCGTTCGTCGATCCCGCCAAGAAACAACACAACCAAGACTTTTCCTACGGGCTCATCGATGCGTTCACCAAGGGGTTCAAAGCCCGGCGCAATAAGCCTGCTGAGCAGATCGCAAAGCACGTGGACAGACTCATGCGCCATGGACAGCGAGGCATGTCGGATACCGCGTTTGAGGCGATGTTGGATGCTGCCCTTGCGCTGTATAGGTTCACGGATGACAAGGATGTGTTTAGGACGTTTTATCATCGGGCGCTTGCGAAGAGGTTGTTATTGGAACGCAGCGCATCTGATGATTTTGAGAAGGCCATGCTGAAGAAACTCAAAGAGAGTACGTACTGGAGTGCCATTTTGTTTCGTGTTGCATGCTGATAATCTGGGCAGAATATGATCCAGAGTTTGGGATGGGAGATCACATGTTCAACGACCTTGCGTTGTCACGAGATATTATGCGGGAGTACCACGCTCGTATTGGGGACGAGAGTTCTGCGCAGAATCTCTCTGTCATGGTGTTGCAGCGCAGCGTCTGGCCGTTCCTTGCGCGAAAGAAAGACGTGGACTTGCCCTTTTGGGTGAGCGATGCAGTTTACTGGTGTGTCCGCGTACGCTTATGGTATGTGATATAGATGCAAGCAGATCTGAACAATTACACAACTTTTTACAAGATCAAGCATCAGGGGCATAAACTCGATTGGGATCATTTTCTTGGGACTGCTACGCTGAAGGCGCGGTTTGCAGCTGGTCCTAAAGACCTCACAGTCAGCTTATACCAAGCTGTTGTGCTGCTTCTCTTCAACGACGAGACAGAGATTGGGTACAGACAGATCCTTGAGGCAACGCGTATGGGTAAGTATCGTGTTATCGTACAAAGCTGTCATCAGATACTAACGTAAGTTTCGAACCAGACGATGCGGAGCTGAGGAGGACGCTGCAGAGTCTGGCGTGCGGGAACAAGAAGGTACTGAAGAAGCGACCAGCGGGGAAGGAAGTGAATGACAACGATATGTTTTACTTCAATGCGGAATTCACCGATCCGCGAGCGAGAGTGCACATCAACTCAATCCAGGCGAAGGAGACGGTAAGTTTCTTTTCTTCGTCTAAAGCGTATATCTGATTCGGTCTAACACCCTGTTTAGGCCGAGGAAAACCAGCGGACTCAGTCGCACATCGAGGGAGACCGGAAACACTATTTGGATGCTGCGATCGTACGGATCATGAAAGCGAAGAAGGAGCTTTCGTATGAGCAGTTGAAGAATGAGACGATTGATGCTGTGAAGAGCCATTTTGTGCCGGAGGTCAGTGTTATTAAGTCGCGGATTGCGGGGCTTGTTGAGCAGGAGTATTTGAGACGGGATGAGGATGATATGAATATGTACATTTATGTAGCGTAGGGACGATGATGTTTATTGACGACGTGATATAGTCAACTTGTATCGTTTGTGTATCTCCGTAGCTCCTGTCTGTCGCTCATATGCGTATGCACCTAGAACAGTGTCGCCAGGGAGGGACTGCTTTCCCTTGTTGATAGCGTAGCTCGACATCATACTTCAGCAGAGTTTTCACGCCTTTTACCGCCTTCCTGTTTGTGAGATTTTCGAATGACGATGAAGAGTCATTTACCGAACGGTGGGGGGTGGCTCGTTTTGACTGGCCTGGGCGATGCCGCCGTATCCTGCAAATGGGTCCAGCTGAGACAGGTCTCAGTCAGCGGACGGTTGAACCAGACAATCTGTATTGTGTTCAGATATTTTCGATGTAGATTCTCTTAAGCATGAATGTCGGACCGAGGAGTTCGGATCCTCCCTCCTGGACTCCCAGCTACGACATCCATGCTTGATTGCAGATCAGTGAGAAAATGATAACGGTCGATTTGCTTGAGTATATTCTTCATTTGCGTCTTGGAGTTATTGTCCCAATACTCGAAGTCGGTCTACCTATTAAGTTAGTTATGACCTATACCAAAACCAAGGTACGCAGACCGACCTGCTGTTGTTCTAGTTCGGGGACTGTCCGATCGATAATGATTCCTGGATGAGGTACTCGACTTTACAGACGAGGGACCTGTCAAAGCGTTCTTAAAGGTCAATAAGGAAGAGTAGGAGAAGAATGCTGAGCTCTTGTTCAGTTGCCGCTCGCATATCCGGATTCCGGATCCGTAGGTTGTGTGCCCTGATGAAGAAACTGATGAGTTGGATGCATATGTAAGAGGAGTGTACACGGTACATTCATTTGCAAGGTGTCTTGCCTGCTACTTTGTACGACGCCGGACTAGATTGACAGAAAGCGTGAAATTAGTGGGCGAAAGACAATATGAGGACGGGGATGATATGTGAGAGTGTTGTGCCTGGATCTTCGTTTTTGTACGTGATCGGTGGGGAAGGTCTGACTTGCCAGACCTCTGTTGCACGGAGTATGGGAGCAATCTGAAGTCGGCGTTCGAGAGATGGGAAGACGAAGAAGGCGGGCAGAAGAGATGCCTGGCCTTCTGAACATGTGCTGACTCCTGAGATCAGCCTCGAGGTGCGGGGATAATGAAGGATCGGGTAGAGGTGGAAAGATCTTGCGCCGAGTGCTGGAACAACTTCAAATCTAAAAAGCCGACTTGGTCGAAGTTCCTCTTAAAGTGCATTTGAGCAGTTCGTTTTTGGTTTAGTTCAGGTTTGCGTTCGTAAGCACACATTTTTGGTTAGGTTAGGACCCTGAGGCGGTTGTATCTGCAATTATCAAGATAATCGAAAACAATCATAGCTATCTTGGAGTCTATGACTTACCTATACGGAACCCGAGAATCAGGGATTATGCCGAAAGGCTAGGCCCCTGTATTGGTATATGTCGTTCGTAGGACCTTAAGGGTCTAGAGCGCAAGCCTCGCCTCTAGCAACCCACCTTAGGTATACCTTTCTTTTCAAGGCAGGTCATGAGTGAATGAGTCCGTAACTGCTATCGCAGCCTACCCTTAACAATAGGGCACGGACCATTTACTCCTGCCCAGACATGCTTAAAAGGAAGGGTTCCTACGTAGAACTAGAAGTACAAGCGGTCGGGGCAGCTGCCTCCCGCTTTACTAGCCCCTCCCTCCCATTGTAGTGGCGCCCTATCTTCGGAGACGGTGGACTGCAGCACGCAGTGCACAGCTGCCCCAGCAGTTGAGATGACATATCTAAGGTTCCGTAGTGGTGAAACTCCGAGGAGGTTCACCACTACAGAAGTTTAGATATGTCATCGACTTTCGGTGATGAAGGTGTCTTGCCTGCCTGATACACATCTTCAGAGGACTACACGTTCTTCAGGCTTTCGTCCTTTCCTTGGCGGTGGTTTCACTTCTCAGCTGTCTCTCCCACCCGACTGGGCTGCAGATAGCTTACAAGTGTTTTCGACGAGGCTTTCTTTCGAGGACTACAGTACACTATTTCATAATGTATATGTTAGTAATGTATAAATCTCATCTTGTATCGAGTTTTGGCAGCTCCCATCGTGGTATGCGGGTAGACGCCCAAAAAATTGTATAATGTATAATGTATAACCTTCGGAGGTCCGATATACACTATGAGATATGGTTTGTACTGAGTAGGACCACTGCTGAGTTGCCGGAAGTTGATGCATAACAACGTTGTAAGATGAACAATTTTATAGTCATTCTAGTCCCAATGGTGCGCAGCCCTATGAAATGCCAGCCACATCCAAAACCCGCCCTCAAAGCGGCGGAGGCTATCGAGAAACTTGCGTCAGTTGCATGTCGACGAACTGGGCTCGTTCCGCCTCTCACCAAGGCACCTCAGCTCCAAACTCTCAAACATGAATTGATGAAGTCCATAGAGGAGCTTGCAACACGAAGACAGATCATTGGCACACCACTGACTGTTGACGAGATTCTCGACCCTCAGGAAGAGAAGTGGATTGGGGAAGTAACTGGTTATGGAGATGATGGTGCAATTGTTGCAGAAATTCAGTGCCGGCAAGGAATTAGGAGCGGGGAGCTGGTTGAAGTGGAATCAGATGATGAGGCAGACTGATGATCAACGGCTTGCCTCATAGATGGATTGGTCGCGAGTCTATGCGGCACAGGTTGAGTTGTAATCCTTTGCAATCTTGGTCGTAAAAGCAGCAGCGTTATCCTATGAATCTATGGGCACTTTGAGATTCTGCCACTTAGCTTACAATTACACAATATTTGGGCCGTTCAGTTGATGGTGTGATCGTCCATGTATCACATCGTGATCAACGTGCGATAATGGGGGGAGGGGACTAGATAAGATACCGCAGGTAGACCATAAACGAAAGGAGATAGCACTCATGTCGATTTAAATGATACATAGTCTCCTGTAGGCGGACCAAGGCTGATAGAAGGAAGACAGTCCTTCCTTCTGATATGATACTTACACGTGATACATCGCTGGGAACAAGATACCATATGAGCCTCAAAACAGAGTATGCGGAGCTGAGGAGGACGCTGCAAAGTCTACAAGAAGGTGCTGAAGAAGCGCCCGGAAGGAAGTGAATGATGATGATGTGTTTTACTTTAATGCAAAATTCACCAATCCGCGGGCGAAAGTACACATCGACTCTGTACAGGCGAAGGAGACGGTAGGTTTCTCGTCTTGCGGTAAAGCGCATCTGCATCTTTGATCAGGTTCGCTGCCCTGTTTAGGCTGAGGAAAACCAGCGGACTCAGTCGCACATCGAGGGAGACCGAAAGCACTTTTCGGATGCTGCTATTGTGCGAAATATGAAGGAGCTTTCGTATGAGCAGTTGATTGAATGAGACGATTGATGTTGTGAAGAGTCATTTTGTGCCGGGGCTCGGGTGATCAAGGATCGAATTGGGGCCTTGCTGAGCAGGAGTATTTGAGATCGGATGAGGGTGATATCCATTTGTATATTTATGTGGCATAGGGATGCGTGATGTTTATTGACGTGACATAGTTGCATTCCATGCCTCCTGTCTGTATTCGGAGGGTTGTTCCTCTGGCCATGCACCTAGATGAGGGTATCGCCAGGGAGGGACGACTTCCCCGTGTTGATAGCGTAGCTCGACATCATGCTTCAGCAGAGTTTCACACCTTCCTTTTTTGAAGGATTTTCGAATGACAATCGGAAGGAATCATTTACCAGATGCGGCTCATTTTTATTGGTCTTCCTGGCCGCTGTCGCGTCCTGCAAGTGGGTCCAGCTGAGACAGGTCTCAATCAGCGGATGGACCATCTGCATTGTCCAACATCGTCCGAAGAAATTCAGATATTTTATGATGTAGGTTCTCTAAGTATGAGTGAGCCGTTTGCAAATGAGAGAGAACGCGATGGCATACTAACTCGCACGGTCTACGGCTTGTATATACTCTTCATTTGCGTCTTGCATTTGTTGTTCCAATGCTTGAAGTCGGTTTGCCTTACCGGAGTTAGATATGACATGTATCAGGACGTAACGTGCGCCTGACCTGCTGTTCTTCCGGTTCTGGGACCGGTAATGACTGGATGAGATATTCGATTTGTTTCGCCTTTACAATAAGGTCCTGAACGAGCTCGTTCTTGTTTGCTAACGAGTGGTTTTAATCATCGCGACTGAGCGTATACATAAACACGCACCTTCGAATAGTTCTGGGGGATCATATTTATCTGGATTGCGTATTTTTGTGATGGGTATTTGCTCGCTGACTTGGAGGAAGGTAGACCTGGCGGTGAGGTAGGCGATGGTGCTTGACATGATTGTAAGGAGCTGAAATGCTCTGTTATAAGCTGTTGGTTGGGTGAGACTAGGAGAGCTTACGCGTTGGATCTCATCCTGGAGCTGGGTGATACGGTCCATGTGCGAGAGTTCCTGCAGCATGGCGCTGCCAGAGGGGCAGGGAGCTTGTGTGGCCACTGGCAAATGTCTTAACTTGACGCCGCTTGTCAAAGAGCGTGACGCTTACTCATCACAAACTTGATCTGCTTCAGCCAACATGGGAAATGATGGAGGCAGCATTCCCGACAGACGAGACCTCGTAAAGAACAAACCAAAGGCAGAACAAGCAGACAAGGCGAACCAGACCCGTGCTAGATGGTTTTTCTGCGCTCTTTCAAAGGTGAGAAATCTTGTTTCTGGTGGCTGAATACTTCTGACAGACTTCCTAGCGTCCCTTGCAAGAACCCATCGTGTCTTGTGCTCTTGGTAAACTTTATAACAAGGATGCCATAATAGAGCATCTACTTGATAAGACCGTCTATGGAGATGCAGGGAAGATATGCGGACACATTCGTTCGTTGAAGGTGCGCGATGCTCTGGTATTACTACTAAGATGGGACTGACATGTTACTCGACAGGACATTAAAGTCCTCAAGCTCACTCTAAGGTCTCCACCCCCTCCACCCGACTCATCTGCCGACGTCGCCAAGTTCGTGTGCCCGCTCACATTCAAGGAGATGAACGGTGGGCAACCATTCGTCTACATCTTGACTTGTGGATGCGTCTTCTCTCAGTCTGGTCTGCGTACCGTCCTCGGCCCATCACCTCCGAACGGAAACGCTGCAGCTGAAGAAAGTCCAGCTGACAAGGACGACCAGCTAGAAGTCTGCCCACAATGCGCGACCAAATTCTCCAGGTCGTCCGACATTTTCATGATAAATCCACCTCTGGAAGAGGAAGAACGCATGTACGTTGCGATGGAACTTCGTCGTTCACGAGAGCCTGCGAAGAAGTCCAAGAAGCGCAAGGCTGGTGCAGATGCTGTTGCTGACGAGGTCGCTACCAAGAAGAAGAAAGGTTCTCTAGAGGATCACTCGCCTTCGCCAGCACCGGGTTTGAACCCGAAGATATCTGCAGCATCGCGATCTCTTGCTCAGAGTCTTGCTGCGGAAGAGGCGAAGAGGAAAGCTGGAATGAGCGATGCGGTTAAGTCGTTGTATCGGGGCAAGAATGATGCTCCTAGGAAGGAAACATTTATGACCATGGGTACTTTTACAAGAGTGAGTTGTTCATTTGCGTGTTGTATTAGTCGTAACACTAATTCGGGCCCTGTGCAGTATGCGTAAATATCGACTTTTATCGCGTGTAGCTCATAGGTACGGAGGGTGTATGTTGCTGTATTAGGTTATAATTTTTGTATAATCATTTTGCTCAGATGCATTGGTAGCTTCCCACGAAACGTTTCATCTTTCTCGAGGATCCGGTTCTTCTGCCTGCAACAAGTGCGATGAATCAGTGAGTGAGATTGTATATGAAGAACGCATGTTTGAAGGTCTCGTAGAGTCGTAAACAAACAAATGCGGCAAACAACCCACCCAGTAATGCTACGTATGGTGTTGTCCTGCCCTCTCCTTCCATTCGGTATGCCCTGTCATCATCCCACCGCTCGTGAGGCGTGCCGTCGTACCCGCCAGTCAATTATCCATTGCTCCACATTGACACTTCGTGGAGGCGTTCTGCTTTCGCAACAGCTCCCTCAACTCTGCCGATTTTCCTCGAGCCTTGTCATGGTGAGCCCCATGGGCACCTTTTGTTTCTGATGATACGATCAATCGCCCCGTGTTGACTTCCAAAGCCTCGCTCACGCGCGCGGCGTCTATGCAGGACACGAGGAGGTTGGCGCCACCATGCAGTTTCTCCGGAATGCCAGTTCATAGTGAATACTATAACGTTCTACAAATTACCATTTCTCCTTTTTCATTTGGTCCAAAATTTCCGCCACTACAACTCGTTCAAACACAGTGGATTTCTCTTTGCCAAGTGCTTGTAAGATGAATTTGTCCTTCGATGCAGCTGACAAGCTAGAAAAATGATTGAGGTGCTCGTCTGTGCATAGGCCACCCTGGATGATGGATCGATGGAAACGAAGAAGACTTGGTGTTACGGAGTCTAAGCAGGCCGGCAAGAGCGCTAGGCGCGAGGAGGAGGCCGTAGCGGCCTCACGATCGACTCTGTCCGCCTGGGTATGCCTAGCGCCTAGGTGGACGACTGGAGCGACATCGACTCTGTCCGCCTGGTTATGTTTGGCGTCTAGGCAGACGACTGGAGCGACGCGAGACTGACGAATCGCCTGTTTAAACTGTAAGATATGTTAAATGATAAATTTTGTCAGTGGAATAGGGAATCCAAACCTGTGTGTTCTCCGCTAATTCCTGCTCGACATACATTAGACAACCAGGTAGTAATCCTTAGTATAGGCTTGAAATTACCTCCAGCTTATCACGTTTTCGAAACTCGTGTCGAATCAGTACGTCAACCGCCCAGCCATCTTCGTACTGTGTCAAGAACGACAACTCCGGGTTCAGTAGGATCTGCAATACATATTTCAGCCTTGGACATGCCGGCGCTCTGCAAATTAGATATCGCTTACCTCACGTTTTAAAAACTCCAAGCGAGCCTGAGGCTGATTCACGTACAGCACAAAGACATCGAGGTGACGGATTAACAAGGTTCGGATTTTTCTCTTAATAGGAGCAATAAGCCGAGCCTGCAATACGACACACATTTCAGCAGCTACTCACCTTAGTCTGCTGGAAGAGTTTCTTGTTCATACGCAACGCCGCGTGGAAACGGCGCACGGGAGTTCGATTTCGAAGGAGGCTTCTGAGGGTCGCCTGCGAAGGGCGCCTTATAGTGCAAACGTCTACATCTACGTCTGGTGAGGCTGCCCAGCCATCGTTATCACGCACGAATATGATAAGTTAATTGTTTTCCGAACGACAGACTGGCGGAACCCACATTGTCTGGAGCCTGTGCTCTGCGTAGACCAGGCGCGGGAAGTCATACTCTGGTAGGTTTGTGCAGTACCTGCCCAACGATCGTCAATTTATCACGATGGTCCTCAATCAGCTCATCCGGAACTTCAGCATGATCAAGCCTCGGAATGGCTGGAGTGTCTTCGTTCATTATGACATTGATAATCGTAGTGTGGCAGACGCCCGTCCTGTCGGTTTCCTAAGGCTGCCGCAAGTGAGCAAAATGGATGGTTAATATTCTTAACAGCATACCACTCGCCTCGATCCCCGCTTTTTTGCAGCTCCGACGTTAATTTCCGGTATTACAGTTCCAGACAATGCACCCCATGTTGCCTATCTTTGAGACATCAAGCACGATGATTCGAACGCAAGGAGTTATCATTGATAACACTCGAATCTTGTCACTGCCGAACTTCAAAGTCTCTGATCAATCCTTCTGTTACATAATGCATCTACCCTCATGTCAGTGATTACCCCAAACCGTTGACAGGGGCAAAGCGGCCGAGACACATGTGAGCAGCTTGCAAGCAAAATTGGAATATGTGAATGATAAAGATCTGTCCTAACCGGATAAATGTACTTCACAGTTCTACGCGTGGAGCTTATTCTGCGGTTCTTCTGCGCCAGAAGCCGTACCAACGGTGAATTTACTGTTCGCTACAAAGTTATAAGTCACCCGCAATTCAACAAGGTGAGACGTCAATACTTCTCGTTGATCATATATCGCATCGTACGATCAGCTGTCCTTCGATGTGGTCTGTCTATTGGGATCGTCAGTAAGTACTTTGTTGGGGCTCGAGTACCGGCGAAGCGGCCGAAACCTCGGACGCGCGGGGTGTCAGTATTACTTACCGTGGAAAGATCACGATCACATGCCTAACTTAAGCAGCCTAACTGTTCTACATAATCTCATTCATGCTCTTGAACCGCATAAAGGTCACAAGGGAGATCCAGTACATCCAGCATTGACAGCATTCAGAACCGCAGTCATATATGACGACCTTGACTTGAAGTCAGTACTTACGTGCACACTTAAACTTTCTGACCTCCGAGTTACTAAACATGGAAACTTGACCTACTTCGCATGGGTCAAGGGTGACCGACCGGAATTCTGATTCGGACTTTTGGTACATATTCTTGAGTACCTCCGAGGGTCCGACCAGAAAGCTTCCAAGCCCACCGCACAAGTTTTTGCTTGCTCTGCAAAGAGACGTACCAGAAACTCAAGGAGATCTCAACTAGCTTGAGCCTTGGGTTGGTTGATGGTCAGGTGCATCAATGAAGGCAGAGTTGATCCCGAGCATGACATTAGATGGGTTTTCTGCGCTCTTTCCATCAATGGTGAGCAATCGTGTTCCGCCGGCTGAGCGTTTATGAGTCCTGACAGACTTTCTAGCGTCCTGTGCTCTTGGAACACTTTTTGACAAGGGTGACATCTACAACCTCTGGGGATATGGAGAAGATATGCGGACGTTGAAAGTCCGTTCTAGTGTGGTCTACTCTGGGATGTGACCCAAATGTGACCCAATAATTAGACAGGTCATGAATATCCTCAACCCCACTCCAAGATCTTTGCCCCATCCGTCTGACTCGTCACCCAGTTTGTCTGCCCGCCCACGTTCAAGGATATGAATGGCGGACAACCATTCGTATGCATCTGTGCCTGTGCCTGTGCCTGTGGATGCGTCTTCTCTGAGTCTGGTTTGCGTACCATCCTCGAGTGGGCCGTATGAGCACTGCGATAGTTCATGAGAGTCGGCGAAGAAGCACCAGAAGCGCATGACTGATGCAGAAGCTGTTGCTGTGTCCTGTCGCTGACGAGGTCGCCATGAAGAAAATGTAGAAAGGTTCTCCAGACGGCCACTTGCCTTCTCCGCCACCAAATTTGAATCAGAAGACATCCACAGGATCGCAATCTATTGCTGGGAGTGTTGTCCTTGAAGAGGTGAAGAGGGACGCTGGTACGAGCGATGCGGTCAAGTCGCTACGTCAAGACGACCTCTATGATCATGGGTATCTTTACAAGAGTGAGTTATTCATTCACGTCTGGCCTTGGTTCGTGATTCCAACCTGGGTTCTATGTAGTTTGCCTCAACATCGACTTGTATGAGGTGTAGCTCAGAGATGCAGAGTGTATTAACTTATAGGTTTTGTATAACCCCCTTTGCTCAGAATGGATCGGTCCTTGACACTGAACTTTTAGCTTTATCTAGTTTTTTCTGCCGGTGACAGGTGCGATGAACCAGTGAGTGTGATTGGCATATGAAAACGCTGATACGTGTCCGAAGGTCTCGTAATCAGAAGCAACTGATGACGCCTGACTGTAAGAAAATAAATACGGCAAATAACCCACCCAGTAAAGCTAACGATGCTGTCCTGCCTTCTCGTTCTATTCTGTCTGCCCTGTCATCGTCCCACTGCTGGTCATGCGTGCTTTCGTAGCCACCATTCACTTCTCTATTACCCCCCGTTTCTCCTAGACTCCACGCCTTCTTTCCTTTATTTCCGTTTTGGCTCGTCACAATCCCGTTCCGCTCTCGTAAAAGCTCCCTCAGCTCCGCTAGTTTTCCTTCCTCCCGAATGATAACGGCTGCACCAAGTTTAGCCTTGATCAACTCCCTAACAGCCAGTCTGGATTGTTCATATAACTCGTCGTGCCAGTAGCCAGGACCGTCCTTGAGCGGTTTCCCTCTGGTAGTGGTGATGCAGGCGTGCCCATCGAACGTCAGCCCGTGCCTCTTAAATTCGGCTTCGTTCTCCTTCCACCACCCCTCCATTGGATCCTTGTTCTCCAAACCCGTCACGACAAGCACCACAGGTACCTTCTTGCCTGCGATGATGCGATAAAATGCATCGTAATTGACATCCAGAGCCTCGCTCACGCGCGCGGCGTTGATGCAGTACACGAGGAGGTTGACGCCACTATGCAGATTCTGTATCAACCCCTGCAAGTTCCTTGCAGCACCCTCCGAAATCGTATCGTGGTCATCCTCCTTGTGCAGCCCCACCGAGTCCCACAACATCACCTCCCGCCCGCCCATATTGACAACATAACCCCTGCTCGCGAATGCTGCAAGGCCTGGGTCAGATAGACGGGAGATGTCCTGGCCGGCAAGCATGTCGATAAGAGAACTTTTGCCTGCGCCGCGCTCGCCAAAGAGCAGGACATTGGGGAGGGAGGGCTGTGGGGGGAGCCGGCCGCGTGTGTGTGTGTTCACGGGCTCTGGATCACCCCTGTCTCTCGTGGTACCTGTGAGCCGCGCCCAGAAGCCTGTTTTAGGCTGAGGCCGAGGCTGCGTGCGGTTGTCTGTGATGACGATGTCATCTGAGTTAGCGGGCGAGGGCTGGTTGTATCTATATGCGTCATACCCGCGGCTTGGGCCTGCGGTTGCGTGCGACGGGGGAGGTGTGAAGAGGGGGGAGCGCTCATTGTATTGTGGGGCCTGCGCGGGGGCGCGTTGTCTGCCGCGGTCATCTGTGGGGGGTGGGCGCTGTTTCGTGCGGTCGCGGTCTTCAGGGAAGGGCTCAGCTGGTGCACGTTGTTTCCCGCGGTCATCTCCCGGGGATGGGCGCTGCCTAGAACGGTCTTCGGGGATGAGCTCCGCTGGTGCACGTTGTTTTCCGCGGTCATCTACTGGGGATGGGCGCTGCCTAGCACGGTCTTCGGGGATGAGCTCCGCTGGTGCAAGTTGTTTGCCCCGGTCTTCTGCGGCAGATGGGCGCTGCCTGGTGCGGTCTTCGGGCGGGAGCTCGGTTGGTGCCCGTTGTTTTCCGCGATCCTCTACTGGAGAGGGGCGCTGCCTCAAGCGATCGCGGTCACGGTCTTCGGGGATGAGTTCAGCTGGTGCGCGCTGTCTGCTAAGGTCATCAGGTCTTGCGGGATCGCTTTTGGGTGGGAGATCTGTGGGGTGATTGTCTGTGTCAATTATGATCTTTCACAAGTTTGGGGGTGGTTCGCACTTGGTGGTTGTTGTTGCGAATCGAGGACTTGAGGCCGCGCGGCAGGGTCTGGGGGTGCGTCTTCGCGCCTTTCAAATCTCTTCATGTCCTGAGAATGGGAATCGATGCCAATGGATCCAAAATTCATGGGCTTTGGTGGCGAAAGGTCATGGTATATGTACGCTATGCCTCGCCGGTGGGCACATGTTGTTCACGAGCCGAGGCGCACGCGTGTTGGACACGTTTTGTGGTTCTGGTCTTTTGTGCAGCGTGTTGTATTTGTCGGCCTCGCGTGGAAGTGCTATTCTCTCGCGTTTAACGAGGTGCAGGGTCCGTCCAATCATCGAGTGCTGTACGCTTCTATTCATGTCCGTCAAGATTTGGTGGACCCGATTATGTGATGTAATGGTGCGTCTTTCCCTGTTGCAGCATGTATGGCTCAGCGCTGACGGTTGTGGCTGCGATACCACAGGATAACACGCTGAATGGAAGTGCCACGCGTGCAGATTCACCCTCATCTGTGTACAGTGTTACCTTGCGTTTCGTGATATTGAAGCAAAGAAGACGACTTAAAGGTATATCATACGTTTATACACAGTTGAGTTCATCTGCATTCGGATGCGCGCTTTTCCGGTGTCACGTTGCCTTGAGTCGTGCATCGTGCAATATTATCAGGGCACGTAAGTTCTTGGGTTAATTCACAAGCTGCTCGCTGGAGCTCAACGCAGTGGGCATAGAAGGAAGTACAGTCGTCGCGTGATTCTTGTGACGCTGTACTATCCTGACGGGATCTTGAAGATCTCGGTGGGCTTAAGCTCGTTCAAATGAACAAGAAGCTATGAGAAACAATAACGTAGAACACAAGTAAAGTACGAGCAACGCAGTACGTACACTAATTACTCCGTCCCAGTGATAAAGTACCAATACCACGGGCCTTACACTAAGTATCCCGCACCCCACCCCCAGACGGATTCGAGGATATCTGCGCGCCTACTACCCCCACAACGAACTCAATGTCAAAAAAACATCCATCGTCATCCAGCTTCGCATCGAGGTACGCATACCCGCAGGGTACGCACTGGATGTCGATCGTCGGGTACGGTACCCCGTCGAGCACGAGGAACGGGTGTCCCGCCCCACGCATGTATACCGCGGTGAACTCCGCCGCACTCAACTCGCGTGGTTCTGCGTCCTCTCGCATGTGCTCGTCGTTCAACGGAGGACCCTGCCATAAGCCTTGCTCATTGAACACGCAGAACGCGGTGATCCAGCCTGAGAGGTGATTTGAATCGCAATATTTCCCGTCATGAGTTGCAACTCTGGACCAGATATGGAGGTTATATAGGGTGGGGGACGTGTCGAAGGCTGCTGCGAACCGAGAGATGACCGAGTGCAGGAGATGGCACCATGCTATTCTTTCTGTGCCATATTCACGCGGTCGCTCGGATAGCCTTCCAGTCTTACCCCTGTCCCAGGAGCGTCACACGGGGTATCCCATAGGTCAGTCTATATTGCTCATCTTGATCCTATAGCAGAAATACCTTTTCATTGTCGCCATCATGTACATGGCATATACAGTCCGGTCCGCATTCGTCGTCGTGGAAATTTGAGGTATGGCCCAATCCATCAGCAACGAATCCACCATACGTGTGCGATTAAGCTCCATCATCTGGCGCGCAGCGAGAGTGACGATCTCGGTTCTCGACGACTAGGATCCTCTTGCCTTCCTGTGCTACAAACTAGAGTTTTTCGACGCGTGCGTTGACAAAGAGGCTGAATTGGGTGAGGATCGTAATCCAGACGTCACCTGAACAGAGGATGAGCACGATTGTTGCTGTACGCCTCGAGGATGGTATGCACGAACATTCGGATTCGGAATAATGTCACGCGCTGCTTCGAGCTCTGTAAGGAAGGTTTGGAGGTGGTGGAGACAACACTCGAGTTGTTTGGGTGAGGTCTTTTTTTGGATCAGAGAAAGTCCTTTGGGGTCGTAGACCCTATGTCGGACATGGTTTTGTTATATGCTTTCTTGAGGTCTTTTGATAGTATACACCATCGTGTGGCCCACACGTTAGCTCTTTTGAGTCCTTTCTGCCCGTATTCCGCCAATGTTGTATACACAGAACTGTTATTATAATGCGTAGTAGTAATATTCCTAATCCCATTTGTTCTGTACCGACCGAAGGTCTTCGCTTGTAGACTATGAGCTGATGACGTCGACCACTATCTACTCCTATTGAGGCAGATGGTTAACTTCATTGGCTTGACAGGCGGAAGTGCACTCACATTGTCGCGGCACCAGCACAAGGAGAAAATCGACACCATCTCCTCGTCCAGGATAACAGCAGATGTCTTGCACTGATCAAGAATGTGGTCACTGACTACCTCTATGTAAGGGAGGTAGGCTGTCACTAACACATACTGCTTAGGGTCTAGTTCGTGGAAAGTCGTAGGTCCCTGAACTACCTTGCGGAGCCCCACGCAACACGGCGGAGGGATTGAAATCCATCAATCAAATGCACCGACGAGTAGGTGTCAGGATCCTTGGGATCATCAACCCATACAATACGAGGTTCTCCCGTATACTCCAAATATTATCGTGCCTCGAAGGTAGCGACTGCTAGTTTTGGCGGCACATTTGGCACTCGTGATGACGGCTGCAGCCTACTGGAATGGTATATCTGCATGCGCTAGTTTACCCCCGGACCCCATGACAACCACGGAATAGTCAATCCATCTTCTGAGGTCGTATTAAAACGATAAATATTCGTGAAAGAGGCGGGCGGTTATGACAAAAATCGAACCAGGGCTGTAATAATCCGTCACGCATGTGACTCGGTCTGCGGGGTTTGTTGTCTAAATCCAATGTTCATCTGATGTGCACAACTCGAGGCACTATGGAAAACCGAAGTGATATCGAAAGGCAAAGTGAGGCGTACGAATGGGCAGCGCGAATCTTGCCTGAAACTGCGGTGCTTTTGACAGGTCCTCGACGCCATCAAGATCTATATAGCCGTGTGCTGTGAGAGCTAGCCTAAGCTTCTCCGTGGTAAGAAAGCAGAGTTCGCGAAAGCGATGGGCTTCGCCAACCTGACATATGTATGTCCTTCTGGAAAGTTAAATGAGAACTTTTGAATGATAGACGAATGAAAACGTTCCTTGCCCGTGGACAAGGGCCCATTTGAGAAGCCGACTTGGTCGAAGTTCCTCTCAAAGTGCTTTTGGGGAGTTTGCTTTTGGTTTAGTTCAGGTTTACGTTCGTAAGCACACACTTTTGGTTATGTGTTCGGCATCTCCACCAATCGCATGAGTGCGCTACTGAAGTCGTAAGCGTTCATTTCAGTGGTTTTGCAGATGAATGTGTGGAAATTTACCTAAATTTACTCGGTATTTGGAGTTGGAAGTTTGCCATATGTCGGCGGTCATCTAGTATGTAGCCTCCGTGAGCTGATTCGTCGATTCCAGGAACTGGATCATCCCTGTTACATGTGTCACAAGGGCCATTCGCCGTCTTTCCGATAGTGTCCCATGATTCTTCATCGCCGGGAACATAGTACCAAGCAAGGCCAAATTTTCGATGACTGATGGACCAGGAATTGAAAACCTACTCACAATCAAGTCTTTTCGCCACATCGAGCTTGAAGGAACTCCACGCGTCCACCTGCTCTCTGAGTGTGCGCAAGTAGTCTGGTGTGAACTCGGAGACAGTAGTTGACCGTGATGAGCCTGCACCAATCCTTGGGCACCAGGTTCAATGGCATATTGCAGCTCCACAGAGTTTTTGACTGTCGTGGACATCGTTCGGCAGGTCTTTCATAGGGCAGTTCGGGGCGTTTGTTGATGAAGTCATAAACAGAGGGGGCTTGACTCACCAATGCACAGCGTATAATGTCATCGAGCCCAGGATATGACATCGCAATTCCTCTGCGATATCAGAGAGGGAGAGCATTGGTCCCGGTGAGTCTGTGTCTCCGAAGTGGGTTGGAATATTACTTATACCATCTCCTTCCCAGCCCGCCATAGTCGTTTGCATCGTTGGCGTATGTGTATTGGATTGGCAGTACTTTTCTAAGCTGAGTTTCTATTGTGCAAGGCGCAAAGGGTGAATCATGGGCTGAATCCCGGATGCAAAGGGGACGACTCATACTCACACCTGAGCTACAAGTAAGACCTAGGCAGCGGTCTAAATCGATGGGGTTGTCGCAAAGGTCGTCTTTAGCCAGGCACAGCGCGGCACCGACAGAGATGCATGTTGCCAAAGCAGCAATAACAGCGAGCGCCGAGGAGGAATGAGAAACGCATGGCTTGCGCTAGGTGATATGGGATGCGCCAAGGGGGATCTCGAATAATAGCTCTGATACTGGCAGTAGGAAGACGGCCTGCTTTTATATCTTAGGAATAGGTTTTTGCGAAGCACTCGGCAGTTCTACCAGGTTAGTTGCGCCTGGGACTTCAGGGAGCCTACTCGGAGAGCATAGGCAGAACCACTGCAGGGTCGGCGGATATTCCACGAGTGTAAATGTACTGGAAAGCACAAAGCCAGAGCAAATTCTTACGAATCCTTCTCCGGGTGCGCAGTGTTGCAAGGAAGATGATTTAGCCTGCTTAGGAGAGACTCCATACCAATTCGAATTCATACCTCAGAGTCATAGCATCACGGAAGGCGATAGTCACGTGATGTACATTTCACCTTCTAATCCTAACAGCACCAAACATGCACCCCAGAATTTGACACAACTTCAGAATGTCGCTATTACATAGTATTCGACGAGATTTTTACGAGTCCCTCGTGCCAGCGTAAAACATGATGGTACAAAGCGGTGAACAGGTCTCAGTTCGGTGACGTCCCAGCTCTCCTCCACACTCGCTTAGTCATTCTATGATATTGTCAAGAATGTTGTTCGAACGTCATGGGGGTCATGACCTAGTTGGTGATACCCGGGCCCAACAGCGAACCGTGGCTGGTACTTATGACCATACAGCAGCAGTTCAGTCCAGCCTCTCGGCTAGATTAGACCCCTCCTTTGCAAGCATTTTCATCTTTTCATTGCACAGCAAACCACCAGGGTTCAAGTTCGTTTGTCCTCCTCTTGGGTTTTCGCCCGTCACCCCCACTCAACGAAGAATCCACCGATTTGAAAGGAGTTTCTTCAAACCACAGATGCTTTGATTCAAGGGATAATCCATCTTGCCTGTGAAGTCATCGTTTCATGAGGTTTCATGAGAGCTGTATGGCATATGCCCTAGCATCTACTACGACGGAAAAGTTCCGTCGGTTATCTGGGCTCTGGGCCTGATATCCCCTGCATGCCAAACAATCAGAAGGCGGGGTAGTAGGTAAGTAGTGGCAATTTGAAATGCCGCTTCCTCATTCCGGTCGTCGCTGGTTGTGCTTTATTGTAACAACTCATCAATCGCGTTGTGTATTCGTATTCAACTTGGAGTATCTTCGTTGATTGAATTTGTATTGACCCCTCTTATTCCACTATCACAATGTACTAGGTTCGATCCTCAAAAATTATCCCTTCCTTGCTATACCAGCATTGTACGGAATCTCCACCCATGAGGCGTTTAACCATACTGGCTCCAAAACAGACCTGATAGCTCCTTGGTTGTGTATTGTATCGCGTATTTTGTACATTACTGTAGAGCTTTTCTCTTTTGGTTGTGTTCGAGGGGAGAAGGAGGGGGTGATGACACTCGTAGTGTCGGCGTTCGCGATGGATGAGTGCGCCTTGTATTAGTATTAGTATTGTATATTTGAATCATGACCCCGTGACTGGTCGTATCGATGTCAAAGTGAAAGAGTTCATCACGAGTAGTTCGAGATACATAAAGTGATACAGTCAGTATTATAGGTGTAGGATGCGTGGTGTGAAACGTGATCCACGCACGATCAAGAACATCGATCGACATCAAACTACCAACGTTAAACCTGTTGACTCGGAGATGGATCCGCTGCTATATCGAGAACGGCTCATACCGTTAACGCAAAGACGCTACCTCAAAAGCGTATCGAACTGCTAGCTCGAAGACAATTCGTTCGCTTTCCGCTCGGCAGTAACTAAAACCATCCAAAACAACATCAGCAAGAACCAAGTACATAATACAACCGCATCACGCACCCCATGCTCGTCTGTCCATGGGACATTGCTGTTTCGAAGCAGTTGTCCCTATCCATTTTAGCAAGCAGTGCATGTGGAAGACGTGGCTGCATTCGCCCCAGACTGTGTGTTCAGATGAGTGGTTAGATGAGTGCGGGTGTGAGGGTAGGGTTGTTAGTGTTTTCCTAGTGCTCGTGATACCCTCAAAGCGAAGTAACGCAAGAGAGGAAATGGGTAGAACGCAACAAGAAAGAACGGACGGAACGGAAGCAAACGAAAGCTCAAACTCACTCAACGGACAATCATCGCCCGGCATCTTACAGGACGGACAACACCCTTCAAACGGGACGCGACAGATCCCGCAGACGTCGCCTTCATCGTCTTGGTCATGGTTGGTGTGACCTGTGTTCCAGCGCCATTGGGCAACGGCACTCCAGTGTTTGATGTGCACTTTCATGTGTGTCGGGCGTGGTGCGTAGCTAGTGGAGAGGAGGAGGGTTTGGGGTTATTTGGTATTGTGTACGCGTCGTTGCATAAAGGGTTTAGGGTTGGAGGTTGAATCACGTGTTATTCGTCCCGGCTCATCCTCTCTTTGTGAATTCGGTTTCACCATGTCTGAGGTCTGCGTTCATGAAGACTGGAGAGCATCTAGTAGGGTGACTTGTATACGGGAGATCGGGTCGAAGACTGATCAACTGGTCCTAGGCCTTCCTAGGCGTCCTGTCTTCGATTATGCGAGCCGCTTTGTATTATCGGTCCACATTCTCGAAGACAGGAACCGCATCCGGGGTAATTCGTGTGCGGACGGTGCTGCGGTTGCGTCGCAGATATCTATTGGTTGTTTCTCTCGCTCTGGCATCTAGCTTGTAGACATGACTTGGTTATGGTAAGGACAGTTTATCGTCGACCACGGCACTCGATTAATGACTTTCATTCTCGTCCACATCGTTCTCGACTTCCGCATAGATTTCTGTTCGCACCCAAAACTTTACGCAGCTCTATAGTGTACGCCGCGTAGACACGTTAGCTCTTTCTCTCCGTCCATTCTACCAACATTGTATGCACAGAATTATTATAATATCCATTTGTACACTTCGCTTGTAGACCATAAGCTGATGACTTCGACCAATGTCTGCTCCTGTTGAGGCAGATAATATAGAAACGATTAACTCCATTGGCTCGACGGGCAGAAACACGTTCACCTTACCGTGGCACCAGCACAAGGAAAAAATCGACACCATCTCCTCGTCCAGGATAATAGCAGAAGTCTCGCACTGGTCAAGGACGTAGCCCCGACTACCTCTACGTAATGGAGGTAGGTTGCCACCGGCATATCCTGCTTGGGGTGTGGTTTACTTCTGTGCAAGGTCATAGGTTCCTAAACTACCTTGCCGATGCCACGCGCCATGGTGGATGGTTTGAAATCCATCATATGAACCGACGAGTGGGTGTCAGGATCCTTGCGATGATCAACCCATACAACAGGAGATCCTCCCACACCAGATATTCTCGTGCCTCGGAAGTAGCGACTATTTTGTGGACCCCATGATATCCACGGAACGGTCAGTCCATCTTTGTTAAACTGTGATGGAGGGATATTCATGAAAAGGAGGCGAGCACTGTGCAAAATCGAAGGATATCGAGAGCAGAAGTCGAATGCATTTACGGGCAGCGTGAATCTTGCTTGAAGCTGCGGTGCCTTCGTCAGGTCCTTGACGTCGTAAAGCTCCATATGACCACGTGAGAGAGCTAGAAGCTTCTCCATGGTAAGAAAGCAGATATCGCGAAAGCAGGGACCTTCACCAGCCACATGTATATTCTTATAAAAGGTTAAATGAGAACTTTCGGATGATAGATAGACGAAAACGCTCACATCGGCTTGGCCACCTTCATGCCAATTCCATACATGCAGCGACCACCTCTCCGTCATCCAGGTCCACCCCACGATATAGATCAAGGCGGTCTCCGAAGACGTTGACCAACACATGATTATACATACGTGCCGGTGATGAGAATCGTTTACTCACGGCGCCAACTGTGATCCATGGGCCGAAGGATGATACTTGCCCGTGGATAATGTACGGAAATTTACTCGGTATTTGCATCGGGGGTTTGTCTACCATATGTCGACGGTTACCAAAAGGTCGTGCATCTCATCTATGTAGCATCTGTGAGGAGATCCTTCAATTCCAGGAACTGGTTCATCCTAGTCCATGTGTCACAAGTGCATTTGCCGTCTTATATGTGTAGATCTCAGTATCGACAACTTTAGATGACTGTCCAATGACTCTTCATCGACGGGGTAATAGTCCCAAGCAAGGTGGAATTTTCGATGGCTGATGCACCAGGAATTGAAGAGCCGCCCACACTGAAGTCTTTTCGCCAAATCGAGCTTGAAGGAACTCCACGCGCCCGCCTTCTCTCTGAGTATGCGCAAGTAGTCTGGTGTGAACTCGGAGACAGTAGTTGACCGTGGATGAACCTGCACCAATTCTTGGGCGCCAAGTTCAATGGCGTACTATCGCTCTACAGAGTTTTTGACTGTCATGTACATCGTTCGGCAGGTCTTTAATGCGGCGGTTCAGGGCGTTTGTTGATGAAGTTATAAATAGAGGGGGCTTGACTCACCGATGAACAGCGTATGACTTCATTGTATGAAAGAAAACCAAGGATATGGCAGCGCAATTCGTCGGCAATATCAGTGAGGGAGAGCATTGATCCGTGACACAAGGAAGGTTCTTGGTTGTGGTATGATGACAGATAATGCATCTTGCCTGTGCGGACACGAGCTGTATCCGTATGACAATGCTATGAAATCCGAGCTTACAGTTGACTAAGTCCTGCATTTCCTTTGAAGGTTGCTGTCTTACATATGATGTCGCCTTGTATGTAGTCATGTCCTGATTGTGGCAGGGATTCTTCAACAATGAAATAAAGCACGGAAGTTGAACGGAAACGACCTCGGAGTGTGGTAATAAGTAATTTAAGGTCGGAGTGTGAAATTGAAGTTGCCTGTAAACGCGACCCAGGGCGACAGCAGCAGCTAAGTACTTACCAGCTCAGCAAAATCCACGCGCGCGGGCCTCGTTTTTGCGGAACGTGAACGTGATAGGACAAGGTAATGAAAACCCCTTACCCCGACTTATGTTTCATTCAGAAAATGAATACTGATATCGGTTCTGCTCAGGAATACCACACAAGCCACCGGAAGGCTATCCCGCGACGCTTAGCAGGTGCTGCTGTCGGGTTTTGGAAAGGAATCGGCTTTTCGACACCCAACTTTTCCAATTCTTCTTCAGCTTCCCTCAAATCTATTGACCCGTTGGATCGCCCCGAATCCCCCACCATGTCCACCCCAGATGTCCCTACAACCCCTCTCACGAATTCCAACGGTGCCCTCCCCCATGACAGCCCTGTAGATACGCCTCCTTCCTTCGATACCTCACTTTTTCGGTCATATCTTATGTCACTCCTGCCACCGGTACTTGGTGCTCAACCCGAGGAGTTCGTAAGCTTATTTGATGAAGAATTCGACGAACGTGTCACTCGCTTTGCCGCAGAAGGTGGAGGCGTGATTTATGTGGTAAAAACGAGGGACGAGGCAGAGGGTGAGCTTTGCATCAAGTTTTGAAACTGATCTAACGCGTTCCAGAGGACGCGCCGCCTTCTTATTCATACCACCTCACTTCACAACTGACTTACTCTCCTGCGAGTGTTACATCACTTGCACTCATCAAACGTGGTCCCACTTTGGATCCTGTAACTCCTCTTGCCACACAACTACATATCCTCAATTTGTTCGGAGGCGAAGAAACGCCATACGAGAGTTTGCATGCCGTCGTAAGCTGTGGCGTTAAGCCATGGTTTGATGCTTTTGTTGGAGCACGGGGTGGGGGCAAGGATGGAGATAGTAAAATGGGTATGCTCCCACTTCCTTTCTTTGGCTTCACTCACTTGCGTTTATAGGGATACCCATGACCAAGAAGAAGTTTGCCGAACTGGAATTGTCATTACTACACCTTCAGCAAAACGTGGAAATACCGGAGACGCATCTGATCATTCATCCAGTCATACAGCGCGCCGTAGAACAGGTCAGTTCCTCCACCGTGACGATATTTGTCTATAAGCTGAAGATGTCACACCAGGCCCAAGGTTCAGGCGTCCGTCCGAATATATCGCATATACCTCAAAAGCACTTAAACGATAGTTCGTTCCTCAACACTTTGCACGGACACGTCAACATGTGGATAAAGGCTATTCAAGCAGTCACGAAGCTCACCCGTGACGTTTCCTCTGGTACCGCGTCGCAAGAAATCAATTTCTGGCTCAGTCTCGAACGGGCACTGGAGGGCATTGAGACGCAACTACGCAGCGATGAAGTGAATATGGTCATGGAGTGCCTTCGAAATGCGAAGCGATATCTCGCAACGGTCAGTTTTATGACGGACACCGGCCTCAAGTCTTCTACGGATCTTGGTACGCGTTCCTTCTTGCATAGCCATTTGAGTATTAACATATATCATCAGTGCACAAATACAACCAGCTCATGAAAGACTTTCCTCTCAATGAACTGTTATCTGCAACGGATCTCGAAAAAATCCAAGAATCGCTGGTACTCATCTTTGGACACATCAATCGCAAGCTCAAGCTTTCGCCATACCCAATCCGTCGGGCACTTCCCCTCGTCGAGGCAATTTCTCGCGATTTCAACGACCAGCTATTGCGCGTGCTGACGTCACATAGGTTATCGTACACGCCTTACGAGACCTTTGACCGCTTACTCGGACAGACCATGAACATCTTCCGGACGTGGGATGACCTCATAAAGGAGTTCACGAACGTTGCCCGTGAGGTTATGCGTAAACGCGGAGAGAAGTTTGTCCCCATCAAAGTAGTTGCTGCGCACGCGAAACTACAGGAGCGGACAAGGTATCTGCGAGATTGGAGGAAACAGCACGAGCAGCTGGCGGTGATGACAGGGCCTACGAAGGGTTTGGGCAGTATGACTAAGGAGGTGGGTGGAATGGATATGGAGGAAGAGGTGAAAGAGGCGTATGAGGTTGTGAAGCGCATTGATGTTCTCGATGTTTCTGTTGGTGAGCACCTTGGGCTGGTCCTCATTGAAATTACCTCATTCCCTTCGCAGAGGGCACGGAAATTTGGGTGGCTGCTGAGAACGCATACAATGAACGGGTTGCAAGGGTCGAAAACCAAATTATTGCACGGCTACGCGATAGGTTAGGCACGGCAAGAAACGCGAATGAAATGTTCAGAGTGTTCTCCAAATTCAATGCACTCTTTGTTCGCCCCAAGGTAGCTCGCTTTGTTGGGACGATGTATGTATCATTAACCCCGTATCCCGCAGATTCGTGGAGCTATCCAAGAGTATCAAACTCAACTCATCGACTCAGTAAAGGAGGATATCAAGCGACTTCACGATAAGGTAGGTAGCCTACTCTTATATTGTCTCCGTTACTCATACGACCTTCTAGTTCAAAACGCAATACCGGTCTTCTGAAGCCTATCACATGTCGCAAATGCGCGACCTACCTCCAATAGCAGGTGCCATAATCTGGGCACGGCAAATCGAGCGACAGCTACTCACCTACATGAAACGTGTGGAGGACGTACTTGGCAAGGGCTGGGAGCTCTATGCGGAGGGTCAGAAGCTTCAGTCAGAAAGCGCCGCATTCAGGAAGAAGCTCGAGACACGGCCAGTATACGAAGCCTGGCTGCACGACATCAACCGGCGCGACATGGGCGTCAATGGCCGTCTCTTTGAGATTGTGAGATTGCGGGGAGGGGGATTCCAACTAGCGGTCAACTTTGACCCGCAAATTATCACGCTCTTCAAGGAGGTTCGGAATTTGTTATGGTTGAACTTCCAGGTCCCGCATGCGATCACGAATATGGCGAAGGACGCGAAGCGTGTGTATCCTCATGCTGTCAGTCTCATGGAGACTGTCAGGACTTATGGGCAGACTCTGGATCTGGTGGAAAACAACATGGGCATTGAGTGGTTGGTTGCCGAGTACCGCAACGAGGCTCAGCGGATGGTTGCCAAAGGTGACTAGATTCGGATGTCGATTTATGGGCTCTGACGGTTTTGTGCAGGTATGGGCATCAGGTGGGATTACTTCGTCAATCAATACGACACCGCGCGGTATGTTACCAGTGCCGATGGCCGCGAAAACCGACATATCCAATTCGTGCGGGAGTTTGCGAGTGTGGTGTCTGTTCTGCAGGACAAGACTAATAATGTCATTGATCTGTATCGCAGTATTCTTCGAGCAGTCGAGGATCTCGCGACTTGCACCTATACCAGCGAGGCGTTTTCAGAACTTCTGGGCAAGATTCAAGCTGCCGTGAGTTCCTTTTCCTTCTTATTGTTTGTGTGCTGAGTATATGCAGATCGATCGTCTGAATCTCGAGGGATACGCTAACCTTGAACACTGGGTGGCTGATCTCGATAAGCGGATAGAAGGGATTTTGCTTCAACGCTTGGGTTATATCATCCAAGTTTGGTGTTCCGAGTTTGATCGTACGGATGATGGTGATGCGCGCCGAGATCCACTACCTTTGCGGGACATTACCAATAAGCGACGTTTTGGCAAAGGCGGGAAAGAGGAGAGGGTACGATCTTTTGTTCGTTCAAAGCTACTAAGTGCTGACTCATCTTTCTAGGTCGTCGAGGGCAACATGACTATAAAACCTATTGTTCACGAGATTCGGATACAGAACCAGGTGATCTTCCTTGATCCGCCCATAGAATATGCTCGTGCGACTTGGATAAAGCAATTGCATGACTGGTTAGGTGTGTATGTTGTCTTCAATGATCGTAATCCTTGCTAAATTCTGGGACAGGTATCATCTGTCGACTGAGACGTATCCAAAGTTCCCGGTATGAGATCGGTTTGCAGATGCAGGGCACGCAAGTGTCAGAAACAACATATACCTCTCTTGTGCGTATCTCCCTCAATATGTCGATGTGATCACGTTATTAAGAGCTCTACTCAGCTCACACGATTCTCCGACGAGACTTTAGAACGACCGTTTTCTCTCATAGAACTCAAAGTTCAACAACTCAAAGACTACGTCGCCAAGTGGCTCCAATTCCAGTCCCTGTGGGATCTCGAAGCAGAATACGTCTTCAACCGCTTAGGCGACTCCCTCGCGCACTGGCAACAACTTTTAACAGAAATCAAAAAAGCCCGCTCGACATTCGACAGATCTGAAACCCAAAAAAGTTTCGGAGTCTGTGTGGTAGATTACGAACAAGTCCAAGCCAGGGTAAACGCCAAGTACGATGGATGGCAACGGGATATTCTCAGTCGGTTTGGTGTGAAGCTTGGGAATGCGATGAAGGAGATGCATGCTTCGATTATGAAGGCGAGGAATGAGCTGGAGCATCAGTCGATAGAGGGGTTGGTTGGAGGAGCACGAAGATTTTGATTTTGAGGAGTGGAGTGGTGATGTTTTTCTTTCGATACCCATCCCATCGCGTCGTTCGTTACTTGGACCTCATTTTTCGTTCTGCATGCCCATCATGTCTAGTGTATAGGTTACGCGTAAGATTTTGTAATGGATCCTGAGCTTGAGTACTTGAGTGACTGACGCTAAATTGCCTCATCTATTTCTGATGGCCCTTGCTTGTTTTCTCATGACGAAGTCATGATCGATTTGATCAAGAAGGAATAACCGAGACTAAGACTTCCTTCTATCTTGGTCTGGCTTTAGAAGGCATGACTATCTTCAAGTTCATTCTATTCTATTACTCTCCGGGCGAATGAAGGACACCGTTAGTGTATCTCGCTATTCCTATCTATAAGGGTTCGCTGATAAGACTTTTTCTTTTCCCCAGTCGCCATTTCCTTGCAACGCCACCGTGACTGACATCTTCTCTTTGCACACCCTCAAGGGTCGAAAATTCGTCTCAGGCCAGAGACTCCTTCCAATCAGGGGAACATCACCTTCCGGGATCCTGGAAGCGGCGTTCAACCTGTGATTGTGATTGGTGTTCTTAGTTTGCCATTAACGTTATGGCAGGCTTATTGGGCACTATTGGTTACGCGGGGATCCGTCGGAGGTGCACAATAGGTAGGTTTAGGTGCGAGCCTGAGTGTCTATAGAAAATAACATGACACGAGCTTGGAATTGAGCGGGCTTGGACTTGAGCAGGCTTGGAATTGAGCAGACTTGGAATCGAGCAGACTTGGAATTGAGCGGGCTTGGAATTGAGCAGGCTTGGAATTGACGACGAGGTTTGGAATCGAGCAGACCTTTCAGAAAAGTTGAGTGCTTCAGCTTCAGCCAGTTATCGTGGTCCCACAGTGTCCTATATGTCAAAATTATTATGTCTGTGAGTGACTCATCCCCAACGTCAACTTCATGCCTGGCTGCTGGTCTTTCCGTCTCCCTAGTAGTGGAAACTCTATTCCGAGTTCTCTATATAAGCGCTACTTCTTCTCCACTCGTCCTCAACAAATTCTACTTACTTGTCTACGCTACTTGCCAGAGGATAGTGTGCCTCTGACAAGTACTTCGTCTCAGTATCATCCACAACTTCTCACCTCGGTGACCTAATTTGAGGTCATGTCATCACCACATCAAAATCTGTCGTTTGAAAGATATCGTCTTGATGGAATGATGATATTATGTGCATTTTATGGTGTGTTTCCGTTGGACATGACAATCCGGAAGTTGACCTATGTACCGCAATAGGCATATACCTTCTCCTTACAGTGCAAGCCTTCATTGCTCTCGTGCAGCGGCCTCGACATGGGGGGAAAATTGCAGAACATCGCCGCGCCCTTCTTTTCTACGTCGTCATCACGTTCATACTAGGGACGATAAGCACCGCTATGAACGCAAAGTATACGGAGATGATCTGGATAGACAATCGTGACGATCCTGGTGGTCCGCTCGCGCTAGTCGAGCACTACATGAGTTATAGTCTCAACGTTATAGCCCTTGCCACGTAAGCGTTCTTGCCCATCTACCTCCGGTATTGACACCCCGCCTAGTGGCCATATTCAAGAGTGGTTTATGCAGGCCCTGCTCGTGAGCCGAATAGTTCGCTAGATGGTCTGGGACAGGCCTGATACTTGAATACTTAGCTTCACCGATGTTTTGTGATATGGAATTGGGCAAGATGGGTGATGGTCCCGATGATCACAGTCTATATTGCCATGATTGGTACGGTTCATTATTCACCAACCGACAGCAGTCACTGACAATTTTGAGCAGTGTTGTCTATCCTCATCGTGATCGAAGCGAGTATCGGAGCTTCATTTTACACCAACCCGATCGAACTTGCCTACCTCTGCATCGAAGTAGGGCATACTGTGCTGTATACCATTCTCGTGACGAATCGTTTATTCGTCATGCGAAAGCGCATGAGGCAGGTCATGGCCCAATATGATTCTAGCACATATGATGCCATCGCCCTCATGGTCGTCGAGTCCGCAGCGTTATACGCCGTCTTTGCTGTTATTTTCATAGTTTCCTTTGCTGTGGGTGCTCGCGGTGTCACCACTATGTGCTTCCTGTCCATTGGCAAAATTCAGGTAAGCGGACAAACCCCCAAGCTATTTGTGCCTCTGATGCTAGTTAAACTAGGGCATTGCCCAATTGTTCATCATCATCCGCGTTGCACGGGGACGGGCAGTTACACGCGAGTGGACCACTCAATCTATTCCAATACCTACGGCTATAGCATTTGGCGCGGGCACTAAATCGGACACAACAGAGTCAATCCACAATGAACAAATAGCTAGCCCAGAGCAGGACGTCACCCACTTGCATTCTACTTCTGAGAAGGCGGCGGAAGTTGCAGTAAAAATCGTATGAAAATAGTTTAATTTTATACTTGCTTTATACTTGAGCTTGAATGTAACTGTCTTTATTTGCGCTGCGGTCTGTTTAATGTTGAAACTCTGAGAAGCAGATTCGGCATATGACGGAATTGAGAAAATGACCAGTTCCTTCAAGTTCCAGTGTCCACATCACATACGGTTGTTTTTTAAACACGTGACGGGCGCGTCCAAGTTGGCAAGCACGCACAAATAGCTTGTTATAAATATGGCGGTACTTCCTAAAATCGCCTCCGCCGAACATCTTGCCAGTGAACTTTAGCATCTGACGATATTCAGCCATCATGACTTCCATCACTTACGTCGGCAAATGCGTGGCTATCACTGGGTTCTTGTCGGTTTATTTCTTTCGAGAAACCGTCGTCCGACCTACTGTTCAGCTGAGGTCCGACCTAAAGGTTTCCGCCAGCCTGATCGTGTCGGAATTTTCCATTTCAACGATCACTCTCGTTCTGGCCGCCAACTACGCCGCGCGAAAGTTCCTTAGCATGAACAGTGGTACCTTCACCGGCGACAACGCTGCCGGCGGGATCCCTACTGCTCCCAGTCCTCGCCCGCCCGCACATTTAGCCCTAGTACCCAATGAATATGAATCCTCCGATAATCCATGCATGATCGAGTTACCAATTTCATCCTCGCCTTCGAATTCCTTTCAGCAGTCTTCATCATTTCAGTCATCGTCATCTGTATCAACAACTTGTCTCCTCATTCTCGATTTGCCACTCAATTCCAAATGTAACCGCCTATCAATAACTTCCAATACTACCCTCGTCGCCCACGACGACGACATTTTCTCAGACGAAGCCTCGTGGATCAAAGACATTAAGTTGTCTGATGACAAGAGGACTTTCCATGAGGTACGGAGTGTCATACCCTAGACATGCGTCGGCTAACATTTTGTTCGCTATAGGAATATGCTACCGCACACCCTACGCACGCTCAAGACGAACACAACGTCGACACACTACCCCTATTTGTACCACTCCATCCATTCTCGTCACCTGTATCAACACCTCGATTTGCCTTCCTTCGCCTCCGATGCTACTCTCGTGGTCCATGACAACGATTTCCTCTCTGACGAAGCTGAACACACCAAAGCCATCGAGTTGCCTGGTGACGCGGTCAAAGGGACTTTCCACGAGATACAAGTACACCCTATGCTCGACAAGCACGAACACGACATCGACACCCTACTCCCATTTTTTCCCATTCTACACATCCTCGTCACCTGTATTTCCAATGTCTCTCGATTTGCCGATCATCGCCTCGACCTGTAACCACGAACCAGCATGCACTACGCCCGACAAACACGAACACCACGGTGACTTCGACATCCTACCCGCGACAACGACAGCTATCGACATCGACTATGGACCCTCATCTACAAACACTAACCTTGATACCGACCTGTCTCTTCCTGGATCCACAAACCCTGCTGACGCATTGGCTCAGAAGCTGGAGGCCACCCACTCCCTCCGAAGTGGTCAGAAGTTCCTCTCAAACAAACTCAGGTCCGCCAGACAGCAAAAGGTATGTACTTGCTCATCGCTAGACTACAGCACTCATCATTCTTTATAGCGCAAACCTCGAGCTTCCCGACTGACTACTGCCCGTGACAGCATTGCGCGTTCTCGCCACGGGCGCCACGCCAACAAGCTTGGTCAGTCATTTTGTCGTTACGTTCCTATTGTTTGTTGACTTCAGTACAACTAGTACGTCACCTCATGCACATTTGTGAAAGGATTCGCGTCGACCACACAGCCCCCGTTGACACCTGGGTTGCTAACGTGGCAGAGGTAGGGCTCAGCTCGGTGCTGACCGGACACCGCCCAACGTCGCCGGGATCACTGCTTCCTCCCAGAGTGGACATTGTTTCAGTTCCGGAGCCTGGTTCACGCATCAAGGCCTGCCTTGCACCACTTCGCCAGCGAACGCATGCGGTCGCAGCGGCAATCCCAGCCACCACCACCACATCTTCATTACCCTGGCAACGCACGTCCTGACTCATTTTTACGAATCACCGTTTTACGTCTGCCCACGTTCAACCTCAGCACCAAGAGCCACGAAGTTCACAGGCCACGAGAGCCGAAGAGAACAAGATGCCACGACATTATCACGACTCTCAAGACGCCACGACTGACGCTATCCCAGTATGGCATTCAGAACTGGGAACACGAAAAAACGCCACGACGCATCAGAAGATGACCATTTCACGACTCTCAAGAGACCATGACACTATCTGAAGGAGACCACTCCATACACTCACGCCTGAGAACACGAAAGACGCCCACAACGCCATCAGAGGAACGCCACTTCACGACACTCACGACTGACGACACTAATCAAAACGGCCCACGTCATTGGGCATACGATACTCCCTCACAACTCCAGCGAGGCGTGTTCCAGCTTTCAAGTGCGACACCACGTCCTTGCCAGTCGCTGGAGTCGATGTACAGAGAACCGAGTGACCTCGTCCATGGAAACGCCTTGTTTATATCTACATCATCCATTTCCGTGGCTTGCACTGCCTGCTTTGGACATTCTCATATTTAATCCCCATGTTTTTGTTGCTCGTATCTCTTGCATTGAATATCATCATGATTTATTAGTAATTCGGACTTTACATATGCAGGCATTCGGCGGTAGGAATCAGCGACTCGACGGCAAGGTATGACCAGCCGATACTTGTAGAGCTCGACATCTGACCTAACCCACCCCAAGGAAGCAAATAGAAGGACGATGCAGCAGAACAACTTGAGACTACTTATACCAATTCGGCGGCACCTGAATTCCTGCGAATCTGGAAACAAGTCGTGGCCAACGACGAGAAACACTGAAGAAACACGAAACAAAACAGAACCACGTTCTGGATTGCGAGACGACGACGGTAAGGTACAAGCTAAGAGAAAGAGGTGTCTACGATGCAATGAACCATATGTCATGTGTACGTAAGCCACCAGGCTTACAGAATCAAGGCATTTCCAACATCGACACCCACCGTTGTGTGCCAGATGAACACACCATGACAATTAACTGGCTCGGCTCTCAAAGTAGCTATAGGTAAGAAATCGGCACATTTCAATCGAAGGGCAGGGGAGGAGAAACGCCATTCGGTAATGGCATCATTTGAAGCTTCGACTCTAACTTGAACGTGGCTGGATATTCTGCTCAGTCCCATCGGTGACCTTGTCGAAATTGAACACGTGGTCAAACTTCTGGTCGTGCGAAAGCATCGTATGGTACGCCTCGGTTGTCCCCCTATGTGCCATCAACACTTATCCTGAAAGTGGATAGCACAAACATGACGACGACATTCAGAATTAAGCAGGCTTAAAAAAGTTTGGCGCTTCGGCTTTTAGCTCAGTCCCACCGAGTACCACATGTCAAATTATTATGTCTGTGTGAGTGACATCCCCAATGTTAACCTCATGCGTGTGGCCGCCGGTTTTTCTGTCTTCCTAGCGGAAACTCTATTCTGATGTTCCCATATAACCACTTCTTTTCTTCTCCGAGTCCGCTCGTCTCTAACTCTCCACTCGGCCGTCTCCACCACTTGCCAGTGGATAGGGCGATTCGGCCAAGTCCTTCGTCTCAGTGTCTTCCCGACCTCCCTCACCTGGTCGGTGACCTAGTAATTCGGGGTCATGTCATCATACACCCCACAGACAAATCTGTCGATGGAAAGATATCGCCTTGATGGAATGACAGTATTGGGTGTATTATACGGTGGGTTTTCGGTCGTCATATCACAATCCGGAACTTCTTGACTTGTGTGCCGCAATAGGCATGTTCTTCATCCTTACAATGCAAGCCTTCATTGCTCTCATGCAACGACCTCGACACGGGGGGAAAATCGCAGAACATCGTCGCGTGCTTCTTTTCTACGTCTTCATCACGTTCGTATTGGGGACGATAAGCTTTGCTGTGAACGCAAAATATACGGAGATGATCTGGATAGACCTCCGTGATGCGCCTGGTGGTCCACTCGCGCTAATAGAGAACTACATGAGTTATCGTATCAACGTTCTGGCTCTTGCAACGTAAGTGCACTTGCCCGTCCACCTCCGGACCTCTAATATTGACGCCTCGTCTAGTGGTCACATTCAGGAGTGGTTTATGCAAGTTCTACTTGTGAGCCGAATAATTCGCTAGATGGTCTACTACAAGCCTGATGCTTGACTTAGCTTCACCGCTGTTTTGTGATATGGAATTGGGCAAGATGGGTGATGATCCCGATGATCACACTCTATATCGTTATGATAGGTGCAGTCCATCATTTACCAAGTGACAGTAGTCACTGACATCTTGAGCAGTGTTTTCTATCATCGTCCTCACCGAGGCGAACACCGGTATTGTATTTTACAACATCATCTTCGAGCTTGCCTACCTGTGCATCGAAGTAGGGCTCACCCTGCTTTATACCATTCTCGTGACGAATCGTTTGTTCGTCATGCGGGGGCGTATGAGGGAGGTCATGGCCCAATATGATTCCAGCACATATGATACCATCGCCCTCATGGTCATCGAGTCCGCAGCGTTATACACAATCGTCGCCATTGTCTTCATAATTGCCTTTGCTATGCATGCTAACGGTCTCACCACTTTATGCTTCCTGTCTATTGGAAAAATCCAGGTAAGCACAAAAAACACTGCCCGAGTCACCTACGTCTCTGATGTTAGTGATTGTTTCTGTGTTGAACTAGGGCATTGCCCAATTGTTCATCATCATTCGTGTTGCACGGGGGCGGGCGGTTACGCGCCAGTGGTCGACCCAAGTTGCTGGAATACCTACGGCTATGGCATTCTCAGGGACTATTTCGGACACAACAGAGGGAACTGACAATGAACAAATAGCCAGGCCAGAGCAAGGCGTCATTGAGTTTGCTGCTTCCGAGAAGGCGGCGGAAGTAGTGTGAAAATTAGTTTAAATTAATTTGTACTTGATTTATACGTGAATTTGATTGGCCTCAATGTTTCACCCGCACTGTTGAAGCTCTTTGAAGCAGGGATAGTGTAGGACAGACTAAGCATTCATCGCGGCATCAAGGAAATGACCAGTTGACTTGGTAGTCGCATCCATTGAACCATGTCATTAGTCAGCAGCATCTGAATTCAACAACATCAAACAACCATGATGCATGAAGCTTGAAGTTGCACTGACGCCGCGCGTGACACGTCTCCCAGTGTTTATTGTATTGCAATGACCTTGGATGAAACCAACCCCCTATCCCAGTTCTTTGAACACTTCCCTGGTCATGAAAAGTTCATAACGCATATCACGAGTATCACATCATCCTTCGTCCTCCCGTTCTTGTACATTACCGACCGCCACAGCCCGCGTATCACAGCCTCGGTGCTCGATCAGTTCTATCGCAACAGTTCAGACTGGTCTCCTACACGTTTTGCGCACATAAATGCGGCGGCATGCTTCACATCGCGGTTGTTGTACGATACCGCACTCAATGCACTCGCAAGATGGGAAGTCTCCTGGGAAAATGGGTGTCAAAACTGGCCTGGTGAGGATGGGAAAAGGTATAACGACAGCATTGATAGTTTCTTACATGGACTCCGTAACCTCCGTAACCAATCCTGGGAGGGGAAGGGTAAAGGGAAGGGTAGAGCTGTTGATGAGGAACCGACAATGGTGCTCCTCATCGAGAGAGCCGAAAGGCTGAAGGACAACCTTCCGGACCTTGTTGTTCCTCTCACACGTCTGGCAGAATTGGTGAGTGGCCTGGACTATGGTTTCACCTTTACCAAGCCGTCATTTTACACATCAAGAGAACTTTGACTGATAATACGTGGTTACAGTCACAGGTGAGGATAACAACCATTTTGCTGTCCTCTGTGCGATGGGAGGATATCAAGCCACCGCTTGGCGCATCCCCTGATCCCTACTTCATCGATATCGACTCTCCAAGCAAACAAGGCAAGTAGCCAATCATGTGTATATTATTAGTATCTCAGGGTCATTGGCGTGTCTTCAGACACGCTTGGCAGCCTTCTTTCAGCCTTCTGTTCAGCGTCCACAGTGCAGTCACGCTCAGGCACGCAAGATAGGTCGTACCATCCGTCACTATTGCCGCTGTACGAACAATATGTGGAACACGTCTACAATGTTTGCTCTCTCTACACAACCGATATCCAGGAACTGCAGTACATTGCAGCTGCACGATGGCCAGGGTTTGTTAAACCTGTCTTGCAGGAGCAAAGCGCACCTAATGAGGACGAGGACCCAGACTCAGACGGAACTTCCAATGAACTGATACTCCCTGCTTCCGACGGCCGCATGAGATTGCTAAAGTTCTTCACTCCTTCTTTGACGGCGGCACTTGATGCCCTCTATCCGCGCTTGACCAACGCTACGGACTGGGCAGTAGCCAACGACCCTGACATGCAAGTATCTGAGGAGGCACATTCTCAAGCAAACACAGAAGGGAGCATCATCGTTGACCATCTACCACGCATGTCCAAGTTCATCTTGCTCGCGGCGTTCCTGGCCTCGACAAATCCTGCCAAAAGTGACGTGCGAATGTTTGGTCGCGGCGCAGATAAGCAGAAAAAGCGGCGTCGGAGATCTGTGTCACCAAAGAAGGCTGGGGCGCAGACAACCGTCGCAAAGGTAACCCTATGTTTACTTCACACAGTACGTAATTGAAAGGCAGATGAAAGGTATCACAAAGACTACTTGGCCCTGTAGTATTCCCACTGGATAGGCTTCTCGCAATTCTTGGCGCTCTTCTGGAGGAGAATGATGTCGAGAGCCGGCCTCACGACACTCGTTTCGAACTTCCAGGGGAATACACTGACATGGAATTGGGGCGAGTACACATTTACGCTGCAGTGAGTGCAGGCGCTGGTCCCATGTCAATCCTGTCTAACATACATTCCCAAGATCACTGAGCTTACGTCTATGCGTGCTCTACATCGCACGACTGCTGTCGACAAACTAGACGGACCGCCTATGTATAAATGTGGGATTTCATTTTGGGTAGCAGGGGCACTTGCGAAGGGTTTGCAGGTACCATTGAATGATCTAATGTGGGATCCGGCGTAGTCTCGGACTGCATGGACATTTACTCCTTTACTTTGTGGGAGTCCGGGATATAGGCTAAAGAAATTATTTCCGACGTTCGTGGTACTGGCACAAACTTCAAATGCGAGTCTACGCCGTACGAAATTGACATCTGAGCTATATGATCGCACACTCAAAAACTTGGTTATTAACCAACCATATAGCCCTGGAATGATAGATATGCGACTTGGGGTATGAACTCTTCAAGCTGGCAATCTGTGAACGTGGACAGGTACTGTAGTATGATACTTAGTATGGAATCTGGATACCGTACTGGCAGTTTTCTGGCGATAGCTTTATCCAATCATCGCTCATATGATGATCGATTCACTGACAATTGCATTGAGTACGTTGTCGGGTTGTACCGATGGACAACTTGACAAGTACTTAAGTGCCCATGATGTGGTACTGGTAGCATTACTTGTGGGAAGAATCAATCTCTTCGCCTTCGATCTGCAGCCGAGTTACATAGGTAACACCAATAAAGGATCCTGTACTGCTGTCGATGAATTCCATAATTACACTCAGTGCGAAAACTCTCCTGCATCAACCGATTGCTCTTCCCCGACTCCTCCGCATCTGAGACTATGCCCACAGAGTTCATTTCTGAATCTGCAGCCTTCCCTTTAACACGGCTTGACTCGGAGCTCAAGAACTCCGAGTCTACCGACCTCGAGAGTGAGGTCACTGAGGATAAGCAGGTTGACTCGGACGAGCATGAGCGACCATTTAGCTCGAGTGAGTTCGTTTTGTGATAATATATTCCGTATTTATCAACTTGAACGGAGCTCTCAGCTTCTGCATTCACTGTGCGTCTATCTTTCAGTGCATTATGGAGTTATACATGGAGTGATACATCTTACCACACAGAGCTCCATCCATAGTGCGGACTTTGACGACCCGAACCTCGACCCTTCACGCAGTGATGCAGAACTTGACGACGAGGAGTCGCCCTATCCAGAGGTCCGATCTGCTGTCGCAAACACAGACGATCCGTCCATACATGTAACGACGCTTCGTACTTGGGTTTTAGGTATGGCCTGGGCAGTTGTCATGCCTGGTGTCAACCAGTTTTTCTTCTTCCGCTATCCCAGCGTCCCCATTTCTGCTATAGTCGCTCAGCTACTCTCGTTTCCGATAGGCCGACTCTGTGCTGCTTATCTTCCCCGAAAAAAAATCTTGGGTATTTCGCTAAACCCAGGCCCCTTCACCATCAAGGAACATGTACTAATAACGGTGGGTCGTTTCTTCGAAGCCTTATTAGCTTCGTTTTATCCCCACCTGCCCCAATAGATCATGGCTTCGGTGGGCGCTTCATCCGCCTATGCAGTGAGTATATTCCCGACGTTTCGTAAAACATGCATTCAAAGCACCAAAATTAGACAGATGTCATCGCGGTGCAAAGAGTTTTCTATAATCAGAAATACAATTTTAGTTGTTCGTTCTCCACAACCTCATCAAGGTTGAACGCATGCTCATGTACGGTTCCTCGTCAGATCAATGGTTTTTGGTAATGTCGACACAACTTATTGGCTTCTCCACCGGGGGAATCACGCGACGCTTTCTTGTCTCGCCTCCAAGCATGATCTGGCCCGCAACTCTCGTCAGCTGCGCACTCTTCAACACCCTCCACTCCGAGCAGTATGCAGGTATCGGACGATTAGGCGGTATAAGTCGAGAACGCTTCTTCGTTTATGTTTTCACAGGCGCATTCTTGTGGTGTATGGATTTTCCTCGGTTCCTCCTATTCTTGTCTAAATTAACTTCTTGATGGACCAGACTTTTTCCCTGGTTACCTATGTAAGGCATACCCCCTACAGCGATCTTGTTTTTTTTTTCAATTTCTTTGCAGTCCAGGCCCTTTCGTGGTTTTCTTGGGTAACATGGATTTGGCCTAACGATCCTGGTGAGTATCGAAACACCGAACCCATGATCTACCCTTGACACAAAGCCCTAGTCGTCTCACAGCTCTTTGGGTGCGTCCTTGTGTTCGCTAAAGAATTCATGTACCACACGTTGACAAAATCAGCTACGTCCACGGTATGGTATGTAGGTTTTTACTTAGCCCTCAATCATGACTATAGAATCGTGAATCAGGGAATGTCCGTGATAACATTTGACTGGGCCCAAATTGCGTATGTACTTGATCGTTCCTGCTTTATTGCAGTTCTAAGCTTGAATGTGCAGATATGATGGGTCACCACTAGCCATGCCTTGTGAGTCTCCTGATTTCCCTTCAATGTTCATCTAATTGCGATCACCATCAGGGTGGGCGACGGCGAACATCATGGCTGGCTTTGTAGTTTTCTATTGTGAGTCTGATATATTTCTTTACACTGGTAACTGACCTATCGACCTATTATCCTAGGGATAGTAACACCTGTATTATACGTCAGTGATCAACAAAGATTGCACAACTTACGAATTGACTCCTTCGCAGTTCACAAATACCTGGTATTCTCTGTATATGCCGTTCGTCTCATTCTCTGTTTCTTCCCGCATGACGTCAGCTCAACTGTTTTAAGTATATCGGCAAGGTTTTCCTTCGACAACAGACAGAAAACGTACAACGTCACCCGGATATTGACTCCAGCGGGCTCTTTCAACGCGACAGCGTACACGGAGTACAGTCCAATATTCGTTCCGTAAGTGACCACACTCTCAGCTATGGTGATATACCCATTCCTCTAACAGAGCGGCGTTCATGATGGCTTATGGGTAAGCTCACTAATTGATTAGTATTTGTCTTTTGTTGAGACAGCCATTTTATTAGTCTCTCGTTCGCCTCAATTACTGGTACGGAAATACGCACTACAGCTATAACTCAGATTGACAGAAATGTCTCAGCGACTATCGTTCATTGTTTTATTCATTTCCGGAAGCAAATTTGGTATCAAGCGCGACGGTCACTTGGGGAACAGGCAGATATCCATGCTCGCCTTATGAGTCGTTACCCGCAGGTTCCTGAATGGTGTGTCACGAAATTCTCTTGTCATCAAAGCGATCATAACTCGATGTAATTCCTTACCCCAGGTGGTACTTGTCCCTATTCACTCTCATGTTTGCGTTGGGTGTCATCAGCATCGAGATTTGGCCCACAGAGATGCCAGTTTGGGCGTTTGTGATAGCGCTCTTGATCGGTGAGTCGTTAAGGCGTCTGCGTGATTGTTCGTTGTGATAACATACATACGCCCTTTAGCATTCACCTATGTGATTCCATGCGGTATGATACAGGCGATAACCAATCAGCAAATTGGGTTGAAGTGCGTCACATGATGATGGTTGAATTCTTGTCATAACTCAAATATATGGTAGCGTAATCACAGAGCTGATCATCGGGTAAGTCTACACTGGTCCGTCGGATCAATCTATCTGACCGCTTGCTACCCAGATATATGCTACCTGGCAAACCGGTAGCAGTGATGCTATTCAAGACCTTCGGCTATATTGTGCGTGGCGAATCCTCTTGTCTCTTGGTATACTGACTCTCCGTAGTCCATGACTCAGGCCTTGACATTTACGTCTGACTTCAAACTTGGTCACTACATGAAAATCCCCCCTCGAAAAATGTTCTGGTGCCAAATCGTGGCTACGGTGGTCGCTGGAACCTCGCAATTGGGCGTTCAGTCGTGGATGTTCTCTACCATACCGTAAGCACTAATGTTGGTGACTGTTTCATGAGGCTGAGTTTCGTGCAGAGACATGTGCTCTCCCACTCAAAAAGACGGGTATGTTCGAATATTCAGTATGGTATTTATCTCTGTTCAACATCGCGTAGTTTCACCTGTCCTTATACGGAGGTATTTGGCACTGCGTCCATCATCTGGGGTGCGTTCATTATATTGGTACCTTGCGGGAAAGATGGATTTACTCTGACGAACAGGTGTGGTCGGCCCACAACGTTTGTTTGGTCCCGGGCAACTGTATCAGTAAGTTGCTGCTCTACCTTTGATCCCCGTGGTATTGAATGCCCTCTTGCAGCTGTATGTCCCCAGTACTAGCCCAACAGTGAGAAATTTATAGACCCACTTTCAGCCGTGTTGGTCTTCTTCATTATCGGAGCCATATCCCCTATCATGGGTTGGCTGGCGATGAAGCGGTATCCAAACAGTTTCGTACGATACGTGAAGTGAGTAATCATCTCAATCACCGTGGCTGACTGATTAACGTCTTGACTAGTTTGTAAGTCCATGATATTATTCCCGCGGACAGCGTGACATCATACATCTTAGCCCGCTAATATTTAACGGCACCTACAAGATCCCCCCAGCGTCTGCGCTGAACTATGTACCGGGGGCGTACGTGTGCAGTAGTTATCGTATGATGGATTGACTTACTGATGTACCACAGGCTGGTCGGATTCATCTTCCAGTACGTCATACGAAGGTTTGTTTCCCATTTGAAACACATCTGCAGAGTTTTCTGACGTAGTTTTCAGGCGCAATTTTTCATGGTGGACGAAATACAATTGTAAGTGCAGTGACAGCACTATCCGTGCCAAATGACGAGAGTTACACAGATGTTTTGTCGGCGGCACTGGATGCTGGACTAGCTATTTCTGTTATCTTCATATATTTTGTGTGAGTCCCCAGCTGGCCACAATCCCGACTGTCATTCACCGAGCTGGACAGGTTGCAATATCCGACAAATGGGTCGGTAAGTAACAGGGTTGCCACAGTTGCTGATGAACGTTGAAGCATTTTTCACCAGATTGGGAAGAGCTTGCAACATTGGTGGGGCAACACGGTAGGCTCTTCTTCGAACTGTCAGATCAAGGCTGCTGATCTGTCTACCATCAAGGTATTCAATACAACTGCCGATGGTTTGGGTACGCCAGTACGCCAGCTAACGGGCACAGAGACGTTCGGGTATGTCGACTTATCAACTGATTGCTTCTCTTGCATTGACAAGTAAACTCAGCCCCAGTATAGGATCTTGGTAGCTACTGTATCTTTCGTGCTTTTGAATGTAGAACTATCTTGTTGTATGGGTATAATATGGACTTGTATTTGGGTTATAATCACACGCAGACATTGTTGCAATGCTATCGTTATTTCTATGAAGGAGTGACATATGTGAGGGTATAATGAAAATTCATTATCATAAGATGCGTCAATGTAGATCGTTGACCGTATATCTAGTCGGTCTTCTCTTTGCGGACTGTCGTCGAAACGCTGGGCACATCGCCAATGCGATTTCCCACTTTGACTTTTTGTCCAGCTTTAACGGTAAACTCGAACGACTTCGGGGCTTCAAATACCAACACAATGGTACTTCCCAAGCAGAATCCGCCCATCTCTTCACCGGAAGTCAACGGTTGACCATTGAGGATAGGCGAGGCCGCTGAGTAGACGGCCTCGTTGTACGTTCCAGGAGGAGGGGGTCTACCTCGGAGGTTAGTACGAAGGGCCTGTAAGTGTGATATCGGGTTCAACTGGGTTTCTAAACCAATGAAATAACACATACGGTGTCGAAATTGATCTTGATGCTGCCCACGTTCGTGGCACCAACGGGTATCATACCAAAGAAACCGAATTTCCATCGACCGAGAAGCGCGACTCTTTCATTCAGGACGAAGAGGTTTCGCAGCCGCTTTGCCATGTATGGGGAAACGGAGAAGAGTTCACCTTGAGGCCGAGTGTCATCAACAGTATGTGAAGCATGTACAGGAGGACTTACCAACGAAGTGGCGCCTTTTCTCCACTACCCAAGCAGTCGGGCTGTGGAACCGATGATAATCGCCTGGAGCGAGGTAAATGACAGTGAAGTAAAGAGCATTGCCTTCTTTGACGCTTGTGCCCGACGTGCTTCTCTTCCGCTCAATCGAAGGTCTAAGGCCTATTTCGCGAGCGACGGAGGCATCGTGCGCGATAGTTTCTTGGAGGGACCCTGGTTGCTCTACAGACGCGTCGATCTGCTCGCCGAATTTCTTCGGCACGGATGAAGGTTTTGCCTCAGAGGAGGCGGACTGAGTTATGGGGATTGGAGGTGTCACGGTACCCGGAGTGGAAGGCGTGGATGCACCCAAGAGTTGGTCTAAACTATACTCGATGCCATTCACATTAGCAAATTCTTGGTCAGTCACATGAGACATCTCTCGGTTGGGGAATTCGATTACTGTCGAGGTCGGACTCCCTGGTTCCAAACGTTCCACACCGAGGAGAGCGTCCAAAGAGTAGGTGATTCCCTTAACTTGCTCCACTCGAAGGTTGTCTATAGTTCCGAGATGCAAAACGGTGCCGTCAGCAGGGCTGACCTGGAAGAATAGTCAAGACAGAAGTCCTCGAATAGCGATAAATTCTTACGAGAATAGCGTTGTCTATAGGCCTAACACCTGGTTTGAGCTTTCGGTAGAAAAACTGGCCCAAGCTGGTATATTGCGCCAGATCATCGGGGTCGATTTCCTCAAGGTTGCAGCCAAAAACGTATGCATAGAACCGGAAACCATAAGGCCGTATCCAAACCGGTAGCTCGAGCGAGTTCATGTAGCCCCAGACGCGCGACATGTTTCGGAGAGGAAGTGCACCTATTACGTGAACCTGCACGATTACCAGGTGAACAAATGCGATTCAGTAACTAATGAGTGACACGCACATGCCATGGCCCTTTGAGCTTGATGATTTCATTACCTTCATCATCGACGTGAACCTCCTTCTCTGCGCGCGCAACTTTCTTGCGGTATTGGATAACAACGAGAAGAAGGGCTCCGACGGCCAAGGGAAGTGGGTACCACTTTGTGGGTGTTTCTGTCCACGCCAGTATAAGACGTCCTAAATTGCGCGAGGTCAGATGGGTGTATGTTTTCTTATCCACGAAAAGGCATACTGTAGAGCGGGACGCTATGGGCGCTTGGCAATAGCGGTGGTGGTGGGGGCGTCGTCTCTGGAGGAATATTGGTTCTAGTTGAAAACGATCTTCTCAATGCACCCCGCCTAAATGAGCGCACAGTTCCTGATAAACTGATTCTACGCTTCACAAAGACTCGCGAGAAGAGGGCAGAAGAGCTGTTCGCGGTAGACGTGATAACATGAGACGCTGCCTGCAAGGGTCTCTTCCCCTTCACAATGACTTTATACAGCATTGCAGGTGTGGAATATAGCTCAGGGTTTGTGTTTGAGAAGTAACTGCTTCCACAGCTTTCGTGCTGCTGTGAGAGCTAAGAGTTTTTCAACGGTGCACAATTACGACTACTTTCGGCAAGATACTTATACATCCATATAAGGCAAGAGCTTTGAATCCTAATAATGCCAAACAAAAGACATTCATATATGGTGCAGTTCTCCTGAGTCCTCAAAATACGCGCCCAACCACGCACACACGCACCAAACAAAATAACAACTAAAATGCTCTTCAGATACTTTATCTACATAGTCCAATGGCTCTGGAATACAGGCAACGCCAATCATGACGAAGATGACGAAGGCAACATCTGTGGGATCTGTCACATCTCGTTTGAGGGGTGTTGTGCATGGTGTAAGATCCCGGGGACTGACTGTCCGTTGAGTGAGTTTTTTTGGTTTCGTTCTCTTTCGCTTCTTGTTTTTTTTTTTTTTTGTACTTTGCTTTTCCTACCTTATGTTGTATTCTTTGTTCTTCCTGTTTCCCTTACATTATGTTACTTTCCTTCGAGAGTAACACTAACAACCCTACATCCACACCCACATTCCCATCTTACCCCACAACACAATACAGTCTGGGGCGAATGCAGTCACGTCTTCCACATGCACTGCTTGCTCGAATGGTTAGGCATGGATGCATCGAAACAGCAATGTCCCTTGGACTGACACACATGGGGTACGTGATGGTTGTTTCTTTGCATTCAGACGGTTTTGCTAATGTGTCTCTATTTTGGATGGTTCTAGTCACTGCTAAGTGGAAAGCGAATGAGTTGTCCTCGAGCTAGCGGTACGAGTCGTCTTCGAGTTAGTAACGGATCCGTCTTCAAGTTGGCAGATGTTCTTCCTGTAGTATCAACACCTGGATGCTCCCGTACATCAGGGAGGGGGTAAGGGCTGCCTTATCTATCTACAACATACAAGCATGAATACTGAAGACGAAGAAAGGAATCAAATACAATGCAGCAATTCCAGCACGTCCTTTATCTCCTTACACTTACTCGATGATATATTAATAAAGAAAAGCTCGGGAATGGAATCGGAGATTTTCCTGATGATCCCACGGTGCCAATTCGTGTCCACCGCGTCATGAAGTTAGTAATGTGAGAAACATAGGTGGCCCGACAGTGAATTTTTCGCAGGAAGATGCTAGTGGATGTGATCCCTGACAGCGGATTTGAGCTGGCATTGACCTTGCTTCACAAGGTACTGTAGATTTTAGGTGGCAATCTGCTGGCATTGCAGATATTGTTTGTTCGAAAGGGAATTTCAGGTGGATAGATTCTTTCCACATCGCCATGAAGAACAATATTCAGCACATAAAAGCAAGTCATCTTGCTACTGTCCCCTTCAGCTTTATTTGATCACATATCACATCCTCACACACAATGCGTTTCTTCAATACATCAGCAAATTCCCTACAAGATTGTGAACGATTACAATATTGACCTCTATGTGATAAGTTGTCGTCACTTTACGTCTAGCTACAATCAATTGTGTTGATTGTCAAATGATTGCAGACTACCTGTCGTGGCGGTTAGCATCGACAATCTCCTTATAATCTTCCAACCTTGTTGTTTACTTGCTCTCATTGACTAAGCGCTGGTGCATGATTTATGGCAAGCCTAGGGGTCGGACTCACTGGTCCTCTCTTGATTTGTTGTTCATGTGGAAAAAAAACTTCCAGTTGATTCCATCGTTTTTCTCTCTCACCTCAAGCTGACCTCGCTACTTTTCTTTGTATTCAGATGCTTGTCTGCATTATTTGAAGGGAATTTGCCCCATCTGCCTGTGGATGCTCCATGTACCTTTTGCGCTCGTGGTGTCTCAGCGCTTAACATGTATTCCGAGTCATTGGTTGACTCCCCGTGTAATGCTTGTAGTTCAGTGTTTGCTATTAATTGTTTCCCAACTTCCACCAGTCACATATACTACTATACTGGTAAGTCTCGAAGTCACTGCTGCTTTCTTTAGCTCATGATCCTCACTATTGTATTTGTAGATTTGATTTCTCTTGACTCAATACCATGGGCCATGGCCACATGATTCATGATCATGCCTTCGGGACCGTTTTGAAGACCTCAACAACACTCAACTGGTGGCCCTACTCATTTGCTTGAACGGGTACGAGCATTTACTGGATTGGATTGTGATCTGTCTTAATGTGCTTCTTTCACGCAGGTATCCTCTGACATCGAGTGCTAAGTGGTGGTATTGAGAACAAGTGTAATGGCAACTTGTGATGAAGGCTCAGGCGGCAGTGAGGAGGGTGATGAATAGCATGGCATTGTAGGGTCGCGTTCTCTGCGGTGTAATAGCTATTGTTGACCGTGAATTTATTTGTTGTATACATTTTGACTACGGGCGATGGGAGCATGAATATATTGCTATAGATTACTATTGCCAACGACTACGGATGTCCAATGTATATAGGAATTATAAAGCACTTACAATGGACGCAATTTTTTCGAAGGTTGGCAATTGGTACCAGATTTATTCCTGTGTGTCGTGAGATTAGTTACAATCAAAGAGCAATGAGGTGTCTCGTGAAAGTAACTGCCTATGCCATGATTATAGTGATTGTAAGCATTTGTAATGAGTCCATAATGCTATATTGATACATCCAAACTGGACTATAAGCCTAAAACTAGAATACATCATCCAGTAAGATTATCCATTATCCATTGGATGTATCCCATGGTGGATCCCATCTGTTGCATACACAGCCGCATTTTTCGCATTTTTGAAACTCAGCTGTTTGTCATTCCAGGATATATTTATTATTCACAAAACATATCCCATTTTGGTCACCTCCTCATGTCAGGTCTTCCCACATTATTCCCACACATCACATGTTCGCCCCCACAACACCAAAAACATCGCCCATTTTGGGAATCTCCACAATATCAATTGTTCCCACACCCTCCCCATATCACTGCAGCTTCACCACCACACCACAATTGCTCCCCTTTCATATATAAGTAGTAGTTTGGTTTATATATGTATAATATAATATAATAGACCGCTTTTTTTGTCTATTTGTGTACTTGCTCCTCCTCCAGGACCCTTTCAAAATGATGTAGGATATAAAACATTTTCGCACTTTCGCCCCTTTGACAAGGAAGTGTCCTAGGGTATTCAGAACATGATTATGAGTATATATGAAGATATTCCCAACTTTATTTGACCCTCTGAAGTGTCCTACATCAATAAATATAACACATATACAGAAAAACACAAAATATGTTCCCATTTAATTACTTGTAGATGGATAGACTTGTAAAAATGATTCCCAGCACCTATTCAGTAATATGAACAATGTATCAGGAGCCTAGGACCATAGGATAATCCCCTGTTGCATGGTGTGCCCCCCTTCTCCTAGTGGTTTACCCCCTGTGATTTTTTTTCCTGAAGGACCGGACCTCAATTGAGGTGGGGGGTCTATTTCTATGTATATTTGAGGTAGGTCTATCATATAGCTGGCCCAGGACACACATAGGATCCTGCTACAGGAACAAAAACATAGAAAATCGCATTTTTGATGTGTTTCAGTATCTTACCATTGCATCTATGATACAACCTGTTCATATATAATGAGCATAGCATATATACTTGCTTTTTTATGACCAAGATCGGCTCACAATAGGCTGGAGCTGTGAGCTAGTGTATATGCTTGCTATTTCTACTGATAAGGGGCCCATGCCTTCAAAACATCAAATATTAATGATCAGAAACCTGGAGTACATTTGGAACATATACAGCATCATATATATAAATGTATAGAACAATCCAACAATGATTGAGTGCTGAGGAAGTGAAATAGATAAGAAATTAAGTGTGGGAAACTTCACAAACCCAAAACATCGAAAATGGTCAGTTGAGCAGTAGTCAGACTTTAATGCTGGGTCAACTCATGTTTACACTACATCCCTTCCCTCCACCCTTTACCCTCAGGGCAGTAGGTAGTATAGGTTCCTTAGGTAGTTTACAATCTATCCTACATATTTTAAATGAAATCTTTGACATTTATCATATATAAATGACACTTCGTGCAAAAAGATATCAATTGTCACTTTTCACACATATGTCATTTTGCCTGTCATTACATCAATCCTTCATGGATCTTTCTAAGCCTTTAGGGACATCATAAGGGATATATATTGGGGGTATCACAGGTCTCTGATTACTTATCACAGGCTTGATTACCATGTAGGCTTCTGATCAGTAGAAATACCCCCTCTACATCAGATCTCATGTTTTGCCATATATCTAGCTGGTATTTAGTGTAGAACACATGTATGCATGTACTACTGATTATAAATGAGCAGGGTGGACCATGTGTGCAAGTGTAATATACTAAAAAACATCAAAAATGCCAAACATACAATATTTTATGTTTTTGTTCCTGTAGATGGATCCTGTGTGTGTCCAGGGCTAGCTATATGACAGACATACTCCAAATATATATAGAAATAGACCCCCTACTTCAATGTAGGTCCGGTCCTACAGGAAAAAAATTCACAGGGGGTAAACCACCAGGAGAAGGAGGGCACACCATGCAACAGGGGGTTGTCCTATGGTCCTAGGATCCTGATTGTAAGAATTACCAAACGTTTATCGCCGGAACATGCCGATACTCCTCTCACCGCAACCACCACGTCAACGCCTGGACCGTTTGTCAAGCACAATACCCGACCCCTTTTATTAGTACCTATCCTTTCAATTCCTATCGCTCGCTAAACCCTTCCTGTCGTTACTGTTCCTCCATTCGTAATACCGCCGTCTTCACCTTGTCAACAACTCTTATATCATTCTCTCGCTACACTATCAAATACAAACGCCACTCCCTTCAGCTACTGCTTTCACCGACCGTACACCGAGCCCTTGCCTTTAACTATTCTAGGACGACCCTTCCTCATCCTACAGTATAAGTAGCCCATGTACATTCCTAATAAGCAGCAGAATAGAACAGTAGATCCCCCAGAAGAACGCCCCGAAGAACCCGTCTCATTACCTTCTCTTATCATTGCTATAACGCGGTCACTCTCGTTTACCGATTCACGATATCTCTCGCATCCGTCATCCGTCATTTGAAGCTAACACTAATCATTATCATTCCTTCAGCGGTCTATCTACCCCCTTTGCACTCGCATCGCCTCTAGCTACGCACATCGTAGCTAACTTACACATTGGAGCCCACCACGAGGGGGTGATTAGATCTCTGTCCAACTCCATACCATCATCACCTCACTCCCGACTATCACCATTCCGCTTCAATACGGAGGACTCCCGCAGAAGTCTCTAGCAGAAGACTTGCCCACACTGGCTGTCACCAGAAACAAGAGCTGCTCCCTCACCGCCCCATCCGTTTCCCATCCACTACCATATATCCCAATAACACCGTCGAATCCAGTTGCCGCCAGCAGTACGATACCTACCCCAATCCGTCCCCGACTCGATAATCAGGAATCCAGCGACGAAGATAACCCATTCGCGCCCATCGTCAGCAAACCCAGCTCCCCAACGTCCATCACCACTACCATCTCACAAACAAAGACACCCTCGTTACCACTCTTCAGCCTTCCGCAGCCGCAGCCGCAGCCGCACCCTCAACCCTCCTTTCAACTAAGACCCACCATCTTCACCAACGCTACACTACCAGCCGCACC